TCCCCTCAGTGGCGGAGTGGCCGCGGCAGCACCAGCAGCGCCCCCTTGCTCGGCCCTCCGGCTCCGAAGGGGCGGGCAGAGCGCCGCCGCCGCCGCGCGTCTAGCGGGGCTCCGAGGGAGGCGGGGACTGCAGCACGCCCAGCCCCGGCCCGGCCCGGCCGCCCTCGCCGCTTTTGTTCGCGGCCGCTCGCCGCGGGGCGCGCCAGGCGGCTTACGAGGCCCCCGGGCCGGGCCGGGCGGGAGAGGAGAGCGCCCCGCGACGCCGCGGCCCCGAGGCGGACGGGGCCCCAGCGCCCGCTCGGCCGCCCGTGCCCCCAGACAGGCGCGGCAGTGCGACGCGGCCGGGTTTGCTCGTCCCGTGCCGCCCCTTCGTTTGCATTCACCCCTTCGGGCCCCGGTCCGCCGCCGCTGAGCGCGCGATCCTGTGCGAGCGCGCATTTACCACGGAGCGAGCCCCGTTCAGCCCAGGGCGGGTTACATCCGAGTAGACCCGGCTGGGCTCGTGCTGCCGCCGCGGCTCCCTCCCCGGCAGCGGCGACGCGGGATCCCGTCAGGGTGCCGGTGGAGCCAGAAGGACAGGACTGCAGCCCAGACACCCCGAGATCTTTTCATGTCTTGCAGGGAGGACGAGGCCGCTTCCTAGGAGTCAGGGGCGCAGCATGCCGGACCCCCTTCTTTGCGCCCAGGACAGGGGGAGCGCTGCCTAGAATAGCAGCTCATTGCCCTCCGGCGCCTGGGTGAGTAGCCACTGACCAGCTTCGGGGCGATCCTGGGCAAGATCAGACAGCAAGAGGCCTACAACTCCCAGCATGCCTGGGACTGCACCTGTAGCCATGCAACGATTTCTAGAGGGCAGTCGCGTTGCTTTGCTGCAGCAGGAACAGTTTATGGCTCCTTAAAGTTTTAACCAATTCATTCTGGCAGAAGCATCCAGGTAGCAGGCTGCAGTTCACAACTGCTTGTGCCAGAATGGCTATGTTGGGCCTTAAAGGTGCCACAGATCTTTGTTTCTGTTTTCCATGTGTTTGGCGGATGAACATCTTCCTCAGCACTGCAGGAGGAATGCATGAAACTGTAGTTTTTTTCTGAAGAAACATGCATGGGGTTATACCTGGATCCTTTTTACACATAACCTCATGCCTTCCGTTACATAACCAATCTTATTTTCAACTGGGCTTTTTATATTAAACCCTACTTTTAAACAAACCCTTGATTATCATCTACTTTTCTCACAAACAACTAACCTGAAGTACACCGTACTGAATTCAGTTCTGCACTGCCAAGTGGATTGACTCCATAAAGAAGACACAACCTTGAATGTACAGGGGCTGCGCATGGGGTCCCCGTCAGTTGGGGAAGACTTGATGGCGCAGGACGATTCGCCAGTGCACACGTCTACTCCACTCCGTTCAGTGGCGCTTCCTCCCAGCTAAGTAGACATAAAATTGTGAGTGGCAGCACATGGCACAAGGTGTGCTCCAAGTCTGTTTGCAGAAAACAGTAAGGTTTGAGTAAGGCAGTGAAACAGAGAAACACATTGGTTAGACTTTAGATAGCTGCATAATTATACGTTGCTCTTCAGGGGGAAGGTTAGCAGGAGGAGGATCAGCCTGATTTCCCAAGTGCGCAGTTGAAAAAGAATCAAGTGCTACAGAAAAAGGCGCACTGCATCACTGGATAAAATGACAACATCGACCACTTCACTGGTTTCCTGCCAGTGGCATCGAGCATTATATGACACACTGAATTATAGCAGGAAAATTCAGTTGTCTGCAGGAAAACAGTAGTCTCAAGCTGCATCATGTCACAATTAGACTGTTAAAAAAAGAAACTTACACACACACGGCCTTTTCCCACTATGGACTAAGATGACTCCAGGCTTTATCTTCTTCTTCCGTATCACCTAGTATGACATTTTATTAATCTGTATTGTTTTTCTCTATTTTACTGATTGTATTTTATATGCTGTTTCAGCCTTGGGTTATGGGGCGGCGTAGAAGTACAATGAAATAAATAATAAACCCCTTCTTAAAGGGATGCTTTAATCTTATTAAACTTCATAGCACTGACAAGGAGCCGGCTCAATATGCTTTTCGGTTTTTTCATACAGAAGCAATGGTGAAAATGCAGATCTTGAGATCCTCAATTAGCAGTTTCAGATTAAGACAAGGGTGCTAAAACAGCAGCAATGGGAGCACCACAGTTACTGATAAAAGGGGAGTGGTTTTTTTTATCCTCGGTAGCCACATGGCCATGAAATCCCTCATATTGCAACTTTATGCAAAGAGGGACACCAGCCAGCTCCTTGTCCCTCTTGCTGTGAAGTGGAACCAACCCTGCCTGTTTGTAGCACCAGGTTCTCCCTGTTTGCTCCCCTCTTTCTGTAGCAACTCCAGCCTGTGATTGTTTTAATGCTACAATACATAATTAAGGTGCCACAAGACACGGTTGCTTTGCCCCTTCTTTTGTTAGCAGATTTTATTTCACACCAAAGAGGCAAGAGTTTGGACAGCAGGAATCTCCGTTCAGGGAGCTCCCGCATCCATCTTCCTCTGCTCCCTACAGAAGGTTGCATTCAAGTGATTTTCAACAATTATTTGCAAATATACTTAGAAAAATACAACACATTTAATTGTTCAAGGTAATGGAATATGGAAGGCTATTGGCATAACATCAGGGCAACTCAGAAACAAAAGGTATTGGCCCAGAAACACTTTTATTAGCCGACTCGTATTTTGTTGAGTCATTTTTAGGGGAAAGAAAAGAGAAGCAACTTTACCCTGTGAGGTTTACCTAATTTCCACCCACCCACCACCTGGTTTGGCTTCTGTTACATTTTTAGAGGCCAGGCCCTTTCAGTCTGGGGCCCAGCTCCTCTGCTCTGCCTTGTCCTTAACCATGGACTTCACCATCAAGTCGGTTTCTTTTTTCCTTCCTCTTCCTCCCGGCTCTCCACTTTTTGTAACGTCTGATTCAGAAATTTGGCCGTCTCACATGCTTGCCTACAGTTTTCTGCATATAAAAATGAACTTTACCCAAAGATTTTGCCGTTTTTGTTAAGAGTCAACATGACTCTTATGCTTTCTATGTTAATTTAGGTCTGAGCTGCCTGGATGCAATTCCTACTGATAAAATAATTTCGACTATCTATCTTTGCGAAAATGTTCAGCGGGAAAGGCAGCATAATGGATTGTCAAAGAGGAAGAAAGCCTTTGTCAACAGGAAGTCTTTTTTTCTTTCCGCATGTTGTGCTAATGAAGACAGCAAGAGCAAAGACCTCAAGAAAGACGAGGACTGAGGACGAGGCCCGCTGGATCTTGCACGCACGGTGGCCGACCTGCTGCCTGAGGGAGGCCACAGGTAGGGCGTGAGTACACTGACACGATCCCCCGGAGGAAGACTCTCCAGCAGGCAATCCAGGAGTGACCTCCCAGCCAACCATGTCTGTTTAGACACAGACCCTAAGCTGGCCATGCAGACTAGGGATGCTGGAACTCCTAGGCGTGCCGAGCTCACACTGGCACCGTAGTGCTTTAGCCTAGTCCATGGAGCCAGCGTGCATCTCTGTTTGAAGGTTGTTCCGGGAGCCAGGACTCTCGTCCCTCAACAACTGATGAATTTCTACTGTCTTGCTGAACAGTCTTGAGAAAATACAGGCTCTGGGCTTGCCCTTGCAAAACATTCCGTGTAAGCAGAACAAGATAATTAAAGGTTCGTGTACTAACGTACCGCCTAACGATTACTTAAATGCAAAAAATCAACCTGAGTGGTTCAGCCTTAATGACAATATTGCCGTAACCTTCGACCCCGTCCAAGCGACGATGTCTGCTCTGTCTTTTTGCATTCTCCCTTCTCCTTCTGAGGCTTTCAAGAGGCTGCACTTACTCATCCCAGGTCTGATATGTAAGCTGCATCCCCCCTTTACAGCTGAAACCCTCCCTTTGCGGGGCTCTGTCAGATCAGGGCCCATCCCTAGCTTGTGACTCAGTGTGCATTTCTGGAAAGATGCGCTCTTCCTGCAGCCATTCAGCCAGATGCCCAGGCATCCTGTAAAGCCAGGACTGGGGAGCCTCACCCCACCTGGATTCCCCACAGTGACCCCCCCTTCCCTGGCTCCACCCCTTTTCTCCCTGCACTGGTAGTTTGGTGCTTTCCCAGCTTTTGTGTAGCTTTCCTCCATAAGAAGCTGCAGTGTCTCCCTTAAGGCTTAGTTACTGGCAGTAGGAGCTTTAAGGCTTGATACATTGGCATCTTTATTTTGGGCCCCACCCTGTTGGGTTTGGCCCTGCTAACCGCAGGAATGCAGCTCCAAAGATCTTCTCTACAACTGAATTCCACCCTCAGGCTGAACGAGGGTCCCCACCCCTCCGTAACAGAAACTGTCCTTGGCCTTATAAGAAAAGCTGTTATCTGCCAGGTTCATTCTTCAGACATTAAGAGGTCCAGGAGTAGCCCCAGCCTTCTCTGTTGCACCTAACTCTGACATTGTGCCAAGAGTCCGAACAGGCTCATAAAAACAAGGTCTAAGTCGGAAAGAGAAATGATACATGGCTCACCGCAGGCAAAGTTCCTCCTCCTGCATCCTCTATTGAGGTAGCTCCACATTTCGTGCTGCCGAAGCTCGAGTTTCCATAGTCAGCTGGAAAGAAACTTAAAGACAAGTTCTCCAACTGTACACCAGCAATACCTGACCCAATGAGCAAGACCCCACTGTATGTTGATGCAGAAGTCGTGATGCAGAAGTTCAGCAAAGCTTCACTTCTCCCTGCATCTGTCCCTTAAGCAGAAGTTTCGCCTTGCTCCCCCCAGATCCTCCCTGACACTGATGTGCTGTGCGCTTATCCCGAAGTCTCAGTGGGAAGGATTTCTTCTGGGGTCCCCAGAGCACTCTTTCTTTCAAAGAGTTCCAGCCACACAATGCACGATGAGAAAAATAATCTTTTTCACACGCCAAGGAGCCCTCTCCACTACCGTTGGCCCAGCTGCAACAATTTATTTGACTGTCTCATGCAGCCTCATCAAACATTAGTGTGTTTTCCAGGAAGCAACAATCTCCGATGCAAAATTCATGAGGACTTAGTGCATATACTTCTAGTTCCCCGCTGTGATATAATCAGTGTCAGACCAATTAGTTTATCCCAGTCTTGGCAACCTCCCCATGACCTCTCTCCTTGCAGTGAGTGCAACCTACTTAAACTGCCCCCTAGGACCTCCTTCCAGGCCTAGTCAAGTCTCGCTCGCTCACAGAAGCCCTGTGCTCCACCGACTCGCAGACTGCCTGCATGCCCATCCTCCAAAACCCGAACCGAGTGCTGCCCTTGGTCCTTGCCAAAAAAGCAATCGATGCATTCCGACCACAAAGACTTGGTTGCTTCCCCTGCCTAGACGCAGTTCCTTCAACATAGATACACAAGGGATGAACTGCAATATTTTCTGAAGAGTGCCACTTGTGTATATGAAGAGCAATCTCCGTTTTTCAAGTGTTGGTTCTTACGCAGCAAGAACGACATCTTATGTGCAGACGAGGGAAGTATCAGCCCATCTGGAAAACTGAAAGGTTTACAGGTGTTTTAAAAAAAGCTTAGGAAAAGACTGGACTTTTTCATGAGGACTGAGCAAGCTCAGTGACTGTGGAATGCTCTGGGTTGGATCTAGGATCGACCTTCTGCGAGGGGAAGGGATGACCCCCCTCCCACCCACAGGACAGCTCTTCCCATTCAGCAGGGCGCCCTGGCTGGAAGGCTGCTCTGAGCTTTTCTACAGGAAGTTACCAATCTGCTGCCTCTCCTTTCAGTTCCATCACACTAGAATTGAGACCTGCACACGACTTCCTCCTTTTTCACTACATAACCGCCAGATGGTGCTCTGTAATAGTGGCACACTGCAAATACAAAAAAAGGAAATGGCTTTTTCTTTTGCCAACAGAAATAATACCCATTTCCCCCTGCTTAAAACAAGAATTGGCAGAAAGGGTTGTTTTTCAAAAGGAAACAAAACCATGGGACCGTAATGTCCTCGAAAGAACCTGTAAAAAGGTGAGTGAGGAAGGATGAGCACAGAACAAAATAGCTCCTAGAAACGGCTCTATGTAAAATTTTCAGCATGCTGGGAGGACTGGAAGGCAGAGTTGATTCACAACAAATCTAAATGCAACTCTACTTACCTGCCCTCTGCTTATTGCGGTCCAAGGCCCAGTTAAAACATTAAAATACACCCCAGAAACAGAGCAGCAAAGTATATATATGAAAGTGAACAGAACTGCGTATCATCCATGCCAAACGAAGAAAAACAAAAATAAAGTCCAGTTCACTGAGCTTTCACTTTAACTGCAACAGAAAAAAGCAAAGCAAAAAACTTTGCAACGGTTCCAGTAACTACAAGAATGGTGACAGCTAAACAGGATGTCTGCCAGGAAACTTAGATAAGAGAAGGTGCTATCAGCTCTCCCCTAACATCCCGGCAGGAATTCTAACATGATCTGCAGTTGCAGCCTCCAAGTCCCCAGAATATCGGGGACGGAGCAGCAATGAAGAAGTTTCAATGAATCTCCTCTTCATGGTGGGGCATTCACACAGACCAATGCGAGTGCAACCCGAGGCTCAGCAGCAGCAAGAAGTTTTAGAGGATTGGCCCTCTGCTTCCACATGCATTTTGGTTTGTACGTGGAACAGAAAGGAGGGGGTGGTACAAGCATCTGGAATCTTGGACTGTGGGAGGATAAATGGAATGGGGTGTATCCTGCAAGAGGGCAGGATCGCAGCCAGCCCAGTATGAACAAGAGCACTTCACATCCCAACACTCTGCTGCAGGCCCCACTCCGCACCTTGGTTCCCACTGTACGTATTCCCAATATGTAACCAAACCAGCACCAGCCACAGCCAAACGGCACTGAATCCCACTTCACGTTGTGCAGGGTAGTGCCATTTTCATAAGCAACAGAAACGCCTTCCCTTTTTTTCAAAGGCATTGGCAAAATCTTCAACAACAACACCCGAAGAGGAAGTGGGAACCCTCAAAGCAGGATTCGCATGCTGACTGCCGTCGTTCCAACATATTGTTGTGCACCATGGTGTTCGGTAATTCATCATCTCCCTCCACGTTCCCCATCAGCAATTAATTCCAGTTAAAAGGCAATCAAAGCCAACTAGAAATGCTGGCTACACCTTCTAGCCAGGATGGCAACCTGGAATAGGACCTCAACATCCCAACGATCAAGGAGTTTTTACAAGCATGGGTGATCTGCTTGATGACGTGAATAAAAAGATGGAGAAAGCCAACAGTCACTAAAGCCTCTCATAAACAGTTGGAAAGAACGACAGGAAAGCTTGGGATGTGGTAACTTCTGGCACAGAAGGATAGACAGCATTAAATGTCAGCAAGAAACGCATCGACTTATTTCCCTTAAAAGCATTATGCCCGGCACAAATCCAGATTCCTTCGCTTCCTCCTGCTGCAGAAGAGGAAAGAAGATGCGATCAATGCGAGGTTTATTTATCACACATCTCTCATCTACTGTGCTAAATAGATAGGTGACCAGGGCAGGGAAGCGCAGAAGGGGAAAGTCCGAGGTTCCCTCTCTGCCCACCCCCCGGCATTAAGCTCCACGCAGTCCCTGCACCCTTGTGCTGGAAGGCCTGGAAGGCGGCTTTGGGAACAGCCCTCCAGCGCTCCTTTGGCAGAATACAGGAGACAGATTCCTTCTCCGTTTGGCTAAGAAACCCGCCACTGCAGGATGTAAGCTTCCGCCGCAGCGGGACCTGCCCTTGGCAAAGCTCTTCTGGGGGGCATATCCCCCCAGTGGTCGCGGCAGCCCTGGAGAGTAACAGCAGTAGCAGTTGGAGCACCAGGGCTGTGGGGAGGGGGCATCCGGACCATCCCTCCGAGCCGCAGCCGTCCTGCAGCGGGCCAGAGGAGAGCTGAGGGAGGCGTCCGGCTCCGGCTCAAGCAACTTCACTGCAGCGGCTCCATGCCTTGCAACCGGCCACCAGACCTACATCTCGCAAACAGAGAGTCACACCAGACAGACCGCTGTCTCCAAGCACGGACTGTTTGAGGAGCATCTAAAGGAAGATGCTTTTCAGTGTTCGGGAGCCCTCCATAACAGAAATGGGATTTTAATGCCACCCCCGAGGAACTGTGCCATGCGCAGATGAAATGGGCAGGGCTGAAGTCTGGGACTGCAGAGGCATCCAGAATCCAAGTGAATTAAGCCGCCAGCAGAGCTATAGGAAGACAACCCACTGAAGTGGAGCACCAGCAGAAAGATACTTCAAGGTTCCGATTCCATTAGAAACGGCATTATTTATTGTAAGCTGCTTTGCGCCTCTGTGAAAAAAATAGGATAAAAGACCCCCCCAACCAGAGCAGTTTGTTTCTCTCTGAATATTTACTGCAGCAATAGAGCTATCTTCCTTTCATGAAAAGTAACTCTCAAATTAAGCAAGCTGCAACTGATCCTATTTAAATACACGTGATCAGTGAGTACACACCAAAATCTTGGTTACACTCGCACTGTTGTAAGTGCTCCAGTAGGGCTGGATCTGAAAACTGGATAGACAGAGACACTCTGCAAGCCTCAGCAGATGTTCCTTTCAGCCCTGGAGTCAATGCAGCACTTCTAAGTGCCACCACATTGACAGCCCTGCACAGCCCAGCTCTTTGTTGGACAGGCAGCAGCGGCTGTATCCTTATGCTCGCGGCAACCAGACTGAACAAGCCTTCAGCCAGAGGAAAGGGAGAGGAAGAGAAAGAGGGAGAAGGGAAGGAGAGAGGCTGAAAGGTTTGGGGAAGGTGCATGGACAGGTGATACCACCCCCTGCTAACAAGAATGCTGGGAAAAAGGCAATCACGCCCGGCTTGCTGTGTGAGACACCGAAGCAACAGCCCTCTGCGCTTCCCCTGTGGACTCAGGCTACTGAGCTCAGTAGGAATGACGAACGCACATAAAAGGAGGCCTGCTGGGCCAGACCAAAGCAAGCCCGACAAGACGTCTGAAAGAGGCGCCCGAGTGAGGCCTGAGGCAGGATAGCACTTCCTGTCTGTGGCTCTTCCCCAGGAAGCTCTAGTCACAGCCACAGGGACGTGGCTCCGCAGCCACCGTGGAGTCACTGGGCCTGGAGCCCCTCTCTCACCTCGGAGCCACCGTTTAAGTCTAGGCTGCAGATCACCCACACCATCCCGTGCGCAAGACATTCCATGACGCTCCTCTTGAACCATGCGAGGATAGTACGTTATTTTCGTCTGTTCTGAGTCACCGATATTATTGGAAGGCTCCGAGCTCCAGCTCTTTCAGAAAGGAGAAAAACCTTGCCTGTGATACCCACGCTCTTGGGATCCATCGGTACATTTGGGAATTCGAGAAACTGCTGTTGACGCCCATACAAATGCCAAATTGGTGGGTTGCCGCTACCCATTGCTTTGCCTATCTATGGCTCTCATTCAGCAAAATAATTGTTTTGTGTCTGCTGGAACATCTCTTTAATACAGGTTGTCTAATCTAGCTAATTGCTGCTGGTGGTGCCATGAAGGTGTTGCTTCTTTTAAATGTGTTCTGGCAATTATTATTACACGGCATTTCTATGCTATTTTTTGGTGAGGTGTTCAAGGCAACATACGTGGCTCCATTTTAGCCTCGCAACCACCACCCCACGAGGGAGGTTGAGGATGAAAAACGACCAGTGGGCATGAATTGCATTAGCAAAGGTGCCTGGGAAAACTGCAGCAGTGCCTGTCTGTATCACTCACTGCTTCATGCTGAGCTTTATTACTCACTCAGTGGAATCGGCTATCCTAGATTCTCACAGAACACACCCAGTCATAGCCTAAGGGAGAAAGTTACATCATGGTTAATAAAGTCTGACATGAAAGAATCCCAGGGCAATGTCCACAGGCTGCCTTTGGAATCAAGACTCTTAAAAGAGCAGCAACTTAATGAAAGTTAGCACGGCAAGAAGAGACAGACGGACGGACAGACAGGAGCAGATGCAACATCACAGCTATGGTTATTCACAGGAAAAGAGGAACTGCATAAACAACCAATCTGATTTTTGTACGATATTTGTTAGGAGTCCTGGAAGGAATACCGCAAGGGGCTACTAGAAGCAGACACAGAGAGCTGCTGAAGAGCCCCACCTGTGAGTGGCAATAAGCTACTCTGGCAGCTGCCTTATTTTATTCCTGGATTTGTTTCCACCTTGGTACCGACTCGGCTTTTATGCTGCTGGTCAGCTTTAGTAATCGAGGTGGACTATCAAAGCAGTGCACCCAACTCTGGGGGAGCAGTGGTACAAGACCAACCCTGCAGCCTGCCAAAAATATAACGGGGCCATGCCTCTTCCTATTCAGGGCAAAGCCCAGGAACAAAACAAGGCACAAGCTGAGAACTATTGGAGACAACACAATATGTGCTTTCCGCAGCTCAGGCACAAATCAATCATAGCATGGACAAGTCAAAACAAAGTCTGAACGGTCTTCTCCACCCATTTATGATCTTAGTGCCAGTCAACCTTCCAGTGAAGGCGCTTCGCATGTGATTTAACACTAATGATTCAGTTTTTATTTGCACCCTCCTCCCAAACACACACTCACATACACACACCCCTAAACCTTTTTGAGATTGAAGTAATCCACAGGTTCTAGCTCAACCAGAAATGCAGTGAGTGCACACACACGGAAGTCATCTTGCTTTCCGATTTAGCCAGGACAGCTGACAGAACCACTGTGTGTGGAAGCAGCACACCGTGGTGTCCCAGACACGGGGGACAAACATGGCAGCGGGGGACTGTTCCCACACTTTGATTGGATGGCCATTTCCAAGGGCATCTCGTTGGCCAGTGCTGCAAAGAGAATGCCAGGCTATAGATGGGCCTTGGAATGATCCAGGAAAGATTAAGTTTTTACTTACTGCCCTGTGATAAAATAGGATTGGATAGCATCAAAATGTTAAGTCAAAAGCGCACAACCAGCGCTGAAGCTTCCTGCAAAGTAGAATGTGTGGTCTTCCAATTCCCGCCCAACAGCTGTGATGTACAAGCTAACGGAAGTTTCCTTTCCCTGCCTTGTTTTCAGGCTTGATGGAGTAAACCACTTGCTGCTCATGTCAAGGAATGCAGGTGACGGCTTGAATTGCACAGCGGTTGCCTAGAAATTCACCTCATTTTACACCAAGCATTTCTAGAAAGGGCTAGAAAAGACACAGAATTTACAGAGAACATGTTAATTTTGTGCCTCTTTTTTTGTCAATGAACATTTCAATTGCGAAAGTGCATCTGCTAATAGCTAATGGCCAGACCACGTGATCCAATACCAATGACCTGGGCTGACCGTATTCACACACCCCATGTCATAGCCTGAATAAGTGAGGTCAAGGCAAAATTTATTCAACATTGCTCTCAAATGTTTTTCAAAGCATAAAGCGGGTTCAATGGGAACTTTTGAGTCCAAGGTCAGGAGATAACTGAGAGATGCTCCATTTGGTCGCCAGCACAAGGGAGAATAATATTGGCTTGATGCCAGCTCCTGCAGACAGTCTGCAGATAACCTGTGAAGACAGCTTGCGGAAGCTGAATAGATTGGGCTCCGCTGAGTGGATGGGGTGCAAACTGCAGGCCACATGCTCTGCATGATTTAAAATGCTGGGACAGAACTGCACTAAACAGGCCAACAACCAAGTGTGTATTTTATTTCCCAGCTGAGCTATGCATCCAGCATTAAACAAGGTGATAATTTATGTTGCTTATAGATATCCACACCTATCCCATTTAATATTAGGAATTTCATGACAGCAGCCAAATTAAGGCTTGCTTTAATCCCTACCGTTTTTGTTTAAAGGTAGGAAAAAAACACAAGAGAAACATTCAAGCTTAACAAGCTTGAGTTGTACTTTTTACCTGCACAGCTATACATTAAGCTAGCATGTAAAGTCACCTTTGCTAAGCTGGAATGGTAAGGGCCTGAGGCTGGATGGGTGACCACATGGGGAAGTGGAGCATGGGGTTGGACTCAAGGGCCTGACAGGCCCCTTCCAACTCTACTACTATTCTGTTCAGTTCTATTGCTTACCTGAATGCTTACATACCACAAAAAGTTATGAAAAGCTCGTTTATTAAACCTCTGTACACAACTGTTGACATATATGTACAGCAAGTTCAACTATATGAGGATGTTACCAAAAAAAAGCAGAAATGACTGAAAAAATTGACTCACATAAATTACTTATAAAACTTTTCAAAAAGGGTAGACAGTTGCAAAGTAATCCCTGATTATTCCCACCTGATTGGCAGATCTCTCTCTCTCTTAAATGGAAGGGAAAGCATTTTAAAAAGCTTGTAACCTTTTAAAAACTGCTGACAGTCAACTTATCTATAGGATGATCAGCTCCATGTGGAAAGAACAGGCTTCATGTACACAGCACAAAAACCTTCACTTGTCGCTGCTGAAACTCACAAGTCAAAACAGAGCCAGAAAGATTAACCCATATTTGGAGGGCCTTTTCGGAAGAGTCTGTAAAGTAATATTGGATAACTAAGTCACTCAGTAGCTCTTATTTATATTAGCGGAAATATTTTTTTTCCTTTAGGCTGCAATTGGTCCTAAAGTCAAAATGGAAGCCCTGTACACTGGACATTAAAAAATAAATCACACCATTTTAGGAAGAACAAAGCAACCATTTTCTATGTGTCTGTTCTTAGCTTGGTGTTTTTATGTAAGTACAGAGCAGCATCCCAGGCGGCTGGTTTCTTTTGGGTAAAACCATGTGGGAGGAGCGGGGCCACTAAATGGAAGGCTTCTTGCCCTTTTGCTGGTTTCTGGGGGAATTTTTTAGCACGCTTCTTATTCGGAGGTAAATCCCAGTTGATTCGGCCATGTTGTCGAATTCAAAGGGTGTTATCCCAGCGGCAAATTTGCTCATGTCAGGGACGTGGCTGCCGTTCTTGGACGCCACCTCATCCCTCGCAACCGTGAGAGATTCCCCGCAGTCTTCCCCATGGTTTCCCTCATTCACAGAGGCGGAGGGGCAGCTCTCCACTCTGCCTTCGGAATCCACGTGAGCCGGATCTTCCTCTTCTGTTAAATCAATCAGTTCAGCGGATGAAATTGGTTTAGTGTCATGCTCTTCCGTTTCGTCAACCAAAATCTCTCTGCTCCCCGACTCTTCTGCTTCGAGGACCTGCTCCCTGTCGGCGGGAGGGCCAGCTTCTGACGCATTCAGCTGCTTGCAGGTTATTTCTTCCACAACGACTTCCGGCTCGATTCTCGAGGGTGACGAGGCCAGCGAGTTCCCCGCCAGAGGAGTGCCCGCAGGGATGTCAGAGTCACTGGTGGCACTGTCGGCCTGCTCCAGGGCCGCCCAGATGAGCCGCTGCTGCTCCTCCAGCTCTTCCAGCGTCAGCGTGTCTTCGTCCATGGTGGAGCCCTCTGCTCTCAGAGTCGCGGAGTCGTCGGAAGGCGTCAAAGGCGGAGTGTCACGGGGCAGCGGTGGCGGTGTACCCGTCGGTGGCTGTGGGGGGGTGAAGTTGGGTGGCGTGCACGGGGGAGTGCCCCTCGGCAGTGGGGGAGGAGTTGCGTTCAGAGGCGACCCAGGAGGCAGTGGAGGTTGGAACTGGAAGCCACCGTAACACGGAGAGTTCTGCGCGAGTTCCAAGTCTGAAATAAAGCAAAGGGACACGGATGAGTTACAGTCCGGCTTTAATATCTACCTCGCACTCCTCTTTGAATTGGGCAAGGCACTGGGATTACGCTGGTCATCAGGAAGAGGAATCAGAATCCTCCGATAACCTACTGCCCTGCAGGGACCTGAGGGTTGGGCAAGTGTCAAAATTATGCCTGCAGTTACATATTGCATGGATTTGCTAATGGAAGGGCATACCAGAATCCATCTCCATGTCAGCTGGTGTTCCTTCCGTGTTGCCTCCTTTCTTTCTTTTGGGATGATGGGAACTCTGGTGAGATGAAGGTCTTTTATTTCGGGATTTTGAACTTCCCTGAGGAAGTATCAGAAAGAAACAAGAATAATTAAGGAGTGTTAAACTTGATAGATTTATTGAAAATGCTCAATGCTGTCATGGGGAAGGGAGCGATTGTGACACCCTTCAAAGATCCTCAAGGCACCTTTTCTGAGACTTCAACTCTTAAAAAACAAATAATTTTCTAGGCCTTTGATCTATTGCAATGAGTATTTTGCTCTTGTTCTCCAGCAGTCTTGCTAGTGGGTGCAAAAGTACCTGAACAACCCAAAAGTATTTGAATATTTATTTTAAATTGATGTTAGTAAATGTTGTTAAACATATTATGTTGCTTGGATTCAAGCTGGTTTAATGCTCCCATCATATTTTTGCCCAAGGATGTGTATTCCTTATGAATATTCGTGTGAAGTGGATAAAACCATCAATTTAAAACAATCAGTTATCCTTTCTGAGCAAGGGGAAAACGTTTATCATCAGAGCATATAATTCTTTTATCATTGCTGTGAGCGCATTTCATTTAAGTAACGTCTACTGTGCTCTTCAGGGGCAAAAATATTCACAATTAAAGAACTCCTACAAACCACTGGATGGGCCGGGGCCACCACATCCAGGAGAGCACCTTTTTTCCTGGAACTGACCCAGGCAGCGAGCACGTGGGTGGACATGACAGCCAGCCAAAAAGGCCGAAAGGCACCCGCCAGCAGCATTTCGGAAACAAGTCTGTGGAGCTTTTGTGCGCTAGTGTTAGAAGCCTCTGTGCCAAGATGGAGGAACTGGAATGCTTGGTTTTGAAGGACAACATACGAGGGCGAGCAGAACAAGAATCTGAGAAAATGGCTTATCCAGGGGTAAGCTTATCCTGGATACAAACTCTGTGTGAAGGACAAGGCAGGGCTTACCTGGGTCAGGCTGCCCTGAAAAATCATAGCTATCATAGGAAAAAAACAAGGCCAGCAGGTTTTCCACAAAGTATGCCCACTGTAGCATTCAACCAACATATATCCCTTTGGCTCTGCTATCATAAACCGTTTGGAAAGATCCTTTTGTTAAGTGAAAATACCAACACACACGACTTTTACCAGTACGCTTAAATATATTCACCGAACTATAGGTAGACAGATAGTGGGCAAATATTTCCTTCTGCTGAGATGGCTGAAGAGGTACTGAACCAAACATCCTCCATTCCTGCAGCAAAAACAAGAAAACGGGGCCATTAGAAAACATGTATCGCTAATGAATGTGCAATACTAGCCCATGTTTAATAAAGTGTGAGGAAAGAATGTTCTGCAATCAAATGTATTGTTTTAATAAAACAATACCCTGCCTTTCAGAAAGAACCCACATAAGGCAGCTGACAACCAATGGAGTAACACATTAAAGACAAGAAATAGAAGTAATATATTTTAAAGGACAGGAGCTAAAATATCAAGCTCATAAAACTTCGCTACCAGGCAGAGTGAAATTAAAGGTTTTAAAAGCAACGGAGGGGCCATGCGCATCACCTGGAGGGAGCTAAACGGTTAGGGGGCCACTGCCACAGAGGCCCTGACCCACGTGCCCACCACCCCAAACACTCTTCCAAGCTTGTCCATGCCTGGCTTTGGGGACTTAGGAGCATTCAGTGCAGAGAAGCCATGGAAGCCATTTTTGTCTATCTGTGCTTTCTGCTCCGCATTTCGGCTAGATGGCCATTTTTGACAGACAAGCTGAGCTGCTTTAGAAGGGGAGGAAAAGGGTTCTTTTTACATGGCTGGGTGGGGTGGAAGGTAAACGAGAGCAGAGATCCCCAACTTGGAGGAGGAGGCTCCCTTTCTGACTCCTGGAGCTGGACAGCCGAATTATTCCACGGTTCTCCAGACAATGTCAAGGGACCACAGCATCACACTCTCAACCCTGAGTCAGTCAACAGGGTCTTTTAAGTTCTCACGGGCGCAAGTGACCTTCCGAGCCACTTTCAAAAGGAATGCCAGAGGGATAAATGTGGGAAAGAATCCGGTGCGCTGCCAAGGACCTCCCAGAGAGAGGACTGGCTAAAAGTACAACCTTCCACTGTCACTTACATCTGTTACTCCGTTTGGAGTGGAAATATTAAAACCTGGATAATTGATCAACTTGGAGACGTCGTAAGAGACGTGGCGGTTCTGTTGGTAATAGTCGTCTTCCTCTGTTTCACCGCCGGGAGATGCTGTAACAAAGCACCACCATGTTACCATGGGCAATAGAGGACGCGGCAAACCGGACAGTGGAATGGCCTCGTTTTTAACTGTTTCGACAACAGAGGGCCGCAGCACAGAGATTCTGTGACCCCCGTCAGAAGCAGCTGAATGCTGTAACACTGACTGAGAAAGAATAAGCCATTCCATTACGCCCCATTCTGACACACTCAAGAACTAGCCATTTTAACACCTGGGCAGAACCCTAACAAGCAAGCACTTCTGTGCTTTGGATTGTTAATCAGAAATAAATTAAAGCACATCCAAGGCTTGAAACAGAGTCGAGAGACAAAGAAATTACATGTAAGCTGGTAAGATGTAAGCTACTTAAGAGAATTTCAAAGAATCATTGAACAGAATTTCTAAAAACCCACTATAGGCTGTTCCAACACAGACATCAGTTCACACATTACTGTTCACACATTACAGACATCAGTTCACACATTTCACTGTGGGAAAAGTGGAAGGAAGAAAATGTGAGCTGGGTCAAAGTCTAGGCAATACACGCCTGTAGTTGCTGAATACATTCTACACTGCCCATAGCCAAAGCTCTGTTGATGTCATTTATGCCAACTGATCACTTTGGTATTATAGGTATTCAGCTCTTCTTGGAAAGATCCAACAAAGGCGGCTTTGTAAGATGGCCCACAACAGCAACTGACTCGATTCCACCTGTGAGCGCCACTGTACAGCAGAAACCCGTGAGGTGCACCTTTTCCGAAAGAACAGACCCCTCTCCCCTGGCTATGGCAAGACAAACCTTTTGCGCGAAAGAGGGGCCTGCATCCCTGCGCAGCTCACCTTTCCCGTCATAGAGCGCCAGCCCAGATTTTTCCATTTCAGCCTCTTTGAGCCAGCCTGGGGGATAGCCCAGCTGCCGCATGCGATAGATGAACGGAGGGAGGGTCTTGTCGTTAACACCAAGGGCATCTTGAAGTTCTTCGCTACAGCAAAGGGGGTGGGGGGGGCAGAAAGCCTATTAGAACACTGGAAATTTGTCTCGAATTGGCAGGTTCGAAGAAAGTACACAGAGACATTGCGCTGGTAGAAAAATTGGGCTGTGCTGGATTTGTAAATGAGCTGGAGAGTTTATTATGTATATCCCATCTTTTTTTGCCAGGAATCAAGGCAACCTAGATAAACTCCTCCTCTCCGTTCTCACAACCCTGTGAGGCAAGTAAAGCTGAAAGTCAGAGCTTCATGGTTAAAGTGAGGACTAGATGCCGGATCTCCTGAATCCAACTCCAGCAACCTAGCCACAATGCCACGCTGGCACAATTGGACTCGAGTCCAATTTGAATGCGTGCAGTGAACGAGAGGAAAAATTGTACTGAACTTGAACATGAGTACATTATCACAACCCCATAGCAATCCCTTTTAGAACCTTTTTCCTGCAAAGCTTTCCCACATTTGGGGCAAGATGGGCCTTGACTGCATCCCATCATCAGGGTGCTCGCGAAAAGCTGTTGCTTACTGTGGGAACTTTAAGCTCTCTCGAAACAGAAGACATCAAACAACTATTTGCTTCACTACCAAGCTGTAGTTGTTGTTGTTATTTAGCGAACAACAATTCCAGCTGGACTTGCACAACGTGTGAACGCCACACCACCACAAACTGTGCCGGTTTACAAGACATGGCGGCTCAGCATTTTGCCTGAACTCGGCACTTGCCCCACCAGGAGGCTCAGACACCAGAGCAGGGCTAACGGCAGGGCTGACGAAATCGAACCGCGGACCACACACACAGCCCAAGTCAAAAGGCGGAGGGCCCTCTGTGAGAGCTGCAGGAGGGCTTGTTGCGGTAGCCAAGGCAGCACCGGCGGGCGGTTAGGGATGGCCTTCCCCCTCCGGCGAGCAGCTTGAGGAGACCCTAGTGTAGGCAGGCAAACTTGTCCCTTTAACGCATCCCGCAGCGGGCAGTGGGCCACCAAGCTGTAACCTGGCATGCACTTTGCCCATGCTATGTTGTAAGCCGCCCCGAGGCTTCGGCGAATGGGGCGGCATAAAAATGTTTTAATAAATAAAAAATAAATAAAATGAAAACAAGGGCCCAAGTCAAACGGCACCGTCTTTTCTGCCTTTTTTTTCTTTTAAAACTCGGATGTGTGGGAAGCACCCTTTACTGCAGAACCCTCTGGTTTGGGGGACTGGGCTGTCATGGAGAACACAGAGGTCGTGCCATGGCCTGCTGCAGCTCAGGGAACCTATCGGTGCTCCTGCAGTGTCCCCCGTGGTATCGATCAAGGGGTAAGGGCAGGAGGTCAGGCAGAGAGGAATCTGACCCACAGTGCATGGTTGCAACGACCAAGGGGCCTACTGTGTTGTGTGAAGCCGGCTTTATGGTTAACAAGCCGCGGCTGCATTAGCACATCGCAATAACTCTTGAGTTCAAGAACCTATGAAGTGGTGTTATGTGCAAACCAGGTCAGTGTTTACTCATTGAGGAAAAAGTACCTAATTACTCCTGGTTTGAATCTTCCAAACCTTTCTTCAACTTCATCTGCATGATAGCGCTGTTGGAAGTTTTGGTTGCCTGCCTCTCCACAAGCATCCATAAACTCTTTTCTTTTTTCATTTATACGGGCAGCGTTTCGAGGCTAAAATAGAAATGGAGGGAAAAATCAGGACAATGCCAACTTAGTGCCACTGGTAAAACTATTACAAAATTCAGTCTGTTCCTTTCACAAGTACTGCTTTTTACTTTTACACAGAAGGAGAACTATTTTATATTCCTAAGGTTTGGTCATGGATGGATTATATGTTGTTAAATGCATTATTTTAAAAAAAGCCAGAAAATTTTAAAAAGTAGTTTTGTAACAAAGAAATCTGTCTTAAAATGTGAAAAATGTCAATTATACAGAAGTGGATTATACAACTCTTTATCATGTGGGATTTTTCTGAAATCCAATTCAGTCTTTAGAGAGTCTACTACAGTTTCCCATCATTTACTAAAACGGACTACTGCCTTTGGGACTAAAACATGAGAGGACTCAGGAATATTTACCTGTGGGCAATCTTTCATTTGATGGTCTTCCAAGCCACAATTGAAGCAGTGAGGCTTCGGCCTGCTTTGAAAAGTAATGTTTACAATGAAGTTATTTTACTCTTAAATAGACTGTAGGCATCACATAACCCATGTTTACTGAGTTTACTTGTCATGATGACAAGCTCCAAATGGGAGTTAAAAATGCAATATGGGGCTTATGAGCACTCAGGTATGTCATGTAAACCTGGTCAGTTGTGACAAACAGAAGAACTCGTGTCTACTGGAAGTCTAAAAGTGATGTATACTGGAAATCTGGATAGCAGACGCTAAACTATGCCCTTGGACTTAAACTTATATTGTGTAAGTTTCTAGCTAATCTAAGCGGGGAGACCATTTTATGAGAGCTCTGAGCAAGATGGGGACTGACAGGGTTAAACTGGACAGTCACAATTAAGAATTTCCCTATGCCCAGAGGGATTTTGAATTCTCCCAGCCTTTTATAATAGGAGATTCTGCGTCCCATCTCACCTTAAAAAATGCTTCAAAAAACTGGAAGCTAAAAATATATCTCTAGATGTTTTGAACTTCGCCTCTCAGATCCTGACCGGCAAACGTGGCTGCAGGAATGTTCCGAAGCTGAAGTCTAAAACACCTGGAACTCTCCCTTGGCCCACTCCTGGGCCTATATGATAGGGGCTGCTGTTTGTGAAGCCCAAATCCTCAAGTCCTTTGGGGACATGAACTCTGAAGGCCCATTAAGCACAGCGAAAACATTAATTTTACTCCAGGAATTGTAACCTTTGATTTTACTCCATGCCAAGGCATACACTACTAACCTACCACAATGCAGCTCAGATTTTCAACTTGAAATCTGGTTAAAGAAATACAAACCTTTTAGACTTTACTTGTATCTCTTGTCCATCTAGGGAAAGAATCTGTGTGAAAACTTGCTGGTATCTTAAGAGTTCAATAAGGAATTACCACTGTATGAAGCAGAGTGGACTTTGAGTTTATGCATGATTTCTAATTATAGCCCTGAAGTACTTGGTCGAAACTGTCATTCACATAATATTTTATACTTTAGTAAGAGATAAGAACAAAATCATTATCAATAACATGGTGGTGAGAGCCAGCTCCATCAATGTTGAAAGCTTTCCCTCCCTTTCTAGCAGCGCTTTCCCTGATCAATGTTAATGTCACCAGCTTTATATTCCTGCCTTCCAGGAACACAACATAAAATCACAGAAAAAAATAAAGTTGCTCTGTAAATCCATCCATCAAAATTACTTCTTTGCCAAACAGCGTGTTCCCTGTAAATCAGACACTGGTCTTAGGCAGTTAAGAGAGCAATCCTATGTATGTTTAGACAAGGAAGGTCCTACGGCTCCCAGCAGGGCGGAACCAGGGCATGGCAAGACCTGAAGGACCCTCTTCTGTCTAAACATGCACCCTCAGCCGCTCAAAATGCACTGGCTTAATCAAACTGTTTGCATTTGTATTGTCTGTATTGTGTTTATTTATTTTATGTAAGCCGTCCCGAGGCTACGCGATGGGACGGCATACAAAAATTCTAAATAAATAAATTCGGGCTGCGCAAGGTAGTAGTATTAGCATGTACAGTGAACAACATTGAACTGTATAGGATACTTGGGTATTTCCCATCCGTCTGTCAGCTGAGGATTTTCATTTAATATAGGCTGCCCCAGTTTATCAAGGCAAAAATTGGTAAAATAAAGAACACTTCCTACAACCTGTAGAAAGAGTCAACAATGTCAGTATTTTGTCAAATGGAACAACCACATTTATAATTAAAGTGTACTTAAATATTTCACAAATATCTTTTTTGATATAATTAAGTACATTGAAATAATGGCTCCCATGTCTAATGACTAGCAAATCTTACATTATTCAGTTTGGTAGCTATATGTCCAGTCAAATAATATGAAATATAACCTCCAAGAGTTATATCAGTAATTACAAAAATGAAGGAAAATAAGGGATTGCTTAGCTCTTTACCAAAGCTTGTCAACCCTTTCCTAATGCCTTGACAAGAAAATCTGAAATACGAGACTCAAGCACACAGACACACACCGCAGAACAGAGAAGTAACTTACACTAAAAGCTTCCTTGATTTTTTTGGATGCATTTGACCGTGTTGCTTTGTGATTTTCTTCCAACACAAAACTAGAAGGCTAATAGAAAGAAAACATATATTGCAAAACACAGATTACCAGGTCGAGAACTGTGTGATTCTGTATGCTCCCTGACACCTGGACTCAGTCTGAGAGCACCAACGCTCCCCCAGCCTCGTCAGATCCCCTTCAAATCCCAGTCCACCCTCCAGAAAACTTGGCTTAATGCCTCATAGGCATGGTGCTGCCCCCATCATTCCCATTCCCAATCCCACCCCTGTCACTTGGGAAGCCTGTTTGTTTACTGGAGCTTTGTGTTCATACTGGGAAGCAAACGTGTGGCACAGAATATCTGCTTTACATCTCACCATTAAAATGTAAATACCTGAGGTTTGACATTGAAGTAGGCCTTGTCCGATTCAGCTCTCTGCTGCTCCTCAAATCGTTGAACTAAACTAGATATAAAATCCTCAATTTCCTGATGATATTGCCTACACAAAAATTATTAGAAAATAGATCTATTATCAAGCTAAGGAAGCTTTCAGGAACCCAGAAATTTCAAGAAATCAGTGTACTGAGAGATATTTTGAGCAGTGTTTTCTTTAATTACCCCCTTTAATTACCCCCTTTAGATGCAGGTCAACTTGCAACATTAGAGCTTAATTTTAATAATTTTAAACTGTTTTCCCTTACTCTCACCCAGCCAGTGAGAATTAAAATATTTTAAATTCTCCCTTTAAAAAGATCTATACTCTAGAGCTCTCACCTGAGCCAAGCATTTTGAACATATAAGAAACATACTTACTTTGAAACAGTATTGTTCATAAATAAAATCTGTAATAAAGGTCCATCAAGTTTAGAATCTTCTACGGCAAGTCCACTAAAAAAAGGAGCATAAATTTATTTTTATACACAGACAACTCTACAGAATGTCTCTGCTTTTTGAAAGTGTTATGGTAACTTTATCCAACTCAGAAGATTTAAACACTGTAACTGACAATTCCTGTTATTCATAAGAGTAACACATAAAGAGTAACCAAAATTATTTCTCTTTTGACTGCATGTACTACGAGTTACAATTTAACTTCTGGGAAGAAAGCAAACAGCTGATTTCATGTATCCTTTTTTAGTGACCAATGAATACACATATGACTAATAAGTTATAATCTTTACTGCTATATATAAAAAACAACCAGGATCTCTAGAACTGTGCTATTGTCTTCAAATGCCCAAGGACACTTCCTCCCTTAGAAATGTGGGTTTGTTCAATAAATATGAAAATAAAGAGTACAACTATAACATGCACTGTATCAGACATCTATAAAATGACAAACCAAATTTGAAACTGAGGGCTTTTGGGAGCAGAAAACACAGGGCAAGCTATTACACATGTTTAAAGGTGCTCTTTTGGACTCCAACTACCTTCTTACTAAATATTATATATAGCAGGTCCGCCTGGTGCCGTCGTTATTTGTTTTTCGGCGCCAGGCTAAGACCTTTTTATTTAAGCAACATTTTAAATGCTAAATACAATTGAATTTTATCTGGCCAGGGCGGCTTATTTTATAATGTGTGTTTTAATTAAGATTATTTTATATGGATTTTAACTTGTTTTATCTATGTTGTAAGCCGCCCCGAGGCTTCGGCGAATGGGGCGGCATAAAAATGTTTTAATAAATAAATAAATAAAAGTTGCACATACCTCGGTCGCATCAGGATGTTCAGTTTTCTTCTGAGTTCACGATGTTAATTATTTGTTGAGGAATTTCAAGGAATTTCAAGTTCAATAGAATTATTCTATTATTTCAGAATCATTAACCTGGAATAATGCCTACAGGTGCTGCGCTGCATTCACAATCAGTAGTGAATCAGAGTTCCAGAGATAATTGTAGCAAAACCTGAAATAATTGCTAAGAAAGGGAACTCTGTTCTTAAACTGTTTTTAAACACTCCGGTTTTGTGACTAAGGAGTGGCTAAAATGCATTAAATGGGAGTATTCAATATGCACTGTATATGAATGAGAGAAGAGTTCTTAAAAGGAAACTGGGAAGAACATCTCTTCTTCAGCCTGTAAACTTCAACAACAAGTGCTGACATTTTTGATCTCAAAATCCTGCTGGAGGGCAAGCACATTACCATCTGCAACAACTAACCTGTTTACTACAAGGGTTACTACTTGCTGGGGATCTGGTCTCCCGTGACCTTCAACTTCTTAAGAGGTAGATATCCAGAATTGTTGCTTTCCCTAACTGCTTCTTCATGCTTTCCAGGGTTCAAAATGGGGGTGGACCAGGGAGGTGGGGGAAAACACAGAGGTGGTGGTGCCGGCACAAGCCAAAGGGTGGCTGGTGGGCTAGAATTTGAAGCAAAGGATCAAATCCTGGCTCAGCTACAAAGCCCACCGAGTGAACACTTGGGCCAGGCACACCCCCGAGATGTCAAAAGGACAGAGGACGGCATGTTCCGAGTTAAAACCCAGAACTCAGAGTTAAAATCCAGTTTGCATCCCTGTAGGGTTTAGCAGTTAGTGCAGGGCTGGGAAGACCCAGGTTCAAATCATCGTACGGTCAAGAACCTAACAGGGCGTGATCTTGGGAAAGCCACTCTCTCAGCCTACACTGCCTCACAGGGGCTTTATAAGGATGTTACTGGGGTGGAGGGCAGAAGAGAAGCTTCTACAGCACCCCGAGTTCCTCAGAGGCCATGAAGGATAAAAATGTAAGAAAATAAGTGTTTGACATGTGCAGCAGGGAAGTTTGAAGAACCCTTTTCGTGGATACCACTTCCAGAGTGCAGCAAACATCGTACGATGCGGCAGCAAACACAATCCTGTAATCCTGTACACAAGTCAAGGCACAATCCCGTGCACGTTTAGCATACACTGTGCAGCACACCTCAGCTAGCAATGCTGGCCGGGGCACCCTGAGAGTTGTAGGCCCCTCTCCTGTCCACACTTCCAGCCCCCAGAATCGCATCGGACCCCTTGAAGTGCCAACACGAACTCTCCTGGCCCAGGCTGGGCCACAGCAGCCTTTCGGGAGGCTGGACCCGAGGCTGCCCCGCAGGAGACACGCGCCAGTCCGTGAAGGCTGCTGCCACAGCAAGAGCAAACCCGCCGCGGGCGCTCCGGGTGCCGCGGCCTCCGGGCTTCGGCTGCGACGGGCAACGCTCCTCCCGGACACGCTCGCGCCCAGGCTTCTCTCCCCCACCTACTTAGACAAACCGCTTTGGGCCGGTTACGTGTCCACCCGAGTTGGAGAAGGGCCGAGCCGAGCCGAGCCACAATCTTGAAACGCGGCGGGGAGAGGAACGGGGAGCACGTCCCGGCCGCCGCGCCTGGAAGGGCTGCACCTGTCGGACGACTGCCTCTCAGCGGCAGAGAGGGGTGCAGGAGGCGAGCGCGCGGGCGGGCGGGGGGCTTAAGGCGGGCCTCGCTGCAGCTGGGAAGGGGGCGAGGCGGGGGAAAGGCCCGCCGCGGGGCCGCCCGGGCCTGCGCCATCAGGATATTCTCGGCCTGCAGCGCCTTGACGGTCTCCTCGCACTCCTTCAGCCGCTCGCGCAGCTCCTCCGTCTCCTCGTCGGGCTCCGCGAAGCGCCTGTGCGGGGGCTGCGCGGCCGGCGAGGGCGTCGCCTCGTCGGCGTCCAGCTGCTCGAAGAGCTCGCGGTCCCCGAAGTCCACCTCGGCCGCCATCTTAGGGCGGAGGGAGGCGGAGGGCGCGCGGGCTGCCGGCCGGCCTGCCCGCCGGCCGCCCAGCCGCGGCGGCGGAGGCTGCCTCCGCGAGCGAGGGCCGGCGACCGCAGGCGGGAGGCCCCGGCGCTGCTCGGAAGGCGGAAGGCTCGGGGTTCGATCGCGGCCTTCTCCCTCCCGGCCTCTTCGAGCGTGGAGACTACGACTCCCAGCATGCAACGAGGCGAGGCCGCGCCAGCCGACCAGAGGTCTGGCGCGCATTTAGCGCCGGGGGTTGTAGTTCGGCCGGCGTAGCGGCAGCAATGCACGCTGGGACTGGAGAAGCACTTCCGCCGCCCGTCCTGGGCTCCGGAAGACGATTGGTACAAAGGGAAGGTCGAAATAAGACGGAACTGATTAAATCGGTTTTTCCTTTCGTCTGCTGTTTTAAGGGTGCAATCCGACGCGGATTTAAAAGAGAAGTCTGCAGTTCCCATTCTGGGTGGGGCATGCCGGGAATTGTAGCCCTTTTTTTCTTTCTATATTGGTCTAAAATTGATTTTCTTATGTACTGTTTGGTACCAAGGATACTCTGGTAGCACATGCAGCTACTAGGAAAAGGAGGCTAAGTTAAATGTCTGTATTATTCTGGGGACTTTCAGAGCCTGCCATCAGAACAGGTTTAAATTTCACAATTCCCAAATCAAGCACTTGTCATCCACTCCCTGAAAGGGTTTTCAAACAGTGGTTTCTTCCATAGAAAACTTAATGCTCTAAAACAAGATCCTGTAATGATAAGCTAACAAGTAACAGGTAACTGAGTTATCCTGGTTTCTCCTGAGCTTGTTTCCTTTTCAAGTGAGAGGCAGTTTTTACACCCTGTGAACACCCTTTTACAGAATTACGTTATGTTGCCAACACTGCTAATTTATGAGTATTTATTCTCATTCACATCCTGTATTTATCCTTCCCTTTTCAGAAAGGAAAGCACCTCCTCGGGCTGAATGCACAGCCACATGAGTTCCACTGGGTGTAGGGTTGGGCAGCCCTGCAGATAATGCAAGATACTCTTTGGAAAAGCAAATTTTTGTGGGTTTTTATATTAGCGGCATTCTTTCCTTTTAACATTTCTACATCACATCTTTTTGAGCAAGCCAAGTCTTCAACTGCTCCATAAAGTGGTCATCAGTATCCTAATGAGCAACAAGACATACCGTTGCTTTTTTGAGATGCTTTTGCATATAGGGTGGGGTATATTTTAAATAAACAAACAAGACATACAGTTCCATAGTGCAGCAGAGCCCATTGGTACACATCTTTTCATTACTTTTGGGTCTGGGACAACACTGTATGACCTTGCTTTGGAAGATACACTGACTGAAGAGTGTTGCTATTTTATCAGATTTCAATCTTTTTATAACAAGATTGTTACACTGCAAATGCTGAGCTGCTGAAATGGTAAAGTCTTTATGCCAATTTAATAGAGAACTTTGCTAATGGAGCTAGCGGTGCTCTGGTGGGTCTTTCCATTTATGTGAAGCCTTAAATCGAAGTCCAACTGGCTAGGAAAAGCAGGCCTAGGTCCTGCTACAAGGAAGATCGTATTACAACATTAGTTTGTCTCAATTAATTTGAAAAGGACTCTGAGAGTGGACAAAAACTCTAGCAAGTAAAATCTCCACCAGCAGGGCTAGTGAAGGAATCTTTGAGCCTGAGCAAGAGGGAATATGAACTAGCTGAACACCAAAGAAGGTTGGCACAGTCAACAGCTGCTATCCTGGAGCCCTGACGACTGTAGGGATATGTTTGATTCATACCCAAAGCATTGGAATTTCTTGTGTCAGCATGACATTCAAACAAGCAGTATAACATGAAGCTCACTAAACTATTTATCTACTGAACTTAAACAGTACTATTTGAGAAAAAACATTTTATTAACCAGGTTTTGCACTGCATTATGTACCCACTGGCCCAGTCTGCTAGATTAACACCTACACAATGTGTTTTATGTTCTAAGAGTTGAAAATAACTGTACAAGATTAAAGTACAAAAGTACACAAGACAGTGGACACAAAATATCCATGTATGAGTTTGCCCTCACCTGTTCTGTTTTGAAACCACAGAACTAAAAATGTCCTTCTAAAGCTCTGTGAAGTGTAATGAAGTGAGTATAACCTGATTACAACATGGAACACCAGTTATCACTGATCTGATATTTACAAAAATTGTAATGTCAATAAATTAAAGTCAATGCAACACCCATGCAAGCTAGGATGCTAGCTTTTGGTGAACAAGGACCCAATATCTGAACAAGAATTTTTTTAAACAAAGTCCCAGGCTTTCCGGTCACAATCTTTCAAACAGCGTCCATTCCTCGCATCGAAGATGTAAACCCCAATCCCATTCCTCTTTGTGTGTGCGTCTGCGATCTTGCCATTTCATATTGTGCGTCTAGATTTCGGAATACTTCCTCTTGCTGCTTCAAAGTCTTATAACTTTCTTCATCCACTGCACTGCCACCGCCGCCACCAGTTTCTTCTTCGCTCTAAAATCAGAATAGACATTTTAGGGAAAAAAAGATCAGATACAATCGCCAAACAATTATGCTGGCAGTTTATTCAACTCAAGCATCATCTCTGTAACTGAAATTTGTACAGTAAGTAAATATAGTGTGCAAATTCTTAATGAGATGTGAGAGTAATCTGAGGTGTAAATAGCACACATCTAAATTTATTTTGGTGGAGCAGCAGCAAAAGGCCTGTCACGGCACTTCCTTTCTAAAGGAACAGATATATCTTACAATGCCCACCTACCAGTGGAATACAAACCACTGATGAAGCAGCCTTCGCCTTCTACTTAGCGCTCCTCAAGTCTGCTCCAGGAAGGCTGGGAGACCATTTGGAGCAGATTTGGGGGGGGGGGGGGGAGAAATGGGGGCAGGTGAAAGAAAACAGGAAGGGAAGCCCTTTTTCATATAAAAGATGCTCAGTGATATGATACAGGCCATCATTTCTAACAAGTCATCTTTTTTTTCCCTGATGCATTATTTAGCTTATGCCATTCAACTAACATATATTTCTATCACTAGTAAAATTCTGAAGTCAGGATTTGTTATCTTGCACATTTTCTAGTATTATAAATATTATTTTGCTCCACTGAAAAAGTAATCAAACTTCTCTGAGACTACCCAAGTGATATTAGAGGCCTATCCAACTGCTAATTTACTAAACGTGACCTTCTTGTTTCTTTACATACTGCTTTCAGAACCCATAGGAAATGACAATTGACAATGAATATAACCCATAGATTTCTTCTACAGATTCACATGGTACTTCAACTACGAATTTATATTCCAAAACCACATACCTTAATACCCATTAATTTTCTAAATTTAACATTTTGGTCCTTGTTTCCAAAGTTCAGTTTCTCCCAGATTTCTGCAGATTGGGATTTATCCTATAAAAATGTAAAACAATTTGTTACATAAACATAGGAGAGTTAACAAATTTGAGCTAATAGGGCCATTAATACTATGGATAAATGCTACTAAACATGCCAGCATGCAGCAGGTGAGTAAACTATTTCTCACACTTCCTGAACAGGAAGCTCTCTTAAAACATCTCCCCACTCCTGAACTACTTATAGTGAGATGTTTGTAGTAACTAAGTCAACTGGGCTACATACTTGCTCTGCAGACTTTGGCCCTTCAAGGTTTTTAAATCAACTGCAAATGTGTGTCAGAATTCAGAAAAATTCCGGGAATTAAGAATGTTCTTTTACAGTGCTTTTACCTTCCCAGCAAGGTATGACTATTCAATGTGTTATCTAGGAAAATTTCCAGTTTGTTTATGCACAACTATACAGCAAGTTACAGGCATGCACATGACTATTTCTAAGCAGCAAATAGAGATACTTGGGCAAACAACATTACCCCTTCTTTTTTGCCTTGCCACAACATTTTCCGCTTTTTCTCCTGTTCTGCAAACTTCATGGGATTCACTGCGGCTGGATTGTAGTAGCTCGGTACAGCTATCCCTGTCTCAGCCAGGGCCTTTGCCTGCAGGGCTGCCATCTGAGCTGCCATCGCTATCTGAGGAGTGACTTGTGTTCCGGAGGCCAGAAGAGCTGCGACGTTGATGACAGAACCACCTGTGGCGGCGGCCGCTAAAATAAACATTCAAATGTTAAAAACTACTTTTCACAGGTTTGTATCTTAAGCTACATGGAACAAATACAATGTTTACTATCCATGAGATGTACAGACTTGCCAGCTACAATTTTTTTTTAAACAAATAGTTTTTGCTACTGCTTCCCATGGATCTTGTCTGGTGGTGCAACTATTTTTAGGGTCTGCCTAAAGAGTAGCACCAAAAAGCTCCCACTGTTTTGCTTATTTAAACATCTGCCAGAGAAATCAGGGGACAAATACTGACTTTGCTAATTTTAATCTTATTTTAAACCTTCAATTCAAAGCCTTATCTTTTCCAGATGTAACTATTCATGATGTATCAGCATCTTATAAAAACAATTACCAGCAGCCATTTCTTGTTGCTTCTGTTTTTCAACCAATTCCTTTTCTCTCTGTTCTTGCAGTTTTTTTGCTCTTTCCAATCTAGGAATAAAGATGAGAAAAGGTTAAAAATGCATGTGTTTGTGCCTCTCCTTTTTTTTTTCTTCCAATAAAGATGAGGTCATCCCTGAAGGACTTCCTTGCAATCCTTCAACTATGATTAAGCATATTAAGTTTTATGTTTTATTACAGCAAATCTCTAACAGTGTCTTGGTGAGTAAATGTGAACAGACGGAAACAAATTTGCAATTTAGATGAAATCAAGATTTTTTAAAAGTGGACTGAGAAGTTTTCCACATTAACTTTCAGAGGTTAAAATTAGTTGGTGGAAAACAATTACAGCAGCCCCTTCAAACTGGTATACTGCATTTCCGTCAGTAAGGACAGGTATATCGCTGCCTTCTTATGTGCGAAAAATAGGAGTTTCATACCTTCTGGCCAATGCTTCCTGTGCATCCATTGCTGTATTTCTTCCCCTAAAAGGTGGAGGACTAGGCGTTCGGCTATGACTTCTGCTGAATCTTCTAGGTTTTTCTGGTCTTTTCTTTCTTTCCCTGCAGTTAACCATACTTCAACAGTCACCGTTTCAGAACTACGTGATACTTTCACCATAAATTAAATCTCAACAGCATGCCAGAATATACTCTTGCTTTAAGTGCTGGCACCCACCCTATGATTTTCCACGATTATAGAGGCGGTGCAAGCAGTCACATACCTGCTCCTGCTCCTAGTTCTGCTCCTGCTCCTGCTCCGATGCCTGTGTCTAGATCTTGATCTAGAACGTGATCTTACACGCCGCTTTTTATCTCGGCTTCGGGATCTTGACTTTTTTCTATCACGGCTTCTACTACGATGACGCCTGAAAACACATTCCAAATTCCTGGTAATATTTCCTAGTTTCACTGTTCTGTTTAACTGCAGCAAAATCTATGTATTTTCTTCTATTTACGAGACCAAAAACACCTCCGAGAGAAGTTTTGGATTCATCTACAAACAGCCTGTAAAATCAGTGACCTGACCACCACTTACAATTGTCATTCTTACAAACAAGTTATTGGCCTATCCTATAGATATGATTAAAAGGTTATGGTATAAGAATGCTAAATATGGCAAAAAAAACCCAGCTCAAATACTGGTAGATATAGTATTTATGTGCTTAGAATAAATATGAGCAATTACACCAAAACCACACAAAGAACGTGTTGACAATTCAGTGATTTTCTATCAACACTGCAACCAGGTGTGCTAGAGCAAGCATTTGGGACGAGTGTGTAGCCAGGCATTAAAAAAGTCTAATTACTTTTCAATTAGTAGTAAACATGGGCTTAAATTCAGCAAATTTAAATCACACTTTCAAAGGAGCAAAAATGACTATAAATATCCAGAGGAATTTCCCAAGTAAGGCAACATATTAAAGAAGAATTGCATAATCTACCTTTCACGAGACTTAGACCTTGAATGACTTCGTCCCCTTGAAGATTTCCGCTCCTTGCGCTTGTGCCGATCCTCACCGTTTTCAGAAGTGCTCAGGCTCTCTCTCCCTTTATCAGAGGAGTGTTCTTTGTCGTTATGATCTTCTGACTTGTGTTTCTTAGAGGACTTCTCTTTGGACCCATGTCTTCTTGCCTGTTTTAAGAAGAAGTTGGTTCTTTCAGGAAAATAGTGCAACAAAGAGAGTTAGTATGGGCATCAGCAGATAAAGAATGATATGCTGTGATGCAACATTAGTAACCTTAGGATGTGACGGCTGTGTCCACTTGTGATGGCTTTAACACCACCATCTACCCAATGTTGCAGATACACATGACCATTCCTCCTCCCACCAATTCTGCTCCCCGCCCCCATGATGCTCTTTAAGCCCTTTTGTACGGGATTACAGCGTCTCATCCAATGACCAGTTTCACGGCATTAGGCACGACAGCCACCTGACTCGCATTTCTTTACTTCGTGCCTCGTGACAAGACATTGCTTCTTAGGCCTACAAGGTGCATGTTACGGACATAAACATGAGACCTGTATAAGGGCTCAAGGACAGGCTCGCCAGCCAAGAAGGTAGCTTGGGAGCAGCTCTACTGACCATCCTTTTAATGCACTGTAACGGAAGTGTGTACGCAATGTATTTTCAGCCTGAAGCCTAACACTCCAGACGGCCAACATGTTTTGTTTGGAGCTTGCTAACCTCTACGCATTTCTTGAAGGAGACTCAATGTAACAAAGTTTTTAAATGAAAGGTTTTTGGCCGTTTCTTTGTAGCTTTTATTCTGTTTACTGCTTATGTATACATTTCTATTCTGAGAAACACAGGGGGATGTCTTCATAGCAACCCAAAATTTGTATTAAGGAGTAATAGTAAAGGTAAATTCCATGCATTTCATAGAACAGTTCACATCTCCCAGTCTCAACTAATCCTACTGAAATACTGCACATATTTATAATCTACAGCAATTTGATGTTGAAGACAGTTGAGAGGACAAAGGCATCATCACACTAACGTAAGTATTAAGCTGCTAGACATACTAGAAGATGAATTGGGGGGGGCTTCAAATAGTTGCTACTACCAATTATTTCCATTTGAGCTACTTTTTTTAGTGACTTGTACAACCACTGAAGAAAGGTTACTAGAACTTCACTGTAAAATAAAAGAGTGCAAAGTGTTGGCTTATTACGTACACAAGTTGGGGCAAACCCACACACATGGAATGAATTCCCCCCTCCAAGGCAAAAACGTCAAAATAGCAGAGGTGGGGGCATATCCACGCATCCTCCTCCTGCACTGCTTCTTTTTTTAGCATGTTAAAGTTATCTCACTAGGAGAACTGTAAGACCCAGTGCATTATCCAACAACTATGCAACCATTACAGACTAAGACACAGACCTATAGTGAATATATGTTGGGCACAATAATTTCAACTAACACCACCAGCTATTCCCAAGGAATTGTACAGTATCACTTGTACATTTTACGTGACTTTTTCTAAACATACACTTTGTTTTTTAAAAAAACCACCATGATATCCCATAACCGATTTAAGTTTCTTTTTAAGGGAAATATGAGTTTGAATGACTAATAGTTACCTTATCATGAAGTAGGCTTATAATTTTGCTATCTGAGTCTGGAGCGTCTTCAGTTCAGTCTCTTCGCGCATTAGCACGCTGAGTATGATTTATTATAGAAATGTTATCATGTGATCTAAACAATATAGTCAATTTCACAAATACTCTCCTATTTTTAAAACAGAGCTTCCATTGTGAAAAGGGAAAGAGATGACCCTGCCCCCATTTTAAGAAATCTCTCTCATCTAGGGCTATCCAGCAGAACCTAACTCATCTGCAGGCGATTAATGCTGCTTGTCTGCAAATATAACCTCTACAACAGAGGGAACTGAACTGACTTACCTAGAAATGCTATCGCTATCGCCGTATCTCCCTTTGACTTTCCTTTAAGGACACTTTTACTCCTCAGAACTCTGTCATATGTACTATCACCATAGCAATACTTTAAAATACAGAGGAGAACTAAGTAAGTGGAGATAAGATGGGCAAAAGAACTTTGCAAACTCTGGGTAATGGAAGCTCTGTGAGAATCAAATACACAAATCCTATATCTCCAAAGAAATGTTTATTGTTTGTGTTAAATATGGTTGTTTCCACATTTAACTTCTGAATGAACTGGCAACTATTACCTTTTTGTCATAATGATGGTTTCAGTCATGCTTCTCACTCCAAGCACATTTTTGTACTTACCATTTAGGCAATTCTATATTAATATTTATATATGATATGACATACTTTTAAATATGTCTTGCACAATTACCCAAGCACTACAAAGTATTAATTACCTCTTTGCTTCTGCTCCGGCTTCTGTATTTTTTCCCGTCATTATCTAGGGAAGGAAGCATTTACTAATCAAGTGAGGAACCTGGGACACAATTCTCTCTTTTTTTCTATATATACTCCACTACCTGCCATAGCTAGTGCAGAAGCAGATTAAATGCAGACTAAAATATATTTCAATACTTCCATTTTTACCTTTTGTCATGTTAGCTACTCTCCACCCCATAAGTACTAACCTAACTCTGAAGCTGAGACAGTTCTCAAAACAACAAAACTGAATGTTGAGCTTAAAAATGTTTCCTTGAGAGTTACACTGGTTTCACTGCAAACTGGACTCCAGGTAAGCAGGTAACCATCCGAAGTATAATACTGAACACCACTAAAACACAGATACATCAAATAACAAGACTTATAACAGAAACTCTAACAGCCAGAGGCTTTCATACCTGACTTTCGTTTTCTTTCTCTTGATCGTGAACGTGACCTCGAGTTATGGTGTTTTGAAGTTCTAGGGGAACTAGATGCATCTGAGCGTTCCTTTTTCTTCTCTCTATCAGGAGATGATTTCTCTGGGGCTGCTGTCTCTCTCTCTGAATCACTAGCCTATGTAAATGAAATACTTATTATGAAAAATGACCACCTGAATTACTGAAACATATTATGTTCTAGCTATTGCCAAGTAACTAGGGCATTGTTTTACAAGTCCTTTTGTTTTTTAAAGCAAACATAAACCACTAAAATCCAGTTCATGTGTGGCCTTCTTTCAGCAATATACATCATTTAAAACATTATTTCACTAGTTTCAACCCGTAACAGTTTGTTAAAACAACCAACTTCAAACACTGTTACAATATTGTCTACCACAGACAAGGATGTGAAGTCCCACGATCCCTACAATCTCACCCTAGCTTCTGAGAGAGAAGATGGACCTAGTGTCTTCCGCTAAAGAAGATTCTGAAAACAAAGCTTCTCCTCGGTGACATACATGGAATCCTATTAATCCAAGGGATTGAAGCAGCAGCCCAAGTTCTGTCTCCTTTTGCTCCTTTTCCTTGTAACCAGTATTTTTTACTTTTAAGAAGTTTGGGCGGGCAGAAATATGAATTTGTAGCATTCTCCACGGGCTCCCCTTACGAATACTTAAGGCCCCACAAATGCGCCCTTCTTCATTACTAGCAAGAGAAAGTCGTACACATCTTTCTCGCCCAGGCCGAGGCTCTCTCCAAATGTAATGCACGACAGCTTCCAGACCCTCAGCTGTTTGAACTGGCTGGGGATGAGGGGAGCTGTAGTCCACCATAGCTAGGCATGGCACGAGGTTGAGGAGGCTGAGAACTAAACACAGCTTGTGGCATGTTCTGGCTCACCACATTAACCCAAATATGCATTTTCCAAACGGAATCTTATTTTAAAACTGATTTCCAAAGGTCAACATACAGAGGAAAAGGAGTAATTCCCAAGGTACCAGTGTTCTTCAGAAACCAGTTCTCCCCAACTTCAATGAGAAATTAGGCTCGGCAATAAAGTAATCTCTTAGAACACTTAAAAGTTTTCAAATTAGTTTGTTTCCACAGGCCTGACAATACAGCCAGCAATGATGAAACCTACATATTATTTTACACTGGGTTGGATACGCACAAACCCCCGATTTCTTCTCTGTTGTCTCTGTCTATTACACACATGTTCTTTGTGTGACTACACAGATGACCACTCCAAAAATGACAGTTACAGGTAAGCGACCTGCCTGTCTCAAGAGAAAAGATCATGGGATGCTCCCACTGAAGCAAGCCATGTTTGTCCACTCCCTTCTCTATATGGTTTTCCCTGCAATCTGCTCCCAAAAGTTGGGGGAACAACAGCATGCACAATTGTGATGGGCAACAATTCCATTAGCTTAAGTCCTGACTGATCCAAACCCTTACTGCTAGGTGTGAAAAAACTACATATAGAAAATGGGAAGGACTTTATGGCTATGACGGTGCAAGTTTATTTGGGGATAAGTCCCACTAAACTCAATCACAGTGACTATAATAAATAAGACTGAGCTCTGAATATACCCACTACACGTTCCTGGACCAGAATAACCCATGAACCCATCATGGCCCTATTAACAATTTGTAAATTTTGACATTCAAAAACTGGTGTCATGTTTTTCTCAACTCGTTCTCCTCTGTATTTATTTTAATGAGCAGTGACAGTTTTTAATTAGCAACCAGGATACCCCAAGGAATTTTGTGTTTTTGTAGTTCACACTACCTCACACTGTTTAAAACAAGAATGAAAGAGTGTGAAATTTTATATATTTAACTGTTTTAAGTTACCAATCTTAACACTTAGAATGCAGAAGAGTAATCCTTAAATATGATAAAATATAGTACAAAACATTGCCCTGCCAAATGAAGATGGGTGAAGGAATTAGCCAACCTCTTTATGTAATCTAGGCTGGCAAACTTGTGCTCCTTGCGATGTTCTGGTTTCACCCACCACCATCAGTTAAGAGGAACACACCAAAACATCTGGAAGGCTGCAAGTTGCCCAGCCCATACACAGCACTCAAATCTACGATGGATGACTGCATGGAAGGCACAACTGCCTTATTCTTGTTAATTTTATTTAGATGCCACCCAATAACCAAAGCTATCTGTGGGTTTACATCATTTCTGAAAAGCAATGCAGTAACAGACAATCAAACGTAATATTATAAACTAAAACGGCTGAAAAACAAAACTAAAAAACACAGTAAAGCCCTGTACAAACACCCGAGGTGGGTGTTCTCCTCCAACCTTGGCTGCCCCAGCGTCTCTTTAAAAGCCTCTGCACAGAGGGGCACAGAACGGGTAACAAGGTTGGCACCAGCTAGGCCTCACTGGGTAGAGCATTTCGTATCTGAGAAAGCTCTTCTTGCTGCTTACTGGCAGGGCTGGCACTCGGGGACAGGCCGCAGGTGCTAAATAAAGTGTCGTGACAACCCCCGGAGCCGAAATTTCCCTGCGCGGCGTTGCTTGCTTGCCGCCTCCGGGGCTCTTTGTTCTCATCGGGGGAAGCGATTTCCCCAGCGCCCTCGCAGGAAGGCAAGGCCAACTGGCCACAACTAAGCAAACACGCCCGCAACCCAACGGCGGGATGCTGGCCTGGCCTAATAAAGCGCCCGAAGCAAATGCTATGGCCCCTCGCCAGCACCGGAGAGTCCTCGGGGTATGTTGAGCGCTCCCCCTGGCAGCCGGAGGGGAAGCGGCGCACGGCCCGCCAGCGGACACCGGGCCAAGGCGGGCGTCGGGGGAGCGGGACGCGCGGGCGGCGGGGGAGAACGATGCCCCCGTCCTGCGGCCCCTCCGGCCCCCCGAGCCAGGCCCGTTGACTGAGGCGCGCGGGCCGAAGGACGAGGGCTGCCCCGCACCGCGTCGCCACGGGCCGCCCGGTTCAGCCGCCAAGCGTCGGGCGCGGGAGCCCCAAATGCGGCGGAAAAACAGCGCCGCCCGGCCCAGGGGACGGGTGCCCGAAGCAGAGGATCAGGGGCGAGGCGGGAGGATCGGGAGTTCTGGGCGGCAGGCGGGCAAGTGAAGGGGGGGCGGGGACGCAGGCGCCGGAGGCCGCCAGGCCGCAGCATCTCTGCTGAGCTGCACTGGAGCGACCCGAAGCCCGCATTTCAAAGGCCTCCGGGAAGGGCAACGGCGAAGGCGGACACCTGAGGAGCCGCGCTGGAGGGGAAACGAAGACGCCCCGCCGAGATCGCCGGCCGCTGCACGGGCAGAAGCGGCGGGGGGGGACGCGGGGAAAAGGGCTGCGCCCCTCCCGCGGCAGCTCCAGCGATGCCCGGCGGCCGCTGCCGCGCGTCCCCGAGGAGGAGGAGGAGGAGGAAGGGGGGAACGCGGCGGAGAAAGTTCGAGAAGGCGCGCCGGCGAGCCCCGCGCCAGGCCCATCATGGCGCCCGCGGAGGGAGCGGAGGAGGGGACGGGCGCCATCTTGTCTCGCGCACACAACTGGGCGCCGTCCGCCCGGCCCGGCCCCCCCGCGCACCCCCCCCGCGCAGGAGCGGAGCGGCTCACCGCCATGTCGGCGCCGGGGCTGGCGGGGCGCGAGGCGCGGGTCCTCTCCGTCTGGCGGCGGCGCCGGCCCCGCAGCAGGCGACGAGCAAGCCCAGCGCTCGCGACTCCGCCTCGGCCGACTGGCTGAGCGGCGCGCACCGACCCGATCGGCCTCGCCCACTCCTCGGAGGTCCCGGATGTAGCTGGGCGGGGGGCGGGGAGGGAAGGAACCAGGCGCCCGCGCAGTGCGCGAAGCGGTCCGGCGGGCCGGTGGCGGGAGCGTAGAGCTACGGCTTCTGAAGGGAGCAAAGGGCCTTCGGGAGCGCCAGCTTCCTAGTCTATCCTGCCGAAACTGTGCCAGCTTTCAAGATCGCCAGATCTCTTCCTCAGGCAAGAGGTTACAAAAGCGACGTCCTTCTTTATTGCTACATAATAAATAAATAAATAAATTAGTATTGCATGCGGTGGTCAAGCTTCGAATCAAACAGGCAGCAGCTCATCACTTACAGTCCAACCATTGTTGTGAAGTCATGTACTGGGATTTCTATTTTAATTACAGAAATCATTCTAGATTGGCGTCGTTCTCTTAGGACACAATCCGATGCTCTTTCGGACACTCCAAAAAATCCCCACTGGCCCGGGAACGCTAGGAGTTTTAGGGCCTTTTCCTCCATAAAGTGGCACCCTTCCTGTTCATATTTCCGCATATCGGTCCATCATTTATTTGATGCGGTTGCTGGGATGGGCACGGGGCTATGTAACGTTACACTCAGAAAGTCTGAATTTCTCCACTGAATTTGACGGGCAGCCTTTCACTGCCTAGAGGTGAATGGAGGGAAAAGGGTCTGATGGAACCGCCAAGTTCCATGCCGAGACAGAGACTCTATATTTTCTTATATCTAGGAAGCGCACTTGCTCGCTTGTTCGCCGAGGAAGTTTGACCCGTGCGATGCCCCGTAGCCCTCCGAAATTAATAAGAAAAAAGTTCCCGCCGATTTGAATGTCCCATTAACGCGGCGGCTGATTTTGAAAAGAGAAAGTGTGTCGATCGCTATCGTAGCTCTCTCGTACAGAGAGGCGTAACCTAAGGCTTGCAATTGGCGGTGGACTTTATGGGTCGACTTTAAGAACTGGCAGACAGGTGGGCGTTCAACAGGTGAAGCTTTCCGCAGCATCGCTCCGTGGCAGGAAAAGCTTTCTCGGTGGAATGTTTGCCTATCAGGCAGCTCCGAGTGCTACAGGAGACTTGCCAGGAAATAAACTGTGATCCCAGCTTGTTTGTATGTATATCAGTGGGGCTGACAAGATCAAGGGACGGATAAAGTTTTCAGAGTGTAAGGGAGGATCCGATGAGTTGTTCCCTGGGCGGTATATCAGCTTTTAATCAACACTGTACTCTAAAGTTGGATTTTTAATCAACATAAACGAGAAGCTTAAATAATCCGTGGCAAAGGAAAAAAATTGGTGAGCTAGCAGGGCATAATCTATCATAACAAATAGTTTAACAGATTGAAACCCTTTAGTATTTTTGTTATCCCTGAGATCTGTAGAGAGGTGCTTGAATATTAGATTTCCTTTGCTCACCTACATTATGTTAGATACTGGGGAAGAGGAAACATCCCGAATATTGTAGAAAAAAAGATTAATGACATCAGTGTTGCTTCTGAACTGACACATTATAAAGGACAGCACAGAAAAGCTTTACATGAATAAATAAAAAAATAAAAATTATGTATTAATGAAGAATGACAAAATTATCGTTTTCTGGAATAACAGACCTATTGAATTCTGGGGAAATACCTCTGTACAGCATTAAACAGAGTAAATGATTAAACATGTACAGTTTAAGAAGTAGTGCAAAAATTATAAATAGCTCAAGAAGTTAAACTAAAGGCTATTTAGTTTTCTAAAAGCTTAATTTTCTTATAACAGGCTGTCAGGGAAGTAGAAACATCAACTCATAAATATTTTCCTTTCAAATGCTGCCTGTCATACAATTGTATCAAGTACACGGAATAGTTATTTTGTTTTAATGCAAAGACTCAATCTTACTTGGTTGTTCTGCTTGTTCATTTTTACCAGGGCACCAAGATTTCCAGAAAACATGTGGAACAATGTTGAGTTTTTGACAAGTGATGACACAGGAAGTGGCCAGCTAAGCATCCATTCCAGACAAGAATGTGGGAGCACGCTGTATCAAATGAATGCGCTCATCAAAGTCGCCGCATCTGAAAAGGTAGAATTTAGCCAGCCAGTCATTCCATTTCAAGCAATGCAAGAGGAGAATGCACCACTACCAGGGCTGTACAGGAACAAAGAAACAAAGAACGTCCCGCTGCAACGTAACTCTCCTCCTCCTCCTCCTCCTCCTCGCTCTGACCAAAAGCCACCCTGCAAGCAGTTTCAATAGTGCCATTAGCAGACTGAACTTTAACTCTTGTTTAGTCAATTGTAATGGGAAGGACTATCATTAACATTAAGATGATATTCATGGGTCACGTGAGTCCCTTGGACCACAAGGCGATCAAACTGGTTAGTCCTAGGGGAGGTCAACCCTGACTGCTCTTTAGAAGGCCAGATACTTAAACTCAAATACTTTGGCCACCCAATGAGAAGGAAGGACTCCCTGGGAAAGAGCCTAATGCTGGGAACAATAGATGGCAAAAGCAGAAGGGGACGGCAGAGGATGAGGTGGCTGGATGGAGTCACTGAAGCAGTTGGTGTGAGCTTAGGTGGACTCTGGGGGATGGCGGAGGACAGGAAGGCCTGGAGGAACGTTGTCCATGGGGTCGCGATGGGTCGGACACGACTTCGCGACTAACAACAACAACAACATCCATGGGTTGTGCCTGACTGTAGTACCTGGTCAGCAGCGAGAGCGCTCCAAGGACTGGTGGGAGGACATGCTTAGCTCTGTGTCCCATCACTCCAAATAGTTGCTGCCGAGCCTCTTTGCCACAGATGCGGCTTCTGCTGTTGGAAGCGTGGGTGTTAGTGGCACCGTACGGCGAGAAGTGGTGGCTCTGCCTCGTTGTTGTGGTCCTCTGCTACCCGTAGGCTCTGCAGGGCGTGCTAGGAGAGCTGGGCCTCTGATCTGAGACATGGTTCTTGCGTCGCAGAAGAACTTTGCCTCGAAACCTGTTAAAACCTGTTGGAAAAGTGGCAAATGGAATTTAATTTTGACAAGTTCCTTTTCTGATTGTATTTGTAAAGGATGGCTACACAGGTTCAGATTCTTCCTGCTCTTATTCGACAGGTTTTGTCAAACCCAGAGCTGTATGCAGGTAGCTCGGGTGCCGGCTGCGTGGTGGCGGTGGACAGAACTGTGCTGGTCCTAGACAGCATTTGCCAGTCTCTTCAGCTGTGCATTCAATTTGGTGAGTTTACGGACGTGTTTGGGAACCTGCGGTCCTCCAGGTTTTTGGACTACAGTTGTTCCCATTCTCCATGGTGGTGGCAGCTTATTGTAGTTGGAGTACAGCAACTATCTAGGGTTGGGGACAGATGCCCACCTCTAGTTTCAGCCTTGAACCTTGAAGCAAACACAAACTGTGGTCTTTGGGGTTACTTCATTAACACAGGGGGTTAGAATTTTCACTGTGAGGCAGTCCAGTTTATTTTTGAAAATTTGTCCCCTGATCTAGGCTTCCTCCTGTGCTGTGACAGTGCTTATCTAACCAATCGGGAAGCTGGTTTGTTTTAGCACATCATAGTTAAAGTTAACCTGAGTTTAGAGTTTGGATGGTTTGCTGAACTGTGGTTAATCTGAAGGTGAAGCTTTTAACAATCTCATCATGGTAACTCTGGCAGGGGAGGAGGAAAGATGCAACAGACCCCTGTGGTTTATTCTTGCAATGGTAAACTAGGGTAACACTGTGCTGTTGCATTTAAACACAGCCGAAATCTCTGGTCACTGAATACTTTAAATGCTTTTTTTAACCTTTCAGAGGCTGAGGTGGATGTTGTTGGCTTGTGTCAAGAAGGGCAGTTTCTTGTGGCTGGAGAAAGAAGCGGCAACCTACATCTTATTCATGTATCTTCAAAGCAAACCTTGCTAACTAATGTATGTCATTTATTTGTTTCTTGTAAATGGACTTTGCATTCTTAAGGGATGCAATCTGATGCATGTGGGGACTCATTTTGTCCCTGAATTTGGATATAGCACACAGAAGAATTTCTGCTGTTGATGGGCTGACCAGTTTACACTATGATTTATTTATTGTAAATACAATAAATGCAAGGCATATTCATATAATTTTCAAAAAGTATGTTTTGAATAGGAATAAATTATGGTATGATACCTGATATAAATGTCCTTGTTTTCTGGTGCGACTCCATTTATAATAGTGTCTTTTTTCTATGAATTGCACACTTAGAAGTTGGTTCAAAGATCTTCAGATGGGAGAACTTACATGAAGCTGATTCTAGAAAAAGACAGTTCTGATGGAGGTATGATTCCTTATGAGTAATCAGACTTGTATTTTTAACATTTTTTCTTGCAACTAAAGTTACCATTACTGGAATTTTAATTTTACAGCTTTGCCTAACAGGAAAGCCCCACGTTTTCTCCAAGTGTTTCTACTTTTTTATTCTGGGAATCTTAAGATCAGATTTTGGCATGTGCGTTCTTGGTCATTCATGTTCTGTGAGATTTGCATGTACTTGATCAGGAACGAGAGTAACCCAGGCTATTTGTTGCTGTTTGTTGTTGGTCTTTATCTTTGGAGCAGCCCAGACCTCTGCTTCTTTTATTTAAGGATGCTCACAAAGACATACTGTGAGAACACCTGTTGGGAATAACCTGCAGGTACCTTTGGGAACACTTGTTATCTGACACTTTACCTTGTCTTTGGATATTTTATAGGTATCTACCATGCATTTATTCTCACAAACAACGGGTTCTTCTGTGTTATGCACCTTCCACTTGCCAAAACTCAGGAAGGTAGGACAACCTGTTTTAGATCCACGTCATAATCTTACATCATTGTGTGGGTGAAGGGATGGAATTTCCCTTGCTGTGTTTGACAATAAGATGCTGCATACCAACCTCTTAACATTCTAGGAGCAAAAGTGTTGTTAGATAATTGCTATGGGGATGCTTGTCAGCCTCTCAGCTCAGAAGCTTGCAGGTATGCGAAGCAGAGCAGGAGCGGCAGTGGAGGCCACCTCGCCTTCCTGCCTTTCCCACTCCGCACTTCTGCTAGATGGCCTCCTTCAACTGCCTAGAAATGGCACTGCAGGGGAAGGGAAGGCGGCTGGAGTCCCATCAGATCATCTTGTATCCTGGCCTCTCCAGCTTCCTCTCCTACCTGCCATCTTTGGCCCCTTTTGCTTGCTGCTTTCCTGACCTTGGAGAGCAGCCAGGGTGGGTCTTTCTGCACCAAGCGAGCGGGAGTTGGAGCTTGGATGCCGAGCCCTGAGGCTGGAGGCCTGACTGCAGCCTCAGAGCTGGCAATTCCAATTATTCTGTGGCCCACCCAGACAAGGCCCAGGGCTCATAGGACCACTCCATAAGACACGCTGCCTGTATTTGAAAACTATACGCTACTATACCAAGATAGCATCGCTGTAAACATCGCCTCAAGGATATATTCTAGAAGGCACAAGCGCGATAGAAGTGTGACTGGAAGATATTTTACAGGGTGGGTAAAACTGTTGAGTGGGGGGGGGGCGGTAAATGCTCAAATGTGAACTGCCCTTAACAAATTTTTAATCCATATGCAGCAATTCACAAGATGGACATCGATACTGCAAAGAAGGTAACCATGTCTTACATCTTGTGCTTTGTTTTTAAAACACTTTGGTCACGATTGGGATTCCTGTGCGCACGGGAGGCTCCCAGGGAAGCAAAAAGCGTCGCTCCCTCTTACTCTGCATGACTTCCCTGAGTGTACATCCTCCCGTCCCTTTTCAGTGATGGAGTCTGAACAAGCCGCAGGCTGCCTGATTCAGGGGCAAGCCCGTTCAAGGGGCACGGCAGGCATCCCCGGTCAGCGGCCGGAACCTCCTCCAGGTCCATCGCGGCCTCGGAAACGGCAGGGCCCTCGCCCGGTGAAAGTCTTGCTGCACCAGCGGCCAGTCGTGGCACAGGAGTCCCCAAAGGATATACGATCCTCATGGGGGACGCTTCTGCCATAAGCATTTGGCATGTGTGCTGCTGAACTGAAAGCAATCTAACAGCCTTCCCCAACCCGGTGCCCTTTGGATGTGTTGGACTGCAGCTCCTATCATCCCCAGCTGGCAGCAGAGCACATCTGGAAGGCAGCAGGTAGGGGGAGGCTGGCTTATAAGGACTGCAGATGACAGCCACCAAGTTAAGGCCTTCAACCTCCTCTTCACTCAGTTAACTACAAATTATTTGTTAATAAATCATTCAATTCACATGTATTAAATGCACGGCAGTCCCAACATTGGCGTGGGGGAGGTTACCATTTCTCATAAAACTGGGAGCTGCTCTTACCACTAAAACGTGCAAGTCTCAAATGTCTGTCGTACGTTTGTCTTACAGTTGCAAGGGGAGGTGGAAATGTGTTTTATTTCAACGAAAGACTATCATACCTCTGGATGCCTTACTTCTGTGGCTGAGCAAACAACAAACAGGATCACACTAATAATAGGGGTAAACAGAATTATTCTTTGGAATTCCTTTGTCTGTAACCTTTCTCTGGATTGATTTGGCACAACTACGGTGTCTGTAGGGCTTGTACAAATACAGCAGCTTCTGCAGCCTCTCCTAAAGCTCTTTGAACAATAAAAATACAACATTAACTTCAGCAATATCATAAATGCCTTGAAAGATAGAATCCTATAACACTTCTCTGAGAATATATCACAACAAGGCTCGCTTCCAAGTAAGCATGTACCAGAACGCACTGAATATTTCTTGAGAAACAAACGAGTGTTTCTGAAATGCGTTTGTCTCTTAAAGGGTTTGGGCGACTGTGTGTTGTCTGTGTGGGAGGTGAATCCAAGCAAAAAGTGGATCGCAATTCAGAATGTTGCTGAATCAAGTACAATTACAGGTTCGTGTTCCTTGCTTATGCATCCGGAAAAATGCTTTCCCGGGATTTAGCTGTTCAAAGCGTTTGGAATTTGTTCAAAGGGACTAAAGGGGAAACTACACAAGAGAAGGGCGGGGGATTGTGGGGAACGGATCTGGAGGCCTGTGGGACATGATTCTCACTATTTACTGGCCTTACACAGCACTCTGCCCCTCAGAAATCTCCTTTTTAAACCTGTCAGGCCTCTGCTACTGTGGCAGTGACTCAGGGCCTCCAATTTTATGTGCGACAAAGTACGCAGCAGCCTGACTTTGGCAATCGGGCCCTCCCCCTTTCCAGAACCATCAGCAGGTATTGCAAGCGGACATTTCCGAATGCTTTCCACCGAGGCCTGTTTACTGGGGGCTGGCAGGACCAATCAGCCAGAGACGGAAGCTTTTCGGGGAACTGGGAGCCCTCCTAGTATGGCACCTCCACGGAGGTGGGAGCTGCCGGGCTGTCTTCGGGCTCTTTGCCCCAGAAGGCCTTCGGCACAGCAAGCTGTCGTGCTCACTACGGGGTGGTGTGCCCGGACTCCCCTGGCGCAAACTTTTCCAGGCAGGACATTAACAGAGCTTGTACTTTTTGTTTTGCAGCTGCAAAAAGGCTTCAGGTTGTCGATAGCTTGTTATTTGTCTTGGATAATGAGGCAAGTCTATTAGGATTATACTCATTTTGTAATCTAATTTTACAAATAGTTTCTGTATAATTTTGTTCCATCATTTTAAAAAGCCTGTTATCGTATTTTTTGCTGCAAAGGAGCTGTGTGAATGAGCAAGGATAAGCCAAGATATAATTGTTACTATTGGAATCTGGTAATTTGCCATTTAGTAAGAAAACATGGGGTTGGATTAAGACTTAGTTTTACCTAGAGTGGACCCATTGAAATTGATGGGACTTAAGTTAGTCCTCATTAAATTACATCCATTTCTGTGGATCTATTCTAACCAAGTCTGGATCCAAGTCATTATAGTTGTTGGTGTTGTTGTTGTAATTAAATTTTTTAGACACATTTTAAAAAAGTTGTTTTCCGTTTGCTTCTGCTGAAATTCAGGGCTACCTATAACTCAGTGAGCTCACGGCTGTATTGTTTTTAAGTAGCAAGCAATAAAAAGATTAATGTGTTTAATGTTTTAATAGTTCTTATTTTAAGTATATTTAAGTATAAACACACATTTGCTAGTGAGAAAATTAATCTGAAAGATACACTCTGTAATGGGTCAATTTAGTAATTAGGGAGGTCACAGTAAGCTTATTGTTTTGATTTCTTTCACAAGGACATGGTCTGTAGGAATAAGGTATAGCTTGAAACCTTGGCTTCATAACATGAAAAGTTGAAGTAGTATAAATGTATACCTTTCAGAGAGTTAAAGGAAATTTGCTCACGTCTAAGTCTCAAGTATACCAAATTAAACGTCAAACAAAAATTTGTTTCTTCTCTGATAGAACGTGCTGTCATTATGGGATGTTTACTCTCTTACCTTGATTTGGAACTGCCCTACAGTTGATATTGAAGAATTTCTTCTAACTTCAGAATCGGATTCCTCAGCGGTCTCCAGGTAAACTCTGCATTGTCCTGAGAAATATGGAAAGGAGCCACGGCTGCAGAATGGGCCCTCCCAGTCATGCTGTAGGGCCAAGAGAAGAAAACCAGGGCAGGGTGCAGACAGATCGGTTCCCAGGGGCTGGGTCTCCAGGGACAGGGACCGGGGCTAAGCCCAAACAACAGAGGATGGTCCTTCGTCGTCTCCCATATGAAGAGTGGAGGGAATGAAAGTAACGCAGTGGAGCAGGGCCACCGCTGCGGCCGGGGAAAGTCCTGGCGTGGCGTGGATGGCCCAGCTGGAGGAGGTGGTGCGTCTGGCGCCATTGACACAGGGCGGAAACATAAACCTGTTTTACACAGGGGTGCCTCGTGTGCACCCTGCAGGCAAAGGACAAGCTCCCCTCTGCACACCTGGGCCGGGGGCAGCTGGTGCCCGAAGGGGTCGCGGGAATCCCCACCTCTGCCCTTTGCCCACCCCTCAGCAGCTGGGACGTTGACTGAACAGGCGAGGGGGGGCAGCCCCTTCCTCGGGAAACAGCAAGCCACTGCTGACGTGGCAATGCGGGCGTTTTGCTGGCTAGGACTGTCCTGCCCCTCAGTGGGGATGGCTCGCCGCCTCTAACAGCTTTGCGTTTTTCTCTTGATCAGACAGGGAATTGCTAGCCTGAAACTGGTTGCTTTGACAAAACCTGAGAACAACAAGCAGGTATTGACTATTCATTCATGTCTTTATCTGAAAGGCTTTTATTCCGAAAAGGGCTCCTGTGCGGCTGCCGTGGCCGTTGTGTCGAGGAATACATGAGGCGCAAGGGAAAGCAAGTGGGGAAGGGGCTGGGGAAGACTCAGGGCTTTCATCAGGGTTGGCGGATGGGCCCCGCTTCCCCACCCTGCTCCCTCCGTGCAGCCTGATGGGATGCCACTCCAGGGAGGGTGGGGATGGTTTTAATTTGGCAGAAACTGCCCCAACCCCAAGCCTCTATTTTGACTACACAGCCGAAGGAAGCAGCACAAAACTGGTGTCCACCCAACAGGGCTTCAAAGCCTATTTTAACGAGCCCCCGCTCTTATGGTGTTCTTAATTGATCTGTTCCTGTGTAGATGAGAAACATCGTCGTGTTTTCACTGCCAGCAATGCACCAGCTGTACTCTTTGGAAGTAACAAATACTTCTTCACTGGTTCAAAGTGGAATTAATACAGTAGGTTTATGTCGTATTCTGCGGGGGGAGGCAGTTGTGAAAGGGAATTCTTGTCAGGAATATTAGAAGAAACTGGAAAGCTGTTATCGGATGGGACGTACTGATTGGGTTTGCATTATGTGCTTATGCTGCCAAGTCTGACTGACAGTCACGGCGAGCCATGATTGGCTCCTGGTCGTGGCTGTCAAAGAGGAGCCTGCCTCTTCCCTGCAGGGTCTCTTGGGATGCTGCCAGGGGGAATGGGAGAGGGGAGGGAGGCGGGGGGGGAGCAGGACTATGATAAGCCCCATCATCTCTTGGGCTGCTTGGCGCGTCAGAGCAGCCCAGGGTGATCTCCCCGGAAGGGTGGCTGGGATGTATGTGCGGGGGACGGGGGTGGATTTAAGGTCTTAAGGCTGACACTTTTGAAAACATGAGCGGAAGTTCTGATGTCAAACGGCTTAACTGGTGATCCTGGGCAAAACCATGAAGCCTCTTCTTTTAGTTCTAGAAGGCTGTTATGCAATGTAAGAATAACATGGAACAGATTGTCTCTGTCCTAAATATTGTCTCTCCCACAGGACACAATATATTTTTTGGAAGGCATGTTTGAAAATAACCAAAAGTAAGCCTGTACTTGCACTCAAAGATCAATCCAGTCTTTCCTCCAGATGTTTTAACAGCTGTTTTTAACCAGGCATTCATTTCTAGGTCATCAGACGTGCCCATTTCGTTTCTGGTAATGAGATGCTTAACAGAAGCCTTACCGGAGAATAGGTATGCGTATATTTTTGACTGCTGCTTCTCGAATTGGGTCCTTGGGCATGATTAAGAGTTAGGAGTGCTTAAGTTCCTTCATTTTCAAATGGAGATAGTCTGAATGTCAATGGATATTTTGTCAATGGAATCGATGTAAGGAGCAAATTTCTTGGAAGAGATCCCTTCTAATTATAGTGAGGAGTACTCCTAAGCTTTGCAGATCCTGAGTTCAAATGTCAAAGCTTCCCTCAAAATTACAGTGTTGAGAGAAGTAAGCACTTATGTTGACAGGTGAGGGCTTGGAAGCTAGGCAGCTAACCATAAATCATCAGCTGAACAGACCATTTGCTGAACTTTCTATAGAATATTTTTTCGATAAGGAGATTATTTGCACTTCAATTTTTTCTCTTTTTAGGCTGAGCCGTTTACTTCACAAGCACAAGTTTACTGAGGCAGAGAATTTTGCTGTTCAATTTGGACTGGAAATTGAGGTAAAGGACCTATGCCTGAAATCCTGCCCTATTTCCAAATGCAAAACCACAGGTATATCCTCCCATAGCTTGCTTGCATGTCTGCTTATTCCCGCGAGCCAAGCCTGCTGTACTCCATAAAAAATGACCAAGATAAGGAGCTTATTCTGGGCCTCCTTGGCTGGAAGTAACAGTAAGTCAGGATCTGGGAGTGTCCTAGCTTATAACAAGGAGCCTTTTGCAATTGCTTTGTCCCTCAGTAGTTCTGTGACAGCTGAACAACCCAGGCATTCTTTGTTCATAGTATCATTCAAATATGGGACGCAGGGTTGTTGCTCCCTTTACAAGCCAGGTTTTCAAAGCAGGGTTTGCTCCTGGTTGACAAATCCTGGCTTGTTTGAGAGCAACAAACCAAGATGACAATCATTGATGATTTGTTTAGCAGACATGCTAGTGGGATGGAGCAAAGGATAGATGAACGAGCCGTGTGTATCAGGATTCTGGGGAAACCTTGCTTGTTCTGTTTGAACTCAGCCCTTTTACTTTTCCTGAAGGGGATCCTTTAACTTTGTTTTGAAATTATGAACTGTGCTTGCTGCGCAGGGGTCAGAGAGAATGTGCCATCGTTCTGCAAATGTTACTCTGTGGATACCAGACAAGCCCATGAACACATACATCCTGGCTTTACTCTGGATACAAGCAAGGGGGGAATAACGTACTTTTATGTTTCCTTTTAAACAGCTTGTTTACAAAGTAAAAGTGAGCTCTATTTTGGAGAAGTTGGTTACAGAATCCACTGCAGGAGGTGGACAAGCAGCTTGGTTAGACCTTGTAGCTCAAGCTAAAGAAACCTTGAATAAAATTAAGGTACGGCTATTTTCTGCTATATTATATGGCTTATTCATCTATACTTCCCAAGACTTTTGGAAAATAAGGTTATTTCCATTTGTTGTTGTTAATTGTCTCCTACTTCCAAACAGGACAACCAGTTTGTGCTTGAGTATTGCATAAATATGCCATGGCCGACATATGAAACCGCCCAAGAAATGCTGTACTATGCTCGAAGCAGGGTAGGTTTCTGAGCAGTGCTTTCACACATCTTGCTCTGGAACTAAACGAGTTTAGATCAACCTCTCTTGTCATTGTCCAGCTATGATGCTGGTGTCATACTGCTTGAGATCTTTTGCATGTTACAGCCATTGGACTCCAAATTAATTCAGAATTTCCCATACTTATTCCAGGTCCTGAAAAGAGATGCCACAACAGTTGTACCTCTCTTGGCTGGGGATCCTGCAGCACTTTCAGAGGTAACCAGATAAAAATGTGGAGGCATTTGTGTTATTTCTGGGGTTTGCTGAGCTGAAAAGGGAGCTGCAGAATTTGGAATGTTGTTATAAGAGAACTAACATGGGATAAAATAGTATGGTCTTGTCTGGTCTCACAGTATTTTCAAATTACATATTTTTAACTTCAGGACATGTTCTAGAACAGGTAATGAACTTTGGGATCGTAGGCTATTTTTGGCCCACCTGAGGTCCTCGGATGGCTGTGTTTCTTTTCCCCAACTTCTGATCATTCATGGTTTTCCATGGATCTCCTTGATTTCTTCCACTGAAATTCCTCTCCCAAGGCTTCGTTTCTGAGGGCAAGAGCTTTCAGGTGAAATAAACTGGTATTCTTCCTGCATGGGTGTAGGAAAATAATGACCAAATGAACTGTACTTAGACGAGTGAAAAGGGAAGGGGACCCAAATCAGCCACTTTCCTGCCATACTTTATCCTGTTTTTCTTCAAGTAATTTTTCTCTGTAGCTCATTTCACTTTCCCTGGACTCTAGCCGTGCCGATTCTTATGGTAGAGTAAGATCTCCTTTATCTATCTATGAATAATTGTATATGTTTCTGCCCTGCTTCTTTGGTAAAGCTCTCAGAAGCAGCTTACAATAAAATGCTTTTTTAAAAAACTTGACGAATGGCATAATACAATAATAGCACCTCTGAAAAGAACCTGACTCTAAGAGTTGCCAACCTGATCTTGTGGCAGCTGAAATGGCTACTCTGGGAATCCTATTCACCTTCTGGTGTGCTTTCCTATGCATTATTGCTGAAGGATTATTTTCCTGACATGTATTTCTGTCCTTCCCAGGTGCTGAGGGCACAAGCCAAACTGACTACCTTTTATGGAGCATTTGGGCTGGAAAAATACAGGTTGACCTTATTCCTCCTTATATCGTTTGTGGGTCTGTGTTAGCAAATGATGGCTCTCTCTTTACCACGCATACCAGCTATGTTAACATGTGACTTTTTCTGCACTGGAAGATTATGAAAGTTAGAAAGTAAACCAGGCATAACGTTGGCCACACACGCTTCCCACCCTGCGAAGGAGGCCTGCCATCCTCTTCATTTTAGGGTTCTGGGCATTTCTGTAGGGTTGGACGTGTAAGTACAGAAACAGCATTAATGTAATTATAAAGTGACGGTCACCATAACAGTTCCTTGGATTGAAACTTTGAAATACGTTTTGGTGAACGGGGCTCAGTAACTTAACTTTTCAATCATCTTCTGTATTGTCTAATCCAAATGCCCAGAGTAGGTTTTCAGGATTTCAAACCCAAATTAATTTGGGATGATCACCTTGTTTAAATACGAGGTATATATTTTCGCATTTGGAATGCATTTTTTTGTTAAAGAGGCGATCTTTTCTAGTGGAACTGCTTGGATTGAATTTCTGAACAATCAGAACATCTTCAAAGAAATCCTTTCACAGCTAAAAGAAGGGAATCTCTCCTGTGCACAGTACCTGTGGCTAAGGCATCAGGTAAATTATTCCAGGTACATTCTCAGGGAAGAGGCCCAACTGCTTTACCTTGTGACATGCTTGTCTTTCGTTATTTCTTGCTCCTCAAATAATGGGAACTTGCTACATAGGTTATGCACCTACCAGACCTTGTTACACCATCGCCTACCCCTTCAGTACACAGAGGAATAAAACTCTGCGTAAAACAGGGCGGTTGGAGCCCTTTCAGCCCTGAGGCTGAGTTCAGTTTTCGAGAAACTGTCATGGGTGGAATTCCAGCGATGGGTGGGCAGGGCTGAAGGCCAAAGGGGACACAGCCAAAGTACCAAACAACCAAACCTATTTTGAGCATAAAGGTTAGCTAAATTGCTAAGGAGAAGGCATGTCAGTATTTCGGAATGAGGAAAAGGGCACACGAAAGCCAGCGCTGGCAGCTGATGTGAGGGGTGGGCTCAGCTGAAGGAGGGAGTGTTGCACACTGGCTAGGTGAACAATGGGGTTAAGGCTCACCCCCCGGGGAAAAGATTCTCAGTGCCAGGGGTCCTTGAAGGAGATGGGCCAGTGGTCTTTGGTACAAGAAGGCTGTTCATTGCCTGCCACAATTACCAGGCTGTTGGATGTGAGAATGCATCTCCTCCTCCTCCTCCAGGCAGACTTCAAAAGTGACTTCAGCATGGACATGCTGGATGACCTGCTTAGCACCGTCCGCACGGCAGTTTCCCGCAAAGAACTCTGTCGGTGGTTTAAGGATGTGGTCATTCCTTTCGTAAGGCAGGTTATTCCGCATGGACAGGTAAGAGGTAATAGGAAATTGCGGGGGGGGGGGGGATCGTCTCTGTTATAACATTTCAGGAAGATTGGGGAATGGGGAAAGATGTCCGCAAGAGTGCCTAGGTCAGCCCTTTCTAATTATCCTTCTGCTGCTAGGAAGAGGCATTTTTTATTCAGGTCGCCCTTGGGCAAACTGGCCTGATGCTAAAGAGGGGTTTAACTGGCGCATTCCTTTTGTTGTCACATTTTCAAGTGTATTTTTATGCATTTGTTTTTAAGTTAGTCAAGTAAGGTTTTTTTTATTTTGGACTTTATTGTTAGATTCCTTGCGTGCCGGTTTTGCCAGAAAGTCAGAACATCAAGCATAAGTTTAAAGTACACTATTTGTTTTAGAAGTAACCTACCTTGACATTTATCTTCCAGAGGAAAATAGCAAAGTGGCTTGAACAAGGTGCACGAAACCTTGAATTAACTGATAAGGTAAAGTTTAGCATTTCCCTTAAAAAAAAGTACGTATCTCTTTGTTTCTGTAACTCTTTAGAAATATCATGTTTTCATTTTTCAAAACAGGCCAATTGGCCAGAAAATGGCCTTGAGATGGCACAGGTGTTCTTTAACAGCAAAGCTCCCGGTGAAATTGGATTGGCATCTTCCTGCCACTGGGTTCCTTTTGTAAGTATTTTGCTATTGCAAAACCACATTAGAGAGAGAGAGAGAAGTTTGGAATATTGGAATTGGAATTTCCCCTCCCTTCTCCCTTGTTGGGCTGGAAGTACAGCTGATTTGTACTGCTGATTTGTATTTCAGAAGGACAGTGATGAGGAAGAGGTCTGTAGTGTAAAAGGGCTGGTCAGTGCGTTACAGGGCTTGGTAGACCTGTACAGAAAATACAACTGCAGGCTGGCTCTATGTGACTTTGAAAAGGTACGAGAAACTTCAACATCCAAAATACGTTTGGGGTATTGTGTGTGTATGTGTGTGTGTGTGTGAGAGAGAGAGAGAGAGGGAGAGGGAGAGGGAGAGGGAGAGGGAGATCTTGAGAAGCAATTGGGCAAGCACAGCATTACAATATTGGCCTCGGTAAATTTTCTGCCACTTGTTAATCGACACCTAGGGTTTGTTTAGAAGCGGCAGTTTGCAAAATCTGAGGTAGCTGTGATGCACAACCTAAGCAATTAAGTGTGTATGAGTATGCAGAGTTGCATTTTGCTTTTAGAAATAAGCATGGCCCTTGATTCATGCTGGTATGGCTTCCTATGGATTCATTCTGTGGCCTATTGGTCTAAGAGTTTGGCAGTAGGTGGTTGTTTGCCAAAATAATACTTTTGAAGTACCTGGCCGCTGCAGAAATGCATTCAGTTTGTTCGGCGTATGATTATTTTTATGTGCGTTATTTGCAGGATGACATACTTTGCTTGTTTTTTCTTTTGAGATCATTTTGTTTATGGATATTTCTCTACCACCCAATGGCTGAAGTTCTCCACATAATTCCCAAACATTAAAACCAAAAAAAGAAATAGGCCAGTTTCAAACTATATAGAATGAAAATAATCTCATGGAACCTAACAGCTGTGCCAAGATTTTAACCCAACTTGGTGTGTTTTGTGAACGTGCATTTTGTTTTCTTAACATATTATATCTCAGTTTGAATGGTCTGTTTGTCTGTGTTTGATAACCTCCAGATATAAACCACCCTACATTACTTGGAAGAAGGGTGGGATATAAACATGGTGTGGATCTGAGTCTGTGCTCCAGCTCCTCAGGGCAGCTGTAGCTAATCCATCCACTTTCCTAAGGCATTAAGCCTTTCACCACCAGAAACTCAGTGCTGGTCTAAATGGGCCTTTGGCCTGATGCTGCAGGATGTTTACGTTTTTCCTGCTCCAAAGGTTGGGGCTGTGGGATGGAGGCAATTGTTTGGCCAACAGGATGGCAGCTTGGGAGGAAAGCCACGTTCGGGCCAGGGGGTGATGCCCCCTCTGTGCGTGCTGGGGGCGCTATTGTAATCACCCCTGGCAGCAGCCTTGCTGTATCCTGCAAACCTGGCCGGTGCGGCTTCTTGCCATGGTTCACAAGACACCTCAGTCGATGGGGGTCTTGGTGGGCTGTTACCTAGAGCAACGGGCTCCTCTGGCCATGTTCTGGCCACAAGGCCTGCTTCCAAGGGTAATCCCGCTGTTCTTGGCATGCAACCGGCATGGCCTGTGAGCCACCCTACAAACGTGGCCCTGGCCAGGGACTTACGTGTGACGATCAAGCCTTGGGGGAGCAGATGCCTCGCTGCTTCAGAGGATCTTTGGCACGGGCCGATCAGCTTGCTTCACGCATCATTCTTCCGTTGACTGTTTTTCTGCTTGTTTTCTGTCCCTTAGCAAAATGCAAATGCAATCGTGTTTCGTATGCTTGATAAAGTTCTGGCGGCAGAGCTTATTCCAGCAACTTTGGAGAAGTATATTGAACCATACATGTGTCATCGTAATCTGGAAAAAGATGAGATTCTCTTGCAGTACATAAAGGTATTGCTTTTTCCCTTCTCAACAAATACTCCAAATCTTGTATTAAATAAATACAGAACTTGTATGTGTATTTCTCTGAAGATGCAAATTCTTCTCTCTTTATCTGGGCCCATTCAAACTTTTTAAAAAAGTGGATTTACAAATACAGGGGCTAATCTGCATAACTATGCATTAAATATTTGCAATTTCTCTAACATTCCCATTTGAACAATGCTGTGTGAACCGAATGCCAAGTAGCACCTTGGTATAGGTGGGTGTTCAGAGAGATGACAAAAAACTGGCTGGCATGCCAGCAGCAAGTTTTCTCCTCGGGTAACTCTGGGTTGTTTAAATTTGGGTCATGCGCCTGGTCTCAGACATTATGCAGACAACCTACCAACCAGGCATCCCTGGGTTCTGTCTGCAGCATCAAAGAGGCTTGTGTGTGCCCCACACCCCCTCAAACATCAGGCTAAGTAACATTCTCCGAATGCTCTTTAGGACTTGCTGCAACGGTATTGCACAAGGTCAACCTCCGTCTTGGACACGACCTGGGAAGCAAAGGCCATCGCCGTCTTGGGCTGCATGTCCAACATAGATGTGAGTCTGGCAGAGTGCACAGGGACCAGGAGGCCCTCTTGGTGTTCTGCGGGGCAGGACGGGAGGTTCGGGCGGCACGTAAAGACGAGGCTGGTGGCCTGCCAGGAACAGGGCCCTCTTTTCCTTACAGATGGTCCTTGAAGGGGTTCTGGAGATAATGCACGGCGCGGTGGTCCCCTGGAGCCCCGGAGTGGAACAGCTGGTGCAGCAGTACCTGGGCACAGATCACGAAAAGTAAGAGAGCAAACGATGAATGCTCTCAAACCTCCAGTGTTCTCTGACTTCAGGACCACCTGACTGAAGCGGGTTCACTTTTGTTGAAGACAAACTTTAAAATAGTTCCTTAGATGGGTTGCCAGTGGCCCAGTGATGCTTCAGTTTAATCAGCCCTGTGTCTGGACACTGGTAGAACAGTGGCCGTTGGGAATATGGGTGTATCTCTAGAAAAACCAGGGAATATCTCTAGAGAAAAAACCACGAACATCTCTACAGTCTTTATGCCCACTGCGAGACAAAACACAGGAATGGGGCTGGCTAGTGCGGAGTTGAAGAGCGTGGTGTCCCCAGAGATATTTCTGGATGTTCGCAGAGATAGTCACGGTTTTCCCACTTTCCTGGGGACCCTGCGGTTTCGGGCCTCCGCCGGGGCGCTTAGAACCTATCCCCCGCAGCTATGAGAGTCCTACTCTATGATGAAACTTTGCACCTAGCAGATAAAATGACCCCCCCTATTTTCGCCTCGCTATTTCCGGATTCAAGGGTCACCTTACGCGTCAGAGTATGCCGTGTGTAACCTCACAACAACCGCACCTGTGTGATTTGAGGAGGTTGTTGGCACAAACGACAAGCTGTCGTTGTGGCTAAGGGAGCCGGGTTGTGGGCACGAGCGGCTGTGCGGTTCAAGCAAACCCACTTTGTTGCAGAGTGGCCCTGCTGCACGAAGGGTACCGCCTGATGGAGATGAAGACGCTCTTGCGGAGCTACGGCGTACGAGACACCAATCTTTTGAACGATAAGCAGATGATTCTGGTAAGCAGCTTGTGCGCCGCCTCTTCTGCCAAATTGCAGAGAAATTGTTCTCGTTTGTTTCAGCTGTGCCAGGATGCAGCCGCCTGCAGGATCGCAGAGTTGCTAACGTGCCTCTTTAGGATGAGGTGTCTAAAAATATCTCTTTATGAATGATCCTGCGATCATTTCGTATATCTGATGAAACACTGAACGGACGCTTATCTTTTTCAGATGTTGGTGAAGTACATTCTTAAACAGGAGAAACCTTCTTCTTTGGAAGATGCTCTGAAATTAGTCAATGCTTACATGTTGCCCTCTGCAGAAGTCTATCTTTGGTGGATTGTGGACCTTATTCATAAAGGAAAGGTGCGAACATAAAGAGCCGCTTGCAAAATCATCTTAAATATCAAAACTGCGAATTACAATGCTGTGCTTTAATTAAATTGGATGCTTGGTGTGCTTCGCAGCAACAAGTTGTGCTGTAACCAGTGACTTGCAGTGACGGCAGAGGAATAATCCTTGTATTAACGTGTTCTTAAGGAGCAGGTTGTAGCTCGTGACAGAGCAAACTTTGTACGCAGAAAGCCACAGGTCTGATTCCCGCAGACTCGCTTCCTGTGTTTCAAATCCAAGCACTTTCCAGGATTTGACGCAGCTTTGCCAGTAATGGTGCCCTCCAGATGCTTGGACTTCAGCACCCAGAATTCCTGACCAATGGCTGTGAGAGACTGGAATTAATGTCCAGAACAACTGGAGTACACCAGGTTGGAGAAGACCGATCTAAATAAACATTCAACTTAGCACCACATGCTCAAGGGGTTTTTAGATGTGTTTCTTACCCGGCAGGTGGGAGTCCAGCTTTTCGCTATGCTTCCTCAAGCCCTCTGAGGCATCCACAGCCTCCTATTTCTCCAGCTTTTATGGACTGAGCTGAGGGTCCACCATGCTTTGTGTCTGATTTCAGGGGGAGGAGGTCGTAACATTACTGAAATCTCTACCTGCTGCTGAAGCTCTGGAAGTTGCAGAGAAAATGCTGATATGGGGAAGGCTGGTGCTGGAGACGCAGCTGGATGACCATGAGGAAGAGGTGACTTTTGTAAAGCAAAGTGGGCACTGCATGTCCCACAGAAAGCATTATAATAGCAAAATTATTACGCTTGTGGACTTGACGGAGTAAACCGTAGAGGCAGGAAGCTTTTCCTGTCAAGGGTCCCCTTCATTCCTTCAGGGGTCCACATGCTGGCAGCGGGAGAAGCCGGGCTGGCTGGGTGGAACCTGCGAGGGAGCGAGCCCCAGGCGCCTCTGCCCCTGTGTCCCAAGTAGAGGTCACACGCAAAGGATTTTGGTGATTGTGGCATTTGCTGCAGGATGCAGAGCGAAGCTTTCAATACCATTTGCTTCTGAACAGTGAAATCTTGCTCCATGTGACCGAGGCCGACATTTTTCTTTTCTCCCTGTGCCCCCGTTCCCAGCAGCAGCAGCAGCAACAGCAGCAGCTGCACCTAAATGTGAAAAATATCCTCGTGGAGACCCTCAAATTCCTGCTTAGTCACCATAAAGGTACTTCTTCCATTATACATGTTAATTCTTAAAATCACCATAAATGATTCGGTAATTGGCTTAACTTCACCCCATCCCCCTCTTCTCCGACAGAAAACCCTTTGAAGAAAGAAGAGTATGGAGCAGACTTAAAGCTGTTTAAAGCTCTCACAGCCCTGCAGGTAAAGTTTCTGTGGCTTTACAAAGGTCATTGAAAGGCACTTTTTGAGGTCCAGCTTGAGGTCAACATTGTTCTGAGTCGCCTCTCACTTGTATCCCTTTTTTCTTCCATCCTCTTATTTCATGTATCTTCAGGAGAATTTTAATATATGCATTTCAGTCAAAGATTATTGGAATCCATCACTCATGTCTCAGCTCCTTGAGGAGAACATTGAAATCTACGAAAGAACGGGGAGAGCTAGAAAAATGGAAGCCGGGGACGCCTGCTTGGAGGAGAGCAGCGTGAGGAGACCGTTGACCCGGCTGCGTCTTTACAGGCTGGCTTTGCTTCTCCGGAGGACAGAACATGCGATGGCGTCAGCGCTGGTGCTGAGAGCATTCGAGAATGGAAGAGTGGAAGAGGCCCTAGAGATTTGCAGGTGAAAAACTTGTTCACATTTGGACTGACAGCCGCTGCTCCTCAACCGCTCTCCGTTTACGCAGGGCACAGACACCTGCATACTGTACAGCTCTCTTGGATTTCCTTGGGGTTATTTTTATGCACCACTTTCCATTGCTTGCCTTAATTCTTTCTTTTTTGTAACCATTATTTTCAAGATATTTTTATGAATACTACCACAATGAACAAACGGGAGAGTTGCTGTTTCTGGCGTGTCAAAAGCTTTGTCACATGCTGTGTTCTGATAGTTTGATGGTTATACCGGAAGGACTGAATCTTCCTGCTGTGATCAAAGAGATGGCATGCCAGGCGGCTGTACTTTGCAATCCAGGTAATCCGTCGTGGCAAAAGTATCCGAAAAAACTCTGGTCCCTAATTTGGCTTGCAAGAGTAAACGTTAACTGTAACTTATTTAACATGGATGCTTTAAAATGCAGGGGCTCTTGTCGATTTGTCCAAATTTCATGAAATAAAACAAAGGAATGGACAGAAATAGCTTTACAGCGTAATTCATTGCCTCCCAAGCTGCATTCAAATGTCTCTTAGGGTTGGGAAGAAAGTCTCTTCGAAACATAGCCACACATTTGCATATGTGTGGTCACAGAATGTGTGTAGCACTTAATTATTGGGAGGGGGGCATGTTTAAATTCGTATGAGACCTTTTTTTTTTTTAGCCCAGTGCTTCCCGTTGGTTGCCTCATCAAAACAAAAACCCAGTCATACAAATCAGTAGATTCACTGAGCTATTTTTTGTCCTAGTCTAGTTCCAATTTTTGGAAAGAAGATTCTATATGGCTACTTCAGTCTGCAACCTTAGATCAATTTTTGCTGGATTATTTTGCCTCAATCTATTATAATGGCTGGGAGAAGAAACATCTCAAACCAGCAGCAATAGAAAATCTCCCTCCAAAACCTGGTTTTGCTGGCACATTTTTTGCCTGAACATCTTTCTGTACAAAAAGACGACTGTAAATTGTAGGTAGCTGAAAATTTGGGGAAATTTTGCACTTAGTAATGTGCAGATGATAATGTCTTAGGTCAATTTCTGTTTACGTACTGCACTGAAAAGTGCACCTTGATTAAATTTAAAATTTAATTATTTAATGACAGTAACAATGTATTTTACATTAAAGAAAAAAAAATCCAACACTTCCTTTTTCTCATAGATCTTTCCTTAGATGTTTTAGAGCTTTGTAAATACGCCTTGTTCGCCCATGAAATTTATGGGAAGTGCCAAATTGAAGACTACGGATTTACATCAAAGGTAATGCAGAACTCGTGATGATACAGATGTAATTCTGTCCAACTCATGCCCAGAAAATGTGCGGATTGGATTGCTTGGTTACATGACGCCGGTTCCTCCTTTCTTTAGACGGCCTCTTTGGGAGCTGATAAGGACCCTTACCTGGAGTGGACGTTCGATAATTTTTTCACTGAGGACGGGGCAGTGCTAGACTTCCCGGCTGTGCTGCCTTTCGCGTATGAAATCATGTCTCTGAATTTCCCTCCAGCAGGTAACCTGCTCTTGATTTAAGCTAATTTCCACTCTCATTTTGCATATGCCGTTTCTTACTAAACATGTATTTGCTTCTAATATATCCTAGATCATTTCCTGGTGTGTTTGCGAAGTAGAAACATAGAAACAGAGCGAGTCAGAAACATAGAAACAGAGCGAGTCAGAAGGGGTTCCCCGGGCCATCTAGTCTGACCCCCGGCTCCAGCCGGCTCCGCTCACGACATGCCCACCATGTGCGTGTCCAGCCTATCTCTGAACACCCTCACCGATGAGGCCTCAACCACCTCTAGTGGAAGCCTATCCCACATGTTGGGAGCCTGTCTCTCATTTGTTTCTGTCGCTCAGGACCAACTAATTCTTCTACTGTGCTAATTCAGTCATATTCTGTCTCTTCGGAGCCAAAACCCACCTTGCTGCAGTTTGTGGTTAAGCAGTTTGTGGTTAAGCAGATTCCCTCCCTCCTCTACTTGTACGTGTGTGTGCCTTGTCTCGGTTTGGTCAATGCAATCGTCCCCAGGTTAAAAGACCCCAGGAGAAAGCCACTTCCGCTTTTCCTTAGCAGCACGTGATCAGCTTTGTCATAGATTAATTAGCACGTCATCAGAACAGAAAGCACTGGGTTGAAAATCCCCCCGCACTGCACTGCATGGTATTCAGTAACTGTGCAGGGGGAGCGCTTGCTCTAACCTCTCGGCAAGATCCTCGGCTGTGTTGCTACAGTACAGAATTCTTACCTTTCCCTTGCAGGACGGGAGCGGCATCCTCTGGATTCTGCCAGCTTGGCACATCGTCCTTTCGAACAAGGTACCGCATAAGCACGTGACGACGGTCGCTAGAACAAAAATGCATCTTTAGGGCTTTGGTCTGATTTTTAAAAGCGAGCACAAGAATTAATGTTTCTTATTGTAAATCCCTGAGTTGTACCTAGTCTTTGGTTTACACAAGCTGTTAGAGAAGTGGTGTGTAGCTGCTATCCCCAGAGTTCCTTGAGACGTGCTGGCAGGTGTGAACATGCGGCGTAATTTGTTTCCCCGCTTTTCACATTCCTTTCCTGCTGAAGTGACAACTTGTTTTATAAAGCCCTGCTGGTTATGCAGATGACTTGCTTTAGGGGGCTACTGCTTGGGGAAGCCCAAGCCCTCCTTGGGTGGGTAGAGCTAGCTGTATACATATCTGGAAACTGGTACTGTCTTCTGACACCACCCTAATTAATTAATTCATTAACTAACTATCCCCACTTTTCCACCAAGAGATGGTGCTCAACATGGCGCATCCTGCTGGCCACTGTTTGCATCTGATCCAAACACAAGTTTTGCCATTGATTATTATCTTTCTTTTCCGTCAGTTGCTAGCCAAATTAACTAACTCACTGTCTACCCAATGTATCTTAGATTTCGTCATTTCCAATACAAAACAAACCTTCTCTGTTATAATATCCCGCTAACTTTCTCACTGTAGGAAAGAGCCTGAGCTTCTCCTGTAGAAATCCCACCTCTGCTTTGCTCAGCCGCCTGCAAGAATGCAGTCAGTACGAGCTGGCTTTGGGGCTGACCATCTCCTCATTCAGGTCCTTCTTTCAACACGTGATTTCAAACAACATGGATATCGGTCTGGGTGAAAAGGTGTGTTTGTCAAGGGCCTCCCTCCCTCCCTTCCCCGAATTATTGCAAGGCACAATGAGTTTCTTTAGTACCGCAAGAAATACCCATGAAATGGGCCCTTTCCCTCCAGTGCTTACATTTGTGACCAGTACTTTTCCAAGCGAGACTTTTCCAACGCTTGCCAGGGGAGGGGCGGTAATGCTGCGTCTCCCGTGTTCGACACAGGCTGTGTAAGGAGCGCAGCGGTGGCAGGAAGAGCAGCAGGCTGGAGAGAAGCGAAGCATCAGCCGAATGCTCCCAACGCTTAGCATGAAGCGTTAAGTAACAGGAAGCCAGATTCTGGCTAGTCATCAGGAGATATGGCTGCACTGCGGCAGCAGTAGGACGACGGAGCCAGTGGCCTCGGGGGGCGGGGGGCACTCCCTCACGGGAGGCGTTCAAGATGCAGCCACCCGAGAGGGATGGTTTAACTGAGCAGGGGGTTGGACCCCACGGCCTCTGGCCCCTTCAGCTCGACAATTCTGCGATTCTGTGAACTTAAGACCTGCCCATCCCAACAGTTCCCTTGCCTGTCCTGTCACCAAGAAGCAAATTGATTCCTTTGTACTCAACTAAATTGCTGCATGCCGCCTTCAGGATCACTGGATCAAAAGGCAGAGTAGAAACAGAGCGAGTCAGGAGGGGCCTCCCGGGCCATCTAGTCTGACCCCCGGCTCCAGCCGGCTCCGCTCACGACATGCCCACCATGTGCACGTCCAGCCTATCCTTGAACACCCTCCTCGATGGGGCCTCCGTAAAGAGTATTACACCTTCGCAATAAAGAAATGACCGTGATTAAGCAAGGGAAAAGCCCCGAGAGTAAGGACAGTCCTTCACGGTCACTGCGGAAGAGGAACACTTCCCTAGCGCCAGACACGCCTGTCGCATGTTCGGTGTGTCATTGTGCGTGTCATTCTTCAGCTGCACGATCGGGAAACGCAAGACGGCACGAGGGCGGTCCTGGTTACGGCGCTGCAGGGCTCCGCTTCAGAGGTCCGAGGCATTGTCACGACCCTGCTGCACAAGGTGAGCACGAGCAACACCCAACCCGCTGGCGCACCATCGGGTTACTATGGACCGTGCCGTGAGGCGCAGCGAGCCTCTTGTGACATTAAATTTCCCCGCCCAAACTCTTCTGCAGCTCCCATTCATTCAGGAACCGTTGCCCAGTGAGGTGGGGTGCGACCTCCCTTTTCTCTGGCCTTTCAAATTTATGTCCAGAAAATGAAACTATTAAATTGATTGTTTTAATAGATTTTCAACAGTCACCAGATAGATCTCAATCTGGCACTGGGTTACTGTACTCTGCTGCCCAAAGAAATTATATTCGAAAAGCTGTGGGACATCATAAACAAAACGCCGCAAAATTACACCAAGATTCTAGTAAGTCTTGACTCCTTTAAAAAGTTAATTATGCGTATAAACATGCTAAGCTTCTTTGTGAAAAATATTCTACGTGTTAATGTATCTGAATTTTAAAATTTCTGATTTGTGAATGCGACTGATGTTATGTTTTAAACTCGTTTTTTGGCAGTTAACTTTCAATAGGGCCTGTGTCTCTTCAGACTAACATAAGAATTCCCAAATTTAAGCTAGGTCTAGTCAGTCGTCCTTGATGACACCAACTTCCAGTATTCCTTGAGCGAGTGACAGGCCTCTCAGTTTGCCCTCTTATTCTCCATCATTCTTGTTCTAAGGACTGGACGTATTTCAGACGTACTGGAATTATTTGAGACAAGCAAGCCCTTTCGGGCAACTAATTCCAGTTGGCAAGCAACCTCACCAGGCCCCTGCTTTAGTTACATGCATAAAATGGCTTCGAGTACGGTAATGAGGAGGGTATCGGAGGCATCTGCTCCCGCTTATGAACTAACCAAAGTCCCCAATTAGGTTCCAACGTGTGCGGGGAACTCTGGTTTGTTCAGAAAATCCAGGATCAAGCCATGGTTTGTGATCTTGGCATAGTTTAAACGCACCAGAGTTCCTCAAGCTCAGATTGGACAAGAAACCATGGGTAGTTGTAAAAGTGAAAGCAGGTGCTTTTGATCTCGTCCTCATGGCCTTGCTGGACAAGAAGAAGGACTGGAAGGAAGTAGCTGGGCCTGCAGCTCAAGCACATGATGCTAAAACCTTGCCTGTATTTAAATGGATAAAAAATAAAAATAATTAAGGGTTTGAGTGGTACAGGGAGGGCAATAAGATCGAAAATCACGAGGGAGGAGGGCTTTAAAGAACGTAAGACTTAGTGCATGTTTCCAAGGACCTGTTACCATTCCTTTTCTCCCGGACAGGCGGCTGGTCTTGTTGGAACACAGCTAGCCAGTCAGTATGAAGAGACCAAGGAGAAGGAAGCGTTTGAAGAACTGATTACGGATGCTGAATGGGGTATACAGCTTGGCAAACTTGGTGTACGTGCTCTGACCTTGGCTCAGACCTTTCGTGGTGTTGATTTGGGGGGGGGGGGTCGTTTGCTTGCATCTGTCGTGGAAAAAACCCAGCAGACGTTGCGGGTTGGCACCGCCTGTTGCCGTTGGGCTTTCACACAGCAGCGCTCGGTGGACTAGAGCCTCGTGGCTCATTTTGCCCGTGCCAGTCCCGGTTAGGCCCGCTTGGAAAGGCACTTCTTGCTTTCTGTGATACGCGCACTCAAAGGCCGTCCAGGGCAAGTCGACGGGAGCCCTCCCGGGCCGGCCGCAAATGCATCGCGGCGATGACCGTGGCGCAGGTTTGAATCTGGCGGGAGCATGTTTGCAGCTCGGGGGGGGGGAGGGCGTCCAGATGGAGGAATCTTAGTGCTCGCAGCCCAAAGGCGTTGCGCAGCTAAGAGGAAGAACAGAGGGAAGGGTTGTGAGTGGGGCCACAGTTCTCCCCCAGGCCGGAACGGGAAACCATGTCTTGCGGTAACCACATTTTTTGTCTACTTTTATGCAGACAGGTCAATGCCGGGTGAGACTCTCCGCTGGCACTTTTGATTTTAAATTTAGGATTTTGTTTCTCTGTAGATCTCTTTCCAGAATTTATTTAGAATGCCGTCAGCAAGGAAGAAAGAGCTTCTGAAAACACTGGCTCAGCACCCGGATGTGACTACAGAGCTCATATTAAAATACTGCCGGTAAGACAGCTTGATTTCATCTTTGCGCTCAAAATGCCATTCCAAAAACACAGCAGCCGGGGCATTTTAAAGCGGGAGGGCCTTCCTGAACAAAAGCCCGCTTCACGTTTAAAGTCGGAGGCCTCTTTCCCACACTTCTTTTATCTAGAAATACACTCCCTGCATGAAACCCCGATTTTCCAAATAAGGCGTCCCGGCTTGTGTTCCCTCCCCTTCCCGCGCAGCACATTCCTGTTGGATACGGATGCGGCGCTGCAGCTTTACATCAAGACGCACGTCCAGAACACGGGCGCCGCTTGCGCCGAAGGAGGCCCTGCGGGGGACGCAGGGAAGCAGCAGAGGCGCGCCTGCGCAGCAGCCAGGGCTGCGGAGACCCTCCCTCTCCTGAGCAGCACCAGCGGCCTGGTGGCCAGTCTCAGCGCCATGCTGCACAAGGTAGGCCCCGCAGCACCCACGCGCCACCCCCTCGGCCGCAAGCGCCCGCTGCGCAGGGCAGGAAGGTGCCCGTCGATCCCCACTAAAAGGCCAGGCTGCCCAGCGTCGGCCCAGAGGCCCGTCTGCAGCAGGGGTGTCGAACCCCGTTCCGACCGAGGGCCAAAGCCCGTTTCCAGAAAGCGCTTGGGGGCTGCTCTGCAGGGGAGGTGGGGGCCAAAGGGAAAAGGGGCACAAGGCAGTTTAAAGCTCTCAGTGAAGCTTTGGCAGGGGCATTTTAGCCTTTCGGAAGGGGAAAGTTCCTGTAGGAACTGGGAAACGGGCAGCACAATTTTACAGAAGGGGGTGAGAGAGCAGGGGAAGGGTGCAGCCCGCTGGGGAGGGCCGGACAAGGTCCCCAGGTGAGCCAGAGTTGCACCTGCGAGGTCCTTTTCTGATAGACTTTGTTACAGAGCAAAGGTGTCCAACTTGACAAACGTCCAAGAGTTACTACACCATCTTTTATGGCCAAGAAACACACATCACTCATGACTGGCTAGTGTCACCCTGCACAATTATCACATGCATTTAACAGCTGCGTTTGAACTTGGGGTTTAAAATTTTGGGGGCTGCTTGGCATTTTCACTGGCTTCAACTAAACCGGGGTTTGATTCCGGCTGTCCGAGTTTGCCTATGATGTTCCCGGGGTGGCTGTAGCCACGGCAAGTGCAAGAGGCGGTGTTTGTGCTTGGCCTCATCGGGCCTGCAGGGAGGGAGGGAAGATGCGATTCCACGGCCGTGAAAAAAGGACAAGCTGCCTTTATCTCCGGCAGCCGGAAATGTCAATTTGCAAGATTTGAATGCGGGAATTAACTGCCCGTTCTTTTTCTTTTGGTATGTATTTCTCACTCACTTCTAATCCTTGGAACAGCTTGATCCGTATGACTACGAAACGATTGAAAGCCTTCTCACCATCATAGAAAAAGCTGGAGGGAGAGCAAAAGGCCTTCCTTTGAATTGGGTGAGCTGATGATCAGGGCTTTGCCTACGTAATCGGCACTTGGCATTTAACGGGGGCATCCGTTTGTGGAACTGTGAATTATTCTTGCTCGTGTGAGAAAACACCTTCGCTTGGGGAGATTTATGGAGCTTCTGTGAAGTCCAGCTCTCTGTGGCCTGCTGGGAATCGTGGGACTTTTTTCAGTCTAAACTTGCATAGGATCAGGGTTTGCGGTAAGCCTTTCATTTTGTATCCTGAGGGGGCAAGTCCCCTCTATTGGAATGGGTCTACTTCAAGTAGGACTAAGATTGGGTACAAATGCTAGATATGTTCTTTTATTTACAGCAAGAGCAATAGCTGGAAACCGTACCATTTTTAAAAACTGCTTAGGGATGCATTCCGTCAAAACCATGTATTTCGCAGGAATTATGGAATGTAACATTCTGCGAGGGTGCTGACTAGTTATTTGCGACTGTGCTTCTTTTAAAGGTTAGTCAGGAAGATGGGATAGACACTCCAACTTTTTTCCTTACCTGTTTCTCTAGGCCTTGATGCTTCTGAAGCACCTGAAATCTTACAAGAGAATTTCTGCGCCTGGCGATCTGGAACATCGGTATGTCTTCGAACAAGCAATCCCTCTGTCCCCGGCTGCTCAGACCAGACTGCCCTTCCATTTGATCTTCTTTCAAACGTCGCACTGCTTCTGGAAAATCATTTGTAAGTTGGCCAAATATGCCTTTTAGAACAACCACCCTAGCAAAGAGCGATGCGTTTGGTGGCATAATTCATTCAGGAAACCACACCTGGCTTTTCTTTTACAGCTGCTGAGCTCAGTGAGGAAACATTCCCAAAGCTGCTTTTGATCTCCAAACTGATGAAGGTAATGAGGAGAATATGGTTGCTCTTGTCCTAATTTCCGGAGTTAACTGTCGCTGAGGGGCTAAGGAGTGTGTGCTGAGGTGGGGGACAAGGCCTGGAGTCCGGCCCAGCCCTCCGGGGTTCTCCAGATTGCCTCCCCCCCTTTGCCTCCCCCCCAAGCAAAAACGGCCCAGTGGCTTCCTCACCTGAGGACACTTCTGCCCCCTTCTAAAATGTAGAAATGCCTCTGTTACCGCACTAAGACCTTTTGGCTGCAAGGAGCTTTTTTCTGAACCTGGGGCCCCATTTCTTTGCCACTGGCCCTGCCTCCCCCGAAACGTGCACCCAAGAGGTCCTGTGAGGGGAATTTGGCCCTTGGCTGTGGCAGGGACCTGGCTCTGGCCTCCGTTTCCCCCTCGTTCTGATGGCTCGTCACAGAGGGAGGAAGGGGTGCTGGGACTGGGCAGGCCAGGGAAAGTAGGGGGGTGCTCGGGCACCCCGGCACTGCCCTCCCTTCTGCTCCTGCCCCCGCCTCTGGGTTTAGGGTCGTGCTGCCAGGCTTCCCGTTGGCCCAGCAGAACAGCCGTTTGAAACCTGGCCAGTCCCTGAGATAAAGGGGCAGCCCTGGTGTGCCTTCCTGGGGCCCGGATGGCTCGGCCCGCCTGGGGGAGCTGCACTCGCTGCCGAAGGGCCGCCGCTCGCCCGGCGCGGAGCAGCAGGGCGGGAGTGGAACCGAGCACCCGGGAAGAGGCCTCGCCGATGGGAGACGTTTCCCCGCCGTGTCTAGTTGCCGAGCCCTCTGGCGCTGCCCGTGCGGCCACTGCCGTGGGCAGTTCTGGTTCTCCTCGCTAGCCTTTCTGCTTTTCCCCCCAAGGTCTCACTGGATACTCTCTACATGTCCGCAGCCAACCACGTGTTCCAAGGGAAGGTGAAGCCAAAACTGTTGGAACTGACAAGAAGCGGGCGTGTGCTCGTGCCTAACAAGGAGATGGCCAAAACCATGCAGGCCGTTCAATCTTACCTGCTCTCAATTGCGAACCCGGAATGGGCCACGGCGCTCGCCCACAAGATCGCACAAGAGCTTCCTGTGGGTACGTGGTCATCCCCGTACTGCTGTCGTCCGCAGGGCCGTGGCGGCCTCGGTCTTGTTCTCACACTCCTACTTCTTAAAGCAGCTCTGAAATTGGAGCAAGATGGTGGTGGTGGTGGCAGCGTGTGAGGGGGAAAGAGAAAGAGAGAGCGCCATGCTTACCCTAATCTGGATTTGCATTTCTCCATCTCCAGGGCCCACCAAAGTCCTCGCTTTGAAAATCTGTCTTGGTTTGGCGGAAAAATGGCTGAAGAATACTGCTGCAACGGTACAGAGTGTGGCATCTCAGAAACCTCTGCGAACATTTAGACCATGTTTAAATTATGCCTGTGTGCCTGTGAAGCCAGGGTCTGTCTGAAGGTTGAACAGCCCTCAAATAATCCTGCAAAGGCCCATGGGTTATTCGACCCTCAAACAACCCGCCACTCAGGTTTAGCCCACAGGACAAACCCAGGTGACCCCTGCTGAGCGCTGCACAGGAGGGGCCGGAAGTCCCTCCCTGACACAAGCCCTCTGCATACATCCCGCCCCAGACAGATCGCTGGTTTCCCCTTGCTTGTTCGTGAAGTACCACGCTTTTTCAGAGTTGCACAACAAATCTTTTAAAAGAAGGCCAGCTGGTGTGCTTTCTTTTCAGGGAGTGCTCAAGCAAGTCCTTATCTCCAGCCTGCGCTGGGAAATAGCGCAGGGATTCCCCTTTGGGTCATTCACCCTCCCATTTGGGGGGCGGATGGGAATGACCTTGTTATCCCAGACTCCCATGCGGTGGGTCCTTGCTACTTCCTCGCTGAGCCTCCGGGAGCCTTGGCGCTCGGTCACAAGGCTTCCGGGGGAACTGCCTGACCTTCCAGCCTCTACTGGCGTGGCAGCGGCTGGCCTTGTGCCTTGGCCCTTCCCCACTTGCTCGCGAACAGAGCCTCCGGTTTCTGCTCATGAAGCCATGTTCTGTTTGTCGATAAAGGAAGATGCTCATGAGAAGGCCCAAGCGCATCTGAAGAACCTGCAGGTGCAACACCGGAGATCGGCCACAGAGGCCGTGCTCACAGCCCACAAGCTGAGCTCCGAGGAGCATCGGAAGCTCATTGGAAAGCCGGCGAACCTGGTGATCCTGCTCTACCAGCACCGCAGCATAGCAGACCGAGCCCAGGACCCGAGCAGCAGGGACCACCCAGGTCAGCCCCCAGGATTGCCGAGGGCCAGGGCCCCCAGCCTGGCCTCACCGTCATTCCCCCCAAAGCCCAGAGGCATGCCGAAAGGAGACCTGGCCCGCACGTCCCTGCCCTGCCCAGCGGATGAGGGCATCTTACTCATGCCCCCCAAGACTCTTTCCGGCTCTCCCCCACAAAAGGCTTGTCAAACTGGGCACAGGAACTGGCGGGTTCTTCGCAGGGACCCCGGAAGCCGCCCAGCTGAGCCAGACGATGGGCGCCTCCAGCCCAGCAGTGTGGAGACCAATGCGTGGTGGCCGCCTGAGGCTTCCTGCCCGCGGGGGGGGGGGGTTGCACACAGCGGGGGCCAACCATGCCTAGCCTTGCCATCGGTCCTTGTCATGCGGCTTTCAGACTTGGGGGTGGGGAATCAAGTGGAAAGGGAGGGAGGGAGGGAGGCCGGCTCCTTAACAGCAGTGTCCCCACACCGGTCTAGACATCCACGCCGCAGCCAGAGAAATAGCGGAGATCAATGACTTGGATATGAAGAAGATCTGGGATATGCTGCTAGAAAAATGGCTGTGTCCAAACACGCTCCCGACGGATGTAAGTGTGCCCTTCCCTGAGAGGAGCCGGTCCTCTGGCAGTTGTGCTTGTAGCCAAGAACACTCTTCTCCAGCTGCCTTCCTGCTGGGTTAGAGGGCAAGTCCTGCTGTCGAGTTTGATGAAACTCAAATACTTTGGCCACCTAATGAGAAGGAAGGACTCCCTGGAGAAGAGCCTAATGCTGGGAACAATAGATGGGAAAAGAAGAAGGGGGCGGCAGAGGATGAAGTGGCTGGATGGAGTCATTGAAGCAGTGGGTGTGAGCTTGAGTGGACTCCGGGGGATGGCGGAGGACAGGAAGGCCTGGAGGAATGTTGTCCATGGGGTCGCAATGGGTCGGACACGACTTCGCGACTACCAACAACAACCTGCTGTTTCCAGCTTGCGTAGCCCGTGTTGAGGATTGCAGGTCAGCCTATCTGGAGACACCCGCTGGGGGAGGCTGGTTTGGAATATGGATGCTTTACATTGTCCTTGAGCCCCTGGATCATGATCCCAGAAGTACGCTGCCAGAGCAGAGACCAAAGGCCTCCCCTGCTTAAGAGGAATGTAAATAAAGTGGCCTTGGCTTTTTGCATGTATTGATAGTTAGCCTGTTGCTTCCTAGGAACTCTGCTCAGATTTCCAAGTCTTTGGAGCAGACAGTCCCCTTGTCATTGTGGGATTCTTGGCTCACAGAAAAGGGCGTCTGGCTGCAAGATGCTTTCCTTGCATTCACCTGGCAGAACCTGAAGAACCATGCACACAAGATCGTGATTATCTTCTTGACCAAAAGCTTTTTAAAATTTGGGTGTTTGTTTCTTAGAACGCTACCAGGTTTCTGTGCCTGAGGCAAGCATCTGCCGTTCACGATCAAGGCACCACCTTGCTAATGCCTAGATTTAGTCCAGCACTTAGTAGGTGAACATTAATCTGTTTTAAGAGAGCAAGTGCATCGAGGAAGGCATATTCCCCTGCAATGAATGAGTGTGCTCTGGAGCCAGAAGCTGCCAGTGCAGCAGAGCAAGTACTAAAAGGAAGTAAAGGTTTTCACTCGTTAAGTGGGCTACCGAAAGCTAGCCTTTCGCAAGCTAGTGGCCAGCAAAGCCCTGGACTTTGATCTGATCCAGCATCACAGTTTTGTCCTTGCCAGGGAGCTTTCCAGATTCACATTGTTCTACTCTGCTTTATTCTTGAACAGAAAACATCAGACATCTTTGAAAACGTCCACGAAGATGAAGACTTCAAGAGGTAAAGCACTGTGTTCGGATAAAAGCCTCTGCCATTCTCCTGCCTTTTGTTCCTCCGACACATGAAAATTCCTAATACTGGAAGACACGAGTCCGCAGCCTCCAAGCTGTGCCTTAATGGCTGCAGTTATGTAAGGAAAACTTGGTGCTGCGTTACTTTACACATTGCGGAAGGAAAGATCTCAGGCAGTCTGGACTAACAAAAGGAGGAAGGTTTCCCCCCGTTAGAACCGGGCTTCATTCTGCCTCAGGGTTTGGGGACAAGAGGGGACACTGATATGTGGAAATGGCATCCCCCTTGTTGATTCTAGTCATCCGTGTCTCTTTAAAGCCTTGTTTTTCAGGAGTTCCTAATTTCAGCACATATGATAGGATTAAACAGGCCACTCTGTGTATGGAGCAAAGCCATCTGCTTTGGCCTAATGGGAAGACTGTATAAAAAGAAAGGCATGTTTGCACTGTTTTGCAGAGTTCTCTACCTCCTTCAGCTTCATCCAGTCGATTACTCCTTAAGAATCCTGTATGAATGTACAGTCTCTGCAGTGTCGGTAAGTTTTCATACGCACGGTCAGCGAGCTTTCTAAAGGACATCGTCCCGCATGAATTCCCTCTGTTTAGAAGAAAATCTGAATGCGGAAGCAAAATTCACGGTGTGCCCATTACAGGCCCGCTTACGAGCAACTTCAGGCCACCTGTGTCGTGCGAACACAGAATGCTGCCGGGCGCCTGAGCGGACCTTTGATCCACCTGGCCTGGTAGAGCCGAAGTCTTACCAAGCTGCAAACAGCTCAGAGAACTTTGGCAATTGAGTAGTATAGAAATGCAATGAATGGACCTCACTGGCTCAGTAGGTTTGGGTTTCAGTTTTATTTCATTTGCAGCTGTTTTGCAATTGTGTCTTTAATCTATTTGTTTTTAGACTGTTTTAACTCAGTTTACTTCAGCCTTGGTTTGATTACTGCTAGCCAGCTTGAACGTCATTTTTCTTGGAAAGCAGTGATTTAAATTGAGGGAAAAACAAATTCCTGTCTTCAAAGGCAGCAAGCAGCACTGCAGCAACAAGTCTCTCTGATCTGGTGCCTAAATATTTGTAGGTTAGCTTTGTCAGCCAAGATTTCTAAGTAACCGCTTTCCTTGTATAGATGGGGCCACTTACAAGGTGTTGCATAGCATCTCCATGGTTAGCTATTCAGTTGAGCAAACTGGGAAGACGATCCTGAGCATTATTAATGGAGCTCTTTCTTTCTACCCACCCATTTCAGCCTATTGGGGTAAACCAGCTGACCTTTGCCCACAGAAGCCGGGCTCTCCGGTGTCTGCTGTGTTTGGCTGACCCTCGAGCTGTCGAAGCCCTCTTTAAAAAGCCCGTCAAGAAAGTCAAGTAAGCAGGGTGTGGTTTTCCTCTGGACGTAGACCTTTCCCGCTGTGACAAAGCTTGGCCTCCCAAAGCTCCTCTCCAGCACAGAATGCCTGGAGCAGCTTGGAGTTCCTGTGTGGAGATGGAGCCCTGCTCATTCCGTCATTTATTTGCTGCCATCAGCAGACCGGAAACAAAGCTGGACAAAGGTTAACTGCAAAGCAGTGTATGACGGCCGAGGTTCCGTGGGCTCAGATGTGGGAAGCGGGTCAGCGTCCACCTAGTCCAGTAGGGTCCACAGCGAGGAGCGCCTGCTCTCCAGGGCCTCAGACAAGGCGTTTTCCCTTTGCCCCACCTGGAGAGGCCAGGAATTGCACCTGGGGAACGCTGCCTGCAGAGCACAAGTCCTACTTCTGAATTAAAGGCGCACCTGTCCTAAGCTAATCCTCCAGCGTCAGAGGACTGAACGCTTCCTTGTTCTAACATGAAGCAATGGGTCCTCCTTTTTCCCTTCATTCCACTTTTTATCTCCACAACAACCCTGCGAGGTGGGCTAGGCCAAGGAATGGTGACTGGTCCCGGGTCACCCAGTAAACTGAGCAGGGATCTGAGTCCCATGCTCCCTGGTCAGCACCCGCTGCTGCAGCCGCTGCACCAGACTGGGACCTCTTAGCTGGTGAGATCTGATCCATGAGCTGCTGGCCTAGGATGGAGGATGTGAGGGAGGCTGGGTGCTCCGTGCATTTACATTTGCACTTGCGTATCAACCCCAGTTCGGCTCCTGGGGCTGTACGAGCGCAGCCCATTTGAGAAGCATGTCGCATTTTGTTTGCCCATCGCCGACTCTCCCGTTGCTTCACTTCTGTAAAAATGCCGTCATGCTGCTTCGAGTAACAGGCTCGTTCAGGATGGCAGCACTAAACTCCACCCCGTTAAGTGCCCGTTTCTGTTTGGTTCTTCACAGGCATTTCCTGAAGTGCTTAATTCATCTCACGGTGCTCGAGAACCTGAATATTCCGTACACTTACGAATCATTTCATAGCGCTCCCAAGGAAGGACTGATCAAAGGACTCTGGAAGAATCACAGCCATGAGCCCACCGTAAGCTCCCTGGGGAGGCAGAGCAGGGTGGGGGTGGCCCCATGCCAGGCGAGCAGCGGCCCGGCACAGCGGTGGCTGGTGAGAGGCTTGTTCTCCCACGCAGCAAGCTCTGTGGGAGAGCTGGGCCTTGGCGTGGGGCTCCTGCCCTGCCGCGCAGCCCTTATTTCCCTTGAAAGCAAAGCAGTATACAGAGCCAGCCCGGAATACCGAAAACACACTATTCTGACAGAAGTTGGCCTTGGAAGAAAAGGATGCAAATCCCACTTCAGATTACCCAATGCTGATGAAGCCTTCTCAATTCATCTATGCTATCTTGGGATTTTTTTTTTCAGAATAAGCAAGATTTTAATAACGTTATTTTGTCTTCAGGCTGTGAAACTCGTGACAGAGCTCAGCCTGGAGTACAGTGTATATAATGCTCAGCTCTGGAATGGCTTGCTGCAGAAGCTGATTAGTTTCAACATGGTACGTGGGATTTTTCCCTTTATGTGGGACTTTGATGTGTCTATAGTCTGTGGTGTCGTAGTATGAAGATCTATTTCATTTTGCAGAATGCTAATATTTAATGTTCAGTTCCAAGTCATATTTATCACGGAATTATGATTTGTCCTGTTATGGTTGTTGTTGTTTTTCAAAAAAAACCTTTGATTTGATTGACTCAATTTAAAGGGCTCAAACTTCCAGAAGTTCCAGTAATTTGATTATTATAGAAGTAGCTCAATTGCATCCTCTTTGCACATGCACAGAACCCTTTAAAATATCTTCTGTATTTCAGATTCCATATCTGAGGAAAGTTTTAGCAGAAATTACTGGGATCTATTCATTATGGCAGGTGCGTGAAATCTTTAATCTGTAACTTTAATCTAACTTTAAAAAGGAAAAAGGCATAATGATATTTTGCATTGATCTAGACCAGGGTACAGAAACTTTTTCCACCTGGGAGCCAAACTGCATTTTGGAGAAGTTTGGGGGTGGTATATTTCAGGGGCGGGTTTGACTGAAGGCAAGATGTAAAGAGCCAAGAGCCAAACATACCAGCATCTGGTATCTTAAAGATCTTCCTGCCAGTCACTCGGCCACAAGAGAAGCACTTTAGCCTTTTCCAGTGGGAAAGACACAGTGCAAAGCCGAGAACCCCCCAAACGACCCGTGGCTGGGGGAAAGGGGAGGGGCTCGGAGAGACAGATTGGGCACGTGGGCCAGAGGTTCCATCCCCCTGCTCTGGAAGACTTAATAGTCACTGGCCAGTGGAGGAAGAGGTTGCGCCTTGGTGGTACCATGCTCCTCCGTCAGCTTAGGCGGATGGACAAGTGTGACTCCACCCAGGCGGAGAGGGCCTAGCCTTGGGATCCACACACTGGTAACCCCCCGATTCCTGGAATGCATTGTACGTTGGCCTTGGTGGGCCCCTGGAGCAGAAATACGTGGGAAGGGGGCTTAAGAGGCCTACAGAAAACTCTGGATCCTGCAATGGTTCCAGCACTGGCTTGGGGCCCAGTCGCAGCATTTTAGGACGTATTTCCGTTTTCACAGGTTCCGTACTTCAGCAGAGCTTGGCGGACTGTTATTCTGGCACCGTTTCTTTCAGGTTAGCTTTGTAACTTTGCGCTCTCATTATCTTCAGGCCATCAATTCCTCACATGAAACCGTGGCCAGTTTTTAGATAGAGGCTTGGCTATTGTGCACTGCAACAGAACCGCAGAAAGCCACTGGATTCAGAGAGTGTGTGCAGAATTCAGCTACCAGGAAATCCCAGCTTTCATACAAAGGAGAACGTTTCTGACTTTTAGGCCTGCAAAAAGAGATTTTAACCTGTCTGGAAAACATTCGCTTAGAGCCAAGCATTCAAGTAGGATTTTCAGCAGCCATGACACAGGCCCTGGTTAGGCTTCAGTTCCTTGAAATGGTCCAGTAAAAGCAGAAAAAGGTGACACCCGCCTTTAGAAAAGTCCCATTGAACTAAATTTGACTTATGAGTGAACATATCCAGGACTGCATTGCCAGCCACTGAAGTTTTCATCACTTAGGGTTTTGGACTGAAACTGACGGAGAGTCAGGACAGGCACGGTGCCTCTCTATGCAATGATGTGCTAATGCACAGAGTGTAAAAGCCACAAGATGCGGCCACGGCCACCGGATTAAAAGGAGAGAGAGAGTGGTGGAGGTGAAGGGGACTCAGAGTGGGGGGTACACCGAGGCTGCTGGCTGTTGCTAGGTGTGGCCCCCCAGCTGGCCACTGGGACACAAGGCTGATGGACTCGATGGGCCCTGCTGCAGGACAGTGCGCCCTGAGCATATACAGCCTCGACTTTAAGCCCACTTACACCACTGGCTGTGTATGTTTGCTTGGATTCTGGGTCAAAGCAGGCTGTGCCATTCCAGCCAGTCACACTGACAGAGGACAGTGGTTTCCTTCCTACGTGTATCGAGATCCTACCAGTTAGTCTGCAGACCTGAAAGAAACTGATCTATCGAATGAGCTAAAATGCGACATGAATAAGTCCTGTGCCTTTGTCTGTTTCTTAAGCTTCGTGTCCATCAAATGCTGGTCAATCGGAAGCATGTTATGAGTCATTCAACATGTTATTGATGTAAGTAAAGAAACCTTTTCTGTGAGATAGACAGACAGATAGATAGATAGAAGGTCGTTAAAGATTAACCAAGCAGAACAAAGTTTCATCACTTCAAAAGTAAAAGTGGGGGTTAACACCTTTGAATGCTAACCTGTACAGAACAAGTGGTGCATTGAGAAGGAGGTAACTTACTGTTAAAAAAATTCCTTCCCAATAGCAGCAAAAACACCTCTGGCTGCCTAGGCTGGCTTTTTCTCATGGGTCGTTTAATGTAAGGGATTATTTTGAAATGGTAGATTTTGGCAATCGTCCTGCAGCCTGTCCTACACTCGGTTTGCTACTTATAATGACCAGGCCTGTGGTAAGAGGAAAAGGTACCTGAGAATCAGCTCAGCCAGGTAGTTTTGCATGTTTGAAGACACAGAGGTAGCTTATAGGCATATCTGTCCAGCTAGTAAACTACTGAAGGGAGAAGGAGTTACTCTGTTGCCCTACATAATTCTGGTTAACTCTTAATTCCCCCCTCCATCCTCTCAAAGGTGCCCAGTCCTGGCTGACCTGGATCTCACTGCGATTGCAAGGCAGTACTCCAAGACGGGCCAAACGGCTTTGGCACTAGGATGCCTCTTGCTGATGCCTCAGCCTGAGAAAAGATCAGAACAGATTCAGGTGAGTGACCACACAGGCAGGACACTCTGCTCCCTGTCCCACTGCCGTCACTTAGCTGGGCACTAAGACGGCAACTCCCCTCAAGAATTCTCTGACCTGCCACCAACACGTCTTTCTGATGCAAGGTGAAGAGGTTTTTTTAAGAATACATTTACGTAGGCTTTAAAATCAAGGTTTTAACTGTTCTTTAACAGTTTTGTGCTGCATGCTTGGGGTTTTTATTTTTGACATTACCAAAATTGTTTTTCTTGTAAGCTACCAATGCAGTCTCCTGAGGATATGATTCTATTTGTAACTGGGAACTGCTTCTCACTGCAAACAGTATTTACTCCACATTTTTACATTACTTTTCTTGTTTTGCTTTTTTATCACCAGTGGGCCTGTGTGATGAGGTAACTCACCTATGAATTTTCTATCCATTTGTGCTACGCACAGAATGGTCACAACTATTTCCTGGGCTTTTCTCTCCAACAACAATAAAAAGCTGTTGCTCTCCTTCCTTCCTTCCTTCCGTTCTTCCTTCCTTCTTTTCCTTTGTACCTACAAATGTACTATGCATGCTTGGTGAAGCTAAACTTGAGGCCCTGAAAGTTTACGTCACAGTGGATAGCATTACAAGAGTTTCTGTTGTGCTCTGCTAGAATAGATCTAATACGGCTTGCTCTCTAAGTTGGTACCTTGCGTGATTATTAACCTTTGCAACATGAAAAGCTACGAGCTCTAAAAACACCTACTTTGTTTGTGCTTCAGTGGTCTGAAAGATGCGGTTCTGTTGTTCTTCCCTAGGGCTTCCTAGACTTGTACCAACTGGATACTGTGCTGCAGCAAGTCGAGTGCATGAGCCTCTGTGAGGCAGCTGGCTTTGCATCACAGGTAAGATCGGTTCGCCCTCTTTGAGCAGGGAAACACCTGGCGAAAGCTGAATGACCAGTAATTGATGGATGCAGCTGAAATAACTCATTGTTATTTTGCAGATTAGGAGCTTGATTCTGGACTACATAATGAATAAGAAATATGAGGAGTTTGCAAACCCAAAGTACTTCCCATTATTAAATTTACCAGAGATGGGTCCTGACAGAATGAAAGGTCTGGTGGAAAAACTTGTCAATAAGAACAGGTAAGCAAGAGAGTTCCCAAACATATTTTTTCTTTCATTCCTGTGTGGTGGGGAGGAAAGGACACACAGAATCCCTGTTCCCCATTACTGCACACATTTTGGGCCATACAGCCTCAACAATCAGTTAGGGAAAGCACTGTATGTAGTGAACTGGCAAGGTTCCCAAGCTACATTTAAGTGCAGCCCCTACAACTTGGAAATAGTCGGGGTAATCAAGAAGAAAGAAATACTGCGATGTACCAAAAGTTATGTACACACTGGTGTCTCAGGCTGCGAGTTCCTTCGCTGAAGGCTGCACTGCACCAAGTATCCTGCACTCCTGCAAGAGCTTTTGTGTGAGCGAGACGACATCAGAACAACCGATCTGCCTCAGGTTCTGAGGGTAGAGCTAGATGCCCGAATTGGACTAGTAGTCGTCTTGGGGACCTGAAATTACATGTGTGGAGAAGGCTACACTGTCTGAGAAACAGCCTTGTATGCAAATTTCCCCAGATTGGGTGAGCAGCAGATGTAATAGTAACAGCGCAATCCGACATGCATCTGCTCAGATGTAAGTCCCACTGAACGTGTGGAATTACCAAAGCATAAATTAACGTAGAATTACAGTTCAAGATTTCCACATCTCATGGCCAAGTAAAATTGGCAGACTTCAGCAGTGAGAACGCATTGAAAATTGGCATTCAATCTACTAAAAATTCTACTGTGTTGCATCTGGGCACTGCACTTACCTGGAGCCTACCACAAAATTTGCTCTGGCTGGTTTCTAAGCAAAGGTTGCTTCCTGGAAAGTAGCTAGAGGTGAAGAGCATCTCTAGAGCTGAAAAGCCTTATTTTAAGGAAAAGGATGAGTTGCTTTGGCAAACAAAAGCCATCAAATAAGACATTCTAAACGCCTTGCTTTCAGGGGTTTAAAGCTGCAATCCTAAGCACACTTAGTAATCCCATTAAAAACAGTGGAGCACTCTTCTGAGTAAGTATGTTTAGACTAATGCAATATCTGCAGCACATTCTGAATTGCGTTATAGCCTAAACATGCCCTTGCAGAAGGCCCATCTTAATCCCTGGCATTATAGCAAAGTTCATGCTTGCATCTCCAAGCGAGGACTATCATGCATCAAGGAAAACAATTAACTCTTTGTGCTTTTCCCTCTGCATAGCACAAAACTGAGGTATTTTCTAGTAATCAATGTGCATATGCTTTGTAACTGTTACAGGATGGACGACGCAGCACATTTAATAACAGAATATCTTAACAAATCTGGAAATTTTCTTCCACCAGAGAAGTCGTCTTCGGGTGTTGTGAAGGTAGTAAAATGTGTGTTGTATTAAAACAACCTATTGTTAACTTTTGGGAAACTCAGGGGAAGCCAATAGGGCTGGTCCAACAGGAATTTAGCTGAGGACTGGGATATATTGTGAGCACATCCCTAGCAATCAAACGTGCAGTTGTGGCAACAAATAAAAATTCAGTAACCAATGAAATCTGTTCGCTGTGAGGGAGGAATCCAACAATGGATAAACTCCCTCTCCTGCCCAGGAAAAGCGGGGATCACACGACTCTCTTTGTCCTGTGCTTGGTGCTGGCAGAGTCTGCCAGCCGTCCTTCCCTACCTCTGGGCCAGAGACGAACACCTGACATCTTCTTCTAAAAGGTCTTATCCTGGTAACTTTTTCCCCTTCCCTCTTCAGATGTATTTCAGTGGAGAGCTGGCATAGATTGGAACACAATTCCCAGAAGAACAAGAGGAAACAAGTTTCAGGATTCCCAGTGTGCGATGTATATAAAATAAAGCTTTTTAAGGTGGACTTTGTGGGCGTGTTTCCTGATTTATCATAGACACTTATAAGTAATATCAGCTTTACCAAATTAAAGTTAAACAAGTGTTTATTACAAGACTGGGAATAGTTCACGTGAACAGACAGAACTTTGCTGTGCACTTTGAACAGTATTTACAAGCAAGAACCATTTTAGGCAAAGAAAAGGATCAAGCCAAGGCAGACTTTGTAAGAAGTCAAGTACTGTAAATTTAGTTGTCTACAATAAGGTAAGAAGAGTCATTTCATAAGCTAACAATATTGCAAACACTGTGGACCTTTGGGTGCATACTGAGAAAAGAAAGAAAAAATTGACCGGAGAAGAGCCAGGCAGAGCGAGTCATCTTAAGATTTCTTGTACTCGATTCTTTCTACTTTCACATCATCGCCAATCAGCTGATAAACATAAGTAACGACTGTGGAAGCTTGGATATCCATCAGCACAAACGAAGGAATAATGTTGCTGGGGAAAAAGATGTTTGAGAGTTACTTTGCTGACCACATGAGGACTAGCCCCTTTATGACCTAAATATCCCAATACATACTTACTGGGAGAAAGGTTCATTAACCTCACTAAGACTTGCTTCAAAGGACCACATAGGACCAAGCGCCACAACCCTCTGACTGCAAAGAAATCCCATGCATGTTTAGACAAATCCTACAACTCACAGCATCCCTCGGGCTGCATGGGTGGTTAAGGAATGTTGCAAACTGCAGGACTATTTCCAGGTACTCACTGGACCCATCATCCTGTGAGAACAATGTGACGTACAGCTGTTCAGAACAGACAACCATTCATATGCTACCCCCTTTCCAGGGGCTGGTTCTAATGCCAGCTGCTCGCTCTACTAGCACCAAGCACCAGCCACTTCAAGCAACTGAAACAGACCAGCGAGAACTTTGCGCTCCTGCTGAAATCCCGTATTGCACTGTTTAACAGTCTTTAAGAACGCAAACCTTAAATCAGGGGTATGCCACTTGGGACCCTCATCAGCCCTAGCTAGCATAACTAAGGGTGAGGGATTATGGGAGTGGTAGGGCAAAAAAACCCAAAGTTGCTTTAATGAATTCCTAGCTGGAAAATGTTTATTGGCTGCTAAAGACAGTTCAGTTTTAGGAGTTCATTAAGAGGCGCATCCGAGGTCCGACGATGGCATGAAACAACGGCTGAAAAGCAACAACGGGGCGAGGCGTTCGGCAACACCTGCTAGACCCAGGGAAACACTGGATTTCACACAGCAGTCAAACGTCAAGCATTAGACGTCAACCCTGAGTGCCCAGTCCAAAAATATGGCAAATTTTACACACGATCACTTAAATAGCATCTTCAGGTGTGAACTCACTTTTCCAAAGCGCTGTAGGCTCCTGTTGCTGATCCAGGGTTGATATAGAACTTATTTTCATGTTCAAATGCCTCAAATTTATGTGTGTGCCCTGAAATTAGGATGTCCACATCAAACTGCCTCTGCAGTAGCGCCAGGCTGGCCACGTCCCCCCATGGGATAACTTGATGGCCATGGATCAGCCCGATCTTAAACGGCCCAACAGTTACAACTTTTTGTTCGGGATAATTCAAGTTCTAGAATTAAAGACAAGACATGACCATTTTTATACACACACACACACAGAGACTGACACACGCCTTCCCCCTCTCTCTCTCTCCCCCGTGCCATCTACATGAAAATGTTTATTGTTAAGAAGGGCGGAAGAACAGTAGTATACATCCCTACGGTGGGTTAATCAAGAGACCAGTCTTAGTGACTGAGGAGGCAAGGAAAAGTAGCACGTGGGCACCCTTATGCCTCACAGACGTGCAAAGATCAACAACACTGCAAGAAGCCAGTTCTGCAGTCAGTTCCAGAAAGCAGCCCGGTAAAAGCTCAGAACAGAAATGCATGCTCTTCCTCCACCCAGGAGCTGTCATTACCTCATCAAAATCTCCTCTAACTACATGAACGTCACCAGCAAGGGTCTTGAGGTAGTCATAGCTCTCCTTTGTGCAGAGGTTTCCGGTGCAGAGGATGTGCTGGATCTTTCCTGGGACCAGCAATTTCTTGAATTTCGCTGGCAGGCTGTTGCAGCGGTGCGGGATATGAAGGTCTCCCAACACTAACACCAACTTATATATCAAGGAAGGAAGGAAGGAAGGAAGGAAGGAAGGAAGGAAGGAGGGAAAGAAGATACACTTAGACCTTTGACAAAACGCTGAGAACGTTTCAGAGCTCCTTAGCTTTGTTCATGGCTCCTCCATTTACAGATAGATTCAGCACAGGGCTGGAAGGCAATAAAAGTTCACGCCTAAAGCTGAGGCAGCCCCATTAAGCTTCTACAACGTTGCATCCCGCTTGCGCTTTGCAATATTTCCGTCAAAGTCCTGTGGTTTAAATAGTTTTAAACTATTTGGATTCCACAGCATACGATCCCCCTCGCCCACCAACCCACTTTTAGGAAAGAAGCTTGGGGTAACCAGGAGTGAATGTGTGTGTGCTAGGACTGAGCAATGCTCAGTTCTGGTACGGAAAACACATGTCTTCAGGGTTGTGCAATCCTAAATGCACTGTTCAATTCTTTTGCACCAGTTGGTGGATCTCCGAGTTGTGGTAGGCAAGATATATCCTGCAAGTCCATTCCTGCCCCAGGGCATGTTCCCTTTTGCTGCTGATGGCAGGAATAAAATGACAGCATCTTACAGAGGCTTGTCTATCACTGTTGTCCTGCTCATTGAGAAACAGTTGATATGCTTTAGGAGGAGTGCCCTAGACCAGCCTATAAAACATTCTCTTAATTCAGAGCAAAGCAGTCACAACGGAGCATCGTCATGTAAGCTCCACACAGAATTTAGCGGCACCACCATCATCATCTGCAGCCAGAAAGACCTTGTTTCTCAAATCTATTTGAGCATTTTAATAGCCACCAAGAGTTGTCACCTACCACACCAATGTTAGCAAGAGGCCAAGTTGAACAAACTTACTCTGTGCCCGGCCTTATTGGATGAAGAAGTTGATTGCAGACAGGGGTGGGCAGGGGTGGGAAAAGGGGAATGGAAAAAAACAGGGTGAGACATGAACAATGTTAAATAAAAAGGAAGCAACAGAAAAGGAAACATCTCAAGCCAAATTAAGAGGCAAATCATCAATGAAATCTGAATGTTAGGAAAGGTAATGTTAAAGAAATAAATAAATCTGATTTATGCAACAGATGCCATAAAGACTGTCGGAAAGGCTTTTCAAGCATGGCCTATACAGAACTGCCACAATATCCCAGTTTCCCATGAGCCACTAAAGTTTTTACACATGCGCCACAAATCACTGGTGCCTTCTAGGTGCAGAAAACCCACGGTACACCTCAAGCCTCCCTGCCCATAGTGGCTTCTCCATCCACTTCAATGGAGCAGATGTCTCTGTGCAAATAGAGAGACAAGATGGAGCTGAACTTTATATTGAGCAAATACCATGAAAAATTTCCTAAAGGGAATCTCAGCACAAATGGGAAATGGGATGGGAAACGCACAACTCCCAATACACACCTCATTTTGCTTAACAATCAAAAGTACATTTTCTCAAGAACTCAGTATTAATCACAGTGCCCTCTTTCTTTCCCTATTATACTAAACCCAAGTTGGACCAACGGAGGCACAACATCTTCCTCTCTGCTCTTCATTGTGTTCTAGAAACAGGCCCTGCTTCTCTCTGTTATGCACAGAGTAAAGAGCTGTGGAAGGTCTTGAAGGCTCCTCATGAACCACTGGAAAGCTTGTTCAGCTACCCTGCTTGAGGCCTCTAAGATTTTACCAGACATTACTCTCAACTTTTCTGGATTATCTTCCTATCCACTGGAGCTAGAAACTTTTAAAAATCTCAAGAGATTGAACCGTGAACCTCAAAATCACATCCTCCACTAGTCCTCTGCACACACAGACCAACCTAAGCATTGCAGGAGCTGTCTGTATGCAAGGAGTAGCCGAATCAGGGGGAAAAAAGAACCAAGCTGTCTCACTCCAACCTATTTCTGTAAAAAAACAAAATTCCTTCTATTGACAAGGACAGGGGCCTATTCTCTTTTCCCTCCTTGCTATACCCCCGCTCAGTTTTGTATATTAGACCGACAGTCTACATTCAGTGCATGATGGCTCATTTCATAGATTCATCAGAATGCTTTCAAGGAGTTAGCCAAGCATAATTGAGAGAAAAGCTATTGCCATAACTACCATGAATGCAAGTGAGTTATATATTGCAGGAATGTAATCAAAATTATAGCTTATGTGAAGCAGGGAGGGTCAGGAAAAAAGCAAACCCTTAGGAAATTACTGGTTCCAAAAAGCATTGAGAAAGTGCCTTGACTTGCAAACAACTGGTTGAAACAATCAGATAGTCGTTTTGTCAAAATGCTTTGGATCAGTCACCATAGGCTGCAAATCTTTTTCATGCATATAAAAATCATCTTTACTGAAATCAAGGGGACCTAACTCCCAGGTCAATGAGTTTAAAATTGTTATATAATTTAGATTTGAAAACTCCTCAGGGGCAAAGAACTATCCCTCCCATCTTTCCCCCACTTCCTTAAAAAACCACCAATACACTGGTGATGCTATATAAACACTCTGTCAACAAGGAGGCAGGCAGATCAAGAAAGGTGTGGCTAGGAATCAGACTATCAAAAAAGGAGTGTGGAAAGTTCATTCTTAACCCTTTACAATATTCCACCATCCCAGTAATTCTGACAAGAGCCTTAGAAGCTAGATCAGAATTATTTTTCTCACAGCATAGACAGAGAATGGGATGTATCAGAGGCCAACAGAAAAGAGGCTTGCCTAGACAACAACAATTCATAAAGCAATTTATGTATTTTGAAAGGTGTTAAGGCTAGATGCATTGTCCTAAAGCACCCACCCAAGTTAAATCCATTTAATGGACCACCGTTTAACTACAGGCCCAAAACATTGTATGTGTTCGGCTTGGGTCCAGAGTTAAGACATGCTTAAGCAGATCCACTAAAAGTAAAGGCACTTAAGTTTCAGTGAGGACTAACACGTCGCACATGCCCTCTCCATGCATGGCTACTTCCAGCACCAAACCACAGAAATACTGAAATGCAGCCAACAGGATCGTGGGCGGGATTCGAACCCGAGACTTCCCGACCGACAGCTCACAACGCCACCCTGGGTCTACTCAGAAGTGTCAGGCTGCAATCCCCACCGTCTCCAGCCAGCTGGGGATGATGGGAATCGTAGTCCAACCTATATCGGGGAGCGAAAAGGTCGGGAATGCTGCCACGCTCCAGGTGGTCCCAAAGCCGGCAGCTGCCAGAGCGGGAGGAGGAGGCGGCCGGCTGAAGGGGTCCAGGGCAGGGCCTCATCTTCCCGGCCGCTCGCTGCTCAGGCCGTTCTCCCCAGCCTCCCCTTTTCCAGGACAACTCACCATCTTGGCCCCCCTCAGCGCCGCTGCTTTACCCCCTTCTTTCCGCCACTTCCGGTGTGCCAAACCCAAAGCCCGGAAGCAGGACCTACAGGGGCCGAAGCTGGGCCAAAATTCGTCAGGAACGAGCCGCAGCCAGACCCGAAGTGGGCGGGGCTTGTGCGCTCGCTCGCTCCCTATGAGGAAAGCGGGGGAAGAAAGACAACACGGGAGAGCTACATCCGGGGATCGGAGCTGTTGATGACCCAAAGAGTCACGAGACGCAGAACCACCCGCCTTAACCTACGGAGGAACCAGTGCGAAAGGACAGGGCACCATAGAGACTGAGGGGAGGAAGAGGGTGGAGAGATTTTCTTCCCCCTTTGCCTCTTGCCCCGCATATGGCGGCGCTGAAATGGAAACCGGAAATGAGCGTCGGATCTTCCTCCCCCTCCGGCTCCTCAGTATGAGTTCGCGCGCCTTTCCCGCCCTTTCTAACCGTCTCGCGCGGCGACCGCGGCGCGCGCCCCTCGCCATGAAGTGCGTCGTTGGCGGCGCTCATATGAGAGGTAGCGCCGCGCACCGTGCACCGTGGGGGCCGCGCCGCCTCGCGAGAACGACATCTCTCAATACAGTCATAACATACTAAAACTAACGAGATACAAGCTTTTAAAAAATTACAGCTAAAACTGGGTCATCTGTCAATACAAGCCCCTCAGTTTTCATATGTATAAATGCACAAGATATGGAAATATCTTGTGCATTTATAATAATAAAATGGAAATTTAAATCGGACACTTTGCACTTCACCACCTATGCACACTGCCTTTTTTTAAGGACCTCTGAATAGAAACTGATGCTTACGCTTCGTGTCATTTGGATACCTTTGCCCTCGTTTGGAGGGGACGGTTTATTATTTTATTTTCCTCTAAATTAGCACACATTGGCAATGACATACAGGCTGGAAATTAGCATTAATAAGCCTAGTAATGGTAGAAGTTTGACTTTTAACTCCAGCATCCTACTCCATAATAAACAGAACTCAGCTTTGCATCCTTTCCTTTTTATATTTCTGAGTGCATAAGAAGTTGGGTGCTTTCTCCCTTAGTGACATCATTAGGTATCATGGATTTTTTATATAAGTAAGATTGCAATGTAATAGATAATAGGAGAGTAATCCCATACAACTCACTCGAACTTAGTTTTAAGAAGACATTATTACGTAGTTGTCCTGCATATCAGAATGTAATCACACGGTAAAAATAATTTTCTCTACAGTATTTGCAAAGGCCATATACGCCATATCGCGCATCAGTGATGAATTTTGGTTTGAGCCTACTGAGAAAGGAGTAAGTACATTCAGTTAGAAAAACGGACTTGTGGCATGGAGGAAAACGTGTGGCAGAACATGTGTGGAAATAAAAGTGTATTACCGTGTAGTAGACCAGGTTTCTCCCCACAATTAAGAGGGCCGCTGAGATCGCCAGTCACCTTTGGTCCCCGCTGGGGCGCCCAGGTGTGCAACGGCCTTTCCGAGGAGGCTCACCTGGCGGCTTGGCCTGGGAGTGCAGACACGGCACCTGGCTGAGCCCGCCGACCACCTACCTGCGTGCTGGACCCTTTCCCTTCGCAGCCTATTCTGATAGGCAGGGGATGCCAGGCTGGGCCTAGGTGTTACCTGAAACACACCTGAAACACACTCTCTCATGTACGGAGGACCTTTCATCCGCGTGGACTGACGCATCGGCTCCGTCCCTGCCGGAATAGGGATCACATTGTTTTATTGCTTGTTGTTACTGGTTTATTTGCTCCTGTTCTCTGTATTTGTTGTATTTTAATCCAGTTTACGTATGGATTTTGGTTTGCGATTGTCCTTTATTTTTATTTGTATTTTATATTGCACTGTGAGCCACCCAGAGCGCCTTTGGCTATGGGGCGGCATGCAAAAGTGATAAATATAGAAATGAATCCGATTCAGCCAGCGCACTGCACTTACTGCCAGTCTCTGACTGGGCCTAGTTCAAAGCCTTCAGTGGCTTAGGGCTGGCTTACCTGAAGGTTCACCTCGCTAGGATCCTACTCAGTGGTCCTTCCTGCTGTCAAAAGTAACCAAAAAAGTAGCTACTAAAAGAGGGCTTTTTCTCTTGTCTCCATGGTGGCTCACACCTGGATAACACGGTTTGCAGCACCAGGTGAAGACTTTATTTTCCCAGGAATCCATTGCTGTATTTTAAATCTTCATACTGCTGCTAGCTTTTAATGTGGTTTTTACTTACATTTTAAACTACTGTATATTTGATGCTGTAATTTTTGGTTTTAATACCCAGAGAGCTTTGGCTTTTCAGCAGGATAGAAATATAACCATTCTAACAGTAAACTCAGAGCCCCAAATATTACCATATTACATATTCCTATGCATGCCTGTGATTTCATGCTGATATAACATTTAATCATATCCACAGCTTTCCCTGAGATCAGTAAATTCTCCTAGGTCAGCTTATGCCTGTATCATCTTCTCATCTATGTTCTTTCAACATTATTCCTGTAAAAATACACCTGAATTGGGTCTGAATAAAAACCACATACGGCCTACATGTAAATTAGCAATAAAGGTAAGTTCCACTAGATGAAGCACTATATGCTTTTCTTTTTCATAGTACAAGACATAATTCCATTTATAATTATTTAAGAACCAGTGTGGTATGGTGATTAGATGTCCATGAAACTCACTGGGTGCCTTTGGGCCACTTTCTCACTCTCAGCCCAACCTACCTTACAAGGTTGTTGTGAGGATAAAATGGAGTTCTGCATGAGTTCCTCACAAGAGGGCAAATGTTCAAATATTAATACAATGCAATAACAATTATAATATAGACAATGAGATGGTGAGGTTTGTGATAATGTTCAGATTCCAACTAAGAATATCTGAACAATGTGTAATTTTCTACTAGCAAAAATGTGTTTTACTGTAGCATTTTTGAAAAACACAATTCTTTTTCCAACATGTTTAGTTCACAGCAAAGGATCCGTTACGGAAAATTAGCACTAATCCAGGCCTCCCTTACACCTTTACTAATATAGTTTCCTTGTGTGTGTTTTGCAAATATCAGTAGCCAAACTTTTAATGAAGTTTTTATGAGCTATGAGCTAACTTTATTCTTAGGAGAATCTGTGCAATAATAATAATAATCTTTAATTTTAGGCGGTCTTGCCTCTGTTTCGGTCCTTAATCACACTGGAAAGGAATGTGGAGAAATGCAGCATTTATACAAACTTTAACAATTACCATATTATTTTTCAACTTTTCTGCAAGCATGGTATGTTAGTCAATGGCATGTGATTCTGTAATTTGTTTTGGGATAAAAGGCAGGGTTAAAACGTATGTACCAGAAGTCAGGAATGAATGTGACTTAGTTCCATTTGCCATCCTTTAGGGGGCTTGGAAACACCCTTACTATTTTCTATGTATGTCTAATATGGGCGGTTTTATACATATTAAAGGTAGAAAATAACATTATTCCTTACTTAGGCTTATATACTCTAAATACAACTGGAAAGGAAAAGAAAACGCTGCACTAGGACATTTTATTAAATGTCCACCAGAGAGCAGTAGAGAATGTGTTTCAACAAGCCATGAAAAGTGCTTGTGTGTACTAAGGATTACAAAAACCAGATGACCTGCACTTGGTATCCCAGTGTGTAGTTGACTGGCCAGTGCACACAGAAGGGTTCGTTCATGCCAGGGTGTGTCACCGGGGCGGTTGCTCCACTAGACATATGAAGGGGATAGAGGAAACACATCCCCAAAGAGAACCTCTTTTTGATTGATATGTATATATGCAAATTTAGAAATAAATATAATAGTCTTTTTGTTCGTTCAGAAGCTTGACTTGTGTACCTGTCTGGTCCATTGGCTGTCCAGATAACCAATCGATCAAATTATTGAATTTGCTGTTCACAGAATAGTTGTTGCTGACAATACTGACATCCTGTCTTGTCTCTGCATTAGTCTCCTTGTTTTTCGTAAGCAACAATTTTAGGTTGGGATGGCTTGAGGATTTGGTTAAGCCTTGTAAGTTTCTTAGTTCAGCCAATTTAATTAAATTTTCATGTGACTAAAACAGTAGTTTTGATCAAGTGTACTTATTCATAGCCAGTGCAAGTGTGTGTCACTGCTGGTGCCATTTTAGAAGAAATGCTCTTTCCAATGTAGGAAGGAAAGGTAACAGATGGCTCTAATGTCACATTTGCAACCCACTGTTTTAATAAGTGCTTAGATTAAAAGAGCTTCTCCCAACTTGATGGACTCCACGTGTGTTGGACTACAACCACCAGCATCCCTAATCCGTGTAGTCCATGGCTGGAATGCCTGATCTACACTGTCTACCTAATAAAATATACCTTTTTAGTTGTTTACAAGGGCTTGTTGTTGATCAATTTCACTGATTCTTTGGTTGTAATTCTATCTGTCACAAAAGGCAGATAACATTTTTAATCTACTTCCGATTTATATAAATAATGCTCCAATTAAAAGCAAGACCTAAATGTTATATTAACATATGAAAATTTGTTAATTTGTTTGAGGTAATGTGCAAAGATATGCTAATTTCGATCTATATCCTCTCTTCTCAGGCATTGTAAAAACTCATAATTTAGCTTTTCAAGAATGTGAACCTTTGCAAGCTGTGTTTGCAAAGCATCTGTGCCCGAATGTACTAAAGGTTCAGTCAAGGTAATAAAACAACTCACCTGATAACATTGGCTAGATTAAAACCCAGTCTTGCCATGCATGTTCAAGAGAGCTAGCTTTCATTAGTTGAAAGGAGGAAAGCCAGATCCTGCTGGGGGGATAGCAAAGTAAGTGCCTGGCTCTCTCCCAAGATGTTCTCCAGCACTGAAAGGAACAGTTTTCTCGCTGCTGGACTTCCCCTTCAGCCTCTACTGGCAACAAGACTCAGGGTGTGAAAAGGTAGCAGATCAAGGGTTGTTTGTCAAGGGCTTTGTCAAGGTTCACCAATGCCACCTTCTGGAGAAGGTAGAAAAAGCGGAGGACGGTGCTGGGAGCCTCAACAAGATTTCACTTCAATTATTTCTATAATAAGTCTATAACTAGACTTTTAGCCTTTTCTTGTCTTGGCTTAGAGCATGTGAATGAACAATCAGAACATTTGGAGTGGGAGCCTTGGTGGAACGTAACATTTCCAGTATTCATTATCCAGTGCAGCCTTCCACTTAAAGCAGTGCTGTGGGTACTACGAATTTTCAAAATTCCTAAGTCAGTTTAGTGTAATGGTTAAGAGTTCTGGGCTGGGACTTGGGAAATCTGGGTTCTAGTCCTCACTCAGCCATGGAGCTTACTGGTGAATTTGAGCCAGTCACAGATTTCAGCCCAACCCACCTCACAGGGTTCTTGATGTGAGGATAAGCCTGAGAAGGAAAATTATGCAAGTTGCCTTGAGTTCCTTGAAAAAGGGAGAAAGGTGGGATATAAATGCAATACCAAATAAGTCAGTCAAGGTCACATCGTGTTTTCTTTTAAGCAGATGTACACCAAACTGCCACTTGTGTTACTCATTTAAAGCTCCAAGGTTTCTAATCTGAAGTGTCATGTTCTCCTACTTCTCAGGCAGCTGTCTGATATACTGATTCATTTCCCAACCTATCAAGATGAAATTTCTTTAACTGTAACACCAGTAAAAGTTAATTTCAAGACTTACATTGAAGATGAAATGGGTAAGGACTGAATTTTCATTGTGCGCTTAAAATATCAAAAAAGTGATTCTAAATATTCCGAATGCAATAAATATTATGATATATTAAGTATCTTTTATATTTTGCAGCTTAAATGTTATTGAATAATCCTAGCAATAATCAAGAAGATTCACACAAAGAAACATGTTGGAAAATACATTTATAGTGGCTGGGTAACTACTTTTTATTGGAGTATAACCATGTTAGCCTCCGGATTACAAATTCGGGGGTTATGTATAGTATTTGATGTAGCCTATGAGTTCTTGCTAATTTGTTAAAATATCTGAACAACTGAAACAATACATGTAAGGTATACTTAGATCTTTTTCACAAGAAATGTTCCAATGTATTGCAAGAGGCTACCAAGTGGTGTAGATGCAAGAGGTGGGCTATGCTTCTTGGGGGATGGGCTGCGGGTAAGGGATGGATTGCCCTTTACATGGTCTGGGAAGAATGTGCCTTGCCACAGCACGAAGAAATGGGGGGGGGGGCTTTAAATCGAACCCACAGTAGGGGGTTGTGAGAACTGGCTTGAATATTTGCCCAGTTCACCGCTAGATGCAATTGAATGCACACCTCTTACCATACTATGTTCTGCAGCATTTGATGAACACGTATTAGTCTCAGCTTATACATTTCAAGAACTCTCCACAATGCCCTCTATTCCTCTTTTTCCTTTGCCTGTTCTTCTGTTTTAATGTTACTGTCATGATTTTTAACAGACTTGGCACAGGCAATGATTACAGAAATACATCTCAGCCCAGAAGAATTTGAATACTTTCAAGTTGGAATAGATTCTGAACTCACATTTTGCCTCAAAGAGTTAAGGGTAAAAGTTGCTAACCAGATTTGTTTTATCCTATATCTAAAAATTACATAGCTATGCTCTTCCAAGAGCACCCGTTAAAAAGTGATGTTTAGATAATAGCACTTACAGCACTTGGCTGAAAGGAATGAATGGACAGGAGGAAAAAGATGGGTAGCATGCTGTAAAACCGTGGCATCTCAAAGAACCATCCACCTAAGAGCCTTTCTGAATGAAATTAAGCATCCATGATTCAGAATCTCATGACTAGCAATGGCCTCTACATTGCTGTAAGGCTGTAATTGTCCCATCTGTAAGAAACAGTAAGAGGACATTTAAGCCTGGTTTCCAATGTTTCAGTGCAGGGGTGCAGAACGCCAGGCCTAGGTGTCAAAGCCAGCTTTCTGGGATTCCTCAGGTGGCCTCTACTCACTTCTCTGGCCCTACCACCTTTCTCCCAGTCACTGATCATTTGCAGGTTTCCCACTTCTTGTGCCGTTTTCTGCTTTCTAGAAGGCTGGAGTGCTTCAGCTAAGGCCGTTACTGGCAGGAACAGCTTCAGCACACTGTGAATACAATACACTGGATTTTTAAAAAACGTTTGATCCTGCCCCTTTCCTTTTGGCCCCTCACCACTGGGAGGTATCTCCTGAGGGCTTCTCAGAAACAGAATTCATTCCTCTGGCTGAAAGAGAGTCAACACCCCCTCCCCAGTGTTATGTTTGTATTAATTTGCACCCATTGCTTGTTTTTAGGGACTTCTGGCTTTTGCAGAAGCTATCAGTGCTCCAGTCGCTATCCATTTTGATGTTTCTGGAACGTACGTTGATGGGTTTTTTCTTTCAAGAAGTACAGCATTTCAGTAACAGCTTCATTTTAAACTTTCAAAAGTTTGCTTCGCTTAACTAGTAATTAAGCTTGCTTGAATTGTCAGTGATTATATATTTATGCAGTATCAGGGGGGAAAAACATGAAAAGTGTAAAATATAGTTCATGTAACTATACTTTTTCTAAAGGCTGTTTTACTTACATGAAATACCTTCACACACGCTTCTATGTAATAAAGCCACATGCGAACCATTTGAGCAGAGTCGCAGGCACTTATACCATGTGAGAGCATACAAACTGGTCACGATCCTATGCTTAAGTGCGCTTATGCCCACAGATGCCTTTGAAAAGCTTGGTGGTTACATTACACAGCTACAATGGAGAGACAGTATTTTAGTGATTCTTTTCAGAATTAAACAGCAGTATCAGAAGCCATCTTTTACATGACAGATATAAACTATGAATGGTTAAAAAGTAATGAGAGAAATTACTCGTGTTATGTAACTGAGCTATCAGCTCCAATTTTTTATTTACATTTAAAGGCCAATTGCCTTCAGCATTGAAGAAATGGTAGCAGAAGCCGATTTTATTTTGGCTACCTTAGCAGATTCTGAACATGAAGCAACCTCTCACAAACCCAGGTGTCTTCCAGAAGGCCAGAAACGGTAATAACTTTTAGAACCTTTTCTGCAAAGTGCTAGATTTTAGATGAAATAGCATTTCTGCAAGTTCAGGAAAGGTTACCATCCATGCTCTCACCTCTGGAGCTAGAACACCTCCTTGCCCATTGCCTGCTGCGGTTACTGACGAGGACTTTTCATCCCAGGAATAAAGTACCTGGATGACCCAGTGGCTGGACTTAGCAGGCCATTCCTGATGTTCGTGTGTGGGGGAGGGACAAAACAGGCACACAGCTTTGATAAGTCCTGTGCCTAACACACAGTTTGCCACGATGCTGGCCTCTTCTGCCTTTGAGATTCATGTTTGAGGATTCCTCCACAACAATCCATACTGGTCATCATCATCGAACCTGGTTCTGTACAGTCACTGGGAAATACCCCTTTCCTTGTCTGTGGCAACACGAGCCCAGCATTGTGAATAATTATGTCTCCTCCCTCAAACACCTAGGAGGCATGAATCAGAACAGGTTCACCTTGAAAAAGGTCCAGAGCCAAGTATAGTAGGGGACAAACAGTCTTGAAGGGAATGGCAGATGAGACTTGAAAATCTGTTGCATTTTAGGAGCCCTACATCAGGAAGCAGCAATCAGATCATAGCACCCAGCAGAAATATTCAAAGTACGGAAACAAGTCTAGCAGATGGCTTCAACATTATGAAGGAACAGGTGCCGCTTCATCCCAGTTATAACAAGGTGAGAGAGAATGAAAAGATACTGGTCTGTAAAAGAGAAATAAGCTACAGAGTAGTTCTTTTGCTGAAGTGCAAAGAAGTGTTTGTTCTAGTGCAAAAACATTTTATATATAGAATCTACGGTTGAATAACACTGGGTACCCATAAACACACTGATTAGTTCAAAATCTGCTGAGGTCAGTTGTGAGGCTGAAACCAGACTTAGAACATACAGTGAAATCAGTGGGACTTCGCAATGATGAAATTAAGTCCATTTTTAAAAGGAAAGTCTAAAGGTACAAATATTTCCGACAAGATAAAAGGGTAGATGCCGATGAAGAAGCCATCATGGCTTCACAAAAAGTTTGGAAATTACCTGAAACAAAAAAGGCCACATAAAATGGCAGGAAGGCCAACCTCCAAAGGAAGGATACATGCAGATAGCATGGAGTGGCAGGGATACTCGTCAGGAAGGCTAACGCTGAGAATGCGCCGTTAGTGCGAATTGCCCCCATCCGCCCCCAAAAGGCTGCCTAATTCAACCACTCAATAAGGGTATTATAAGACCTGTCTGAGTGGCCCTGGATCTCCTTTCACACGATTCAGAAAAAGCTGAATGTTCTTTAGGAAATGGAGAATCACAGGTGGATGAACAGCTCATCTTGCTACATAGCTTTGCCACAACACTTCCCTCCTCTTTAGAGAGGATCAAGTACAATCTAATGTTTACATAAATCCAACCCTAATAGAGATGCACCATTTCAGGATCTTGGCTGAGATACTGCAGTTAATTTCCTTTCTTGCCTCTAGTTTCACTCCATGTTTTTTGGAGCCGTTTCATCAAAGGAGCAAGATAACACTCATGTATTCCACAGTTTGGCCACAGCAAGTGATGCTGAAGAGGATTTGGACAATCAACAACTTTCCCCAACATTTTAGTGATGCAAAATATCTGACTGCTAAAAGTGATTTCTATTGTTATTAAGCTGTTCATGTATGCTTGGCATACAGATAACCTGAGTTTCTTCCTGTCTCAAAAGTATGTTTGTACTGTTGGATACCATTGTTTTACAATGTTTATAAACATTGCTTCTGGACAAATACTTTTTATTTTCAACTTGTCACATTCTAATTTCTGAGTCACTCTTTAATTAAAAAGTCAGGCATGTCTAGTCAGGCTCAATGCAATCAGTTCATGCTTTTCATCATATTTTCAGGCAATGTTTAATGAAGGAGAGCTTGGGAGGCAAATGACTGAATGAAAAGGTGGCACAGATTCAGTTCTGTTCTCCATCTGCCTTTCCATCAAGTTTCTTAAGATTAACTAGATAAACAAAAACTAGCACTGTACAAAACAGCTGGAATTACATGGCAGTGAGCTGTAATGCTTTCGAAGTGTGTACAGTCTCGTAAGAGAAACCTGCTCTCCCACAACAGCAAAATGAGAGTGTATTTGGCTAGTTCAGCCCTGATAACAGGCAGTTACCCACAGCAACCTAACAAAGAGCAACTCGTCACACACTGCTGCATAGCCTCTGCCTTTCTTTAAGATCCGCTTCTCTTCGATTCCCACAGTGAAGGAAAATGGGTACTGAACTGCCATTAAAATTTCCATGTCAGGAAACAAAACAACGCAGCTGGTACAAGCAGGGGATTTGGGTTGTCTCTCTGGTAGTGTTATTTACTGTATGCCAAAATAATTACTGTTACGAGCTTTGCTGTATTTTTGTTTAAAAATTGGTATTTTGCCCTTCTAATTCAATTGTAAATTTATATGATAAATCCATGCTTAGAGCTGTCTTCTCACCTCAAGAACTTGCTATGTGTCTGATCCACCAGGAACTTCTCCTGCACAAGTACACTGCAATGAAGAGAAATGTCTGCACGGGTACACACTTGCCTTTGTTGAATTCCCTTTTGTACTGCACAAGCTGCACAAGAGAAATTATTTGTGCATAACTGCATTGGCCATAATTTTATATTTTGCCTGGCTTTTGCATTTGAAAGGAAATTTCAGTGAATACAAATGCTGGACTTGACAAATTGGAGCCCAAAATTTGATCCCTATCCTTGGAGCGATTGGCAGAAAATTCAACTTATGCACATGTGTCTCCTACTTGGGCAGTATGAAATAAATTCTCACCCTTAAGCAATTACTTATGGGAAATTTCTTGCTGTTAAAGCAATACAGGTCATTATACCCTTGGAAAGTATCACTCGCCATCACAGGAGTAGCATTAACTTTGTGCAGATGATTATGGCTATAAAAATTGGGCAAGCAAAACCTTAACAGCAACACAGAGCCAAGTGATGGGGTGCAAGGATGCAGCTTGTTGAGGCAAACAATTGCGCCAAACTGCAATCACAGTTTAAAAAGGTGCACATATATTGTATAAATACTATATTTATTAAATATCTTTACAGTTCATTTAAATGTATTTACAGATACTATTCTTGCGCAAATTATATTTCAGACATCCCATTCACATAATTGCCTTGTAGGTAAGCACAGGTAACGATAGTCTCATTTAACAAGAAAAAGCATCCTTATTAGATCAGCTATCCTTTCAGGCAAAATTAAAAGTCCATTTCTAAATTTAGGCTCAAATCCCATATATATTCACTTAGAATTAAATCCCATTTAATTCAGTGGGGTTTCCCTCTGAGTAGATTTGTATAGGATCATACTTGTTAGCCTTGGTGTCCAATTGGAAAGCAACCCATCACACAAATAGCTGCTGTAATCAGCTATCTTTAATTTGCTCTCCTTTTGGACAGTTATGCCCATCCCCAGTCTGGTCCCAGATTTCAGGTTCTTTCCTAGTGTGTGTGTTGCAGAAACAGCAGCTCTGGTGGGTAAGCAGGCAGCTGGATGCAGTTTCCCCTCTGTCAACAGAAGAGCTGCTTCTGTTGCTGGGGGAAATAGGATCTAGTGATGCTGCCCGACTGGCAGGAGGGCTTAATGAGGCAATTTAGGCCAATGCTTCCTTCCCCTCCCCTTGCAGACTCCAGAACAACCACACATGGTGTCCCCAACCCTCAAAGCAAATCTTCAGGGGGGAACTGGCAAACTTTTTCATCCACCCCAATAGATCATGGTTTGTCCGATTCCATCTGTCCAACTCTGGATCCAACCCGGGACGTTTCTGTTCTCCCCAAGATAGCTACAACAACAAAGAACCATGGACTTCAACTCCTCTATTCATACGAGTACGCCGTATCAGCTTACCTCTTCATAGCTATCGAGATAGAAACACGGTTGCAGACATCTCCAGAAGGCAAGTCCTTCAGCTACTCAGTGAAGTAGGCCGATGTTATGCAAACTTGCTTCTTTCCAATTTTCTATAAAGCAATTCTGCAGTTTAAGTTACCCTCAGTCTCCATCTGTGTGTTTCCAATTTAAGAGAAGATAAAAACGGCGTATGTTCTTTGTCAAATCATGATTCCAATCAAGTTTCTAGGAAACTACTGCTCTGAGTACCAGTACAGGTTATTTTCATAAAGTAGTAAGCCCCACCTTTTCCTTTTTTTAAAAAGATTTGTGCGCAGGCAGCTTAAGTTCATAGGAAGAAATTAGGCTCTGATATGTTTGAGTGCACATTGTAAAATGGAAAAAAAAATCAAGCGTGCAATAGAAATATTAATTCTTTATAATACAATATTGCTTTAAAAACAGATGGCAAAAAGCTAGAAACTGTACTGGTCTTTGGTGTCCAGTGAGGGAGGAGGGGGACTTTGTATCTGCAAGTCTAAAAACTCAATTTGATCATTAAAAATGTGGTAAAAGACAAATGGCTTTATGCATACAGTTTGATTAGAAACTGCTTGAAGCATAGCCAACAATCAAATTCCACCAAAGGTTACTGTCCAACTAACTGTGAACGGAAACCAAGACTCCCAGCTCTGAAGCAGTGGGAGGGAGCGCAGGGAATGACCAACTGAGTGTGGAAGAGAAGCCCCTCATTTTTTTACTGATGGGACACCCACTGTTGTAGTTGCAGAGAAGCTGGAAGATATTCTCTGTCCCGCTGTGTGGAGGCACCAAGTCAGGGAGAGGCCAATGCCAAAAGGATGGGACAGGGAAAGAAGGCAGTAACCAATCAATTGCTTGTTCTCGTGACAGCGAATATTGGTGATTTAAAAATGCAAAGTCAGTCCAAATTAAGGGATAGTGGCTCTTCTTGCAAAGCAGAAGAGCCAGGTACTGCAGCATTAATACATTCCTTCTTATTGAAGATACACAGCACAACTTGTTCAGCTCAATAGGGATTGAAATGGTTTGTGCAAAGTGATCATTTGCCACCTCTTTAAAAATTATAGCACTATTTTCATTTCTTTTTTCCACCCTGTATCCATGACCCAAAAAATCAATTTATCAAGCTAAATTGTTAAGGCCTTCTGAGAAGAAACTAAAGGTGACTTAAGAAAAATCATCATGCCAATGTTTTTAAAAAGTAGATTAAACAGCTTCCAAAATGATTTCGCCCATTCTCATGGTAAATGAAATGCCTGTTAGAAGCAGGATGCACTGAAACAATGACATGTACACAGTACATGTTACATAATTATAAATAAAAGCTCAACACAATTATGAAAATATACAGTAAAACCACAAAAAATATTTAAAACAGGCTGAGGTAACCTCAAACTTACAGTTTTAATACAATAAACCTGGCAGTAAAACCCCCTTTTTTTAGTTTTAAAAGAGGTAAGATTGATTTACTGGCCAAGTTCATCAACTAAACATCAATATTACCCAACTGTTATATAAAACATGGCTTTTCATTTCTAGTACTTTTCTACCAGCAAAGAAAGTTATGAAAAACTGACCAAAATATATATATATAGCTATACATATATATATATATATATATCTTTACAGCTATTGGTTTTTATATGAACTTAAAAAAAGTGGAGGAGGGAAGATTGCAGCTACTGAAGAAACTGGGCTGAATGGAAATGAAAGGAAATGCTCTATTGCTAAATGGCTATTATATACCTGTAAACATCATGAACGTTCATTCCGGGAATCCTATACACCAACTATCAGAATGAAAGTGCTGCTCATTAAGCATTTTGCATGAACACAAACAACAGCCTGTACTGTGGAAAACTGCAAAGTTCCTCAACCATGAAAGGGAAGATTCTGTGCTGAGGATGATCAACGTAAACGCAACTCCTTCTTCCAAACTACTATAGCACATAAACCAAGATCAGGTGATACTTGCACAGGTAATATTCCATCCCAAACTCTCAGCACCTCGGTTTCTTCAAATTTCAGAAATGAAAGATGAAAAAAACCCAGATCCAAAGTCTGGCTCAGAGGGCTCCGTGTGAACAAACGATATGTCGAACATTCATCTATATGGTAACAGTTAAGCACCTGCAGTCTCTCTCTCTTTGCATACATGCACGACACATTTTACAAACTAATTCTGTGTTTCAAATTTAGTAACAGACAAAGCTCCTGAGCGTGAACACCATAAACACCAAGCGCCTCAGAGCACTTTGAATCCTCGGGAGAATTCGTATAAACATAAGCCTCAGCTACTACTGCAACATACTATGCTAGTTATAGGATAGTTTGTGACCAACTCACAGATGAACAATGGGCTTCTGCTAGCGATATGCTTGTGTCCTTGGGTTCTGTTTCAGTTTCAATAGCACATCTAGTTTGGACTCACAACAGCCAATCTATTTATTTGCCACTCACTTTCCTTCAGAGCCATGGCCATGGTTATTTCTTCCCTTCCCCATTACTATGTCATAATTACTACTAAACTTTGAAGAGATGCGTTTCAAGTATTGAAATTCTTCATTTCTTGCTGGCAGATGTACCCCAGTGTACTCCAGCAGTGGTTCTGGACAGAGACCTTGACTGCACCTTAAAACGGGCAATGGACATAATCTTTAATAGCCACTGAAATCAGCTGCAGAGAAAGACATCCTGCCAGCAGGAAACAGTACGTGTGAAGCTGGGAACAATATGAAATGCACGAGTCATCAAAAGCTGATGCTTTCAGCAAATCAGTCTGTATATTCCGCAACTATAGAAAGAAGGACGGTGATGTCATCTGGTTTTCCACCTGCAAAGCAAGAGGTTGAGATGTTTTAGCTAAAGAAATCGCAAAGGAGCAGTCATCAAAATAAGGTCAGCGAGTGGCTGTCGTATTTCAGCAACCCCCATTCCCATCTCTAGCACCAAGGAGGTTGCAGATGTGCTCAGCGACAAAGGCCAAGAGCCAAGACGTGCCCTCCAGGAAGGAAGTGTGTGTATTGGAGGTGGGGGGGCAGGGGGGGAGAGAATGGGATTAATTAATGTTTGTGTCAGTCTTCAGTAAGACATATATCAATATAGTTATCTGCCAAGAGAATGGGATGGGACATGGGGCAAATAAAATCCAAGTCATATTATGCATTACAACTGCATCATGCAGTTGTAGAAAAAAATATAGGCTTACATCTGCAAGCTGAGTGGCAAGATGAAGGACCTGGCCCCAAACTAGGCAGCACATCAGCTGTACTGGGAGCAGGTACACGTGCAGACCACTTGTCATTTCTGGATTCTGCAACCAACCCATGCCTGCCTAGCAGCTTCAGATCCAACCGATGCTTTGCTTCCGCAGCAAATCTGGAAACCTTACCTCTTACATTCAGTCCATTGTCGCATGCAAACTGTGCAAAGGGAGACATGTAATTTGGATCATACGCCAGTTCATGCGCTTGCTCAGCAATACTTCTTGCCGTCTGTTGTATACTTTCATAATTTGAATTCTAGATTGAGAATGGGAAAGAACGTTAATTTTCAAAAGGTTATCACTTGCCACGAGTACTTCCACATAATAGAAGATCCAATACAGACAGTGCCCAAGTTACAAACAACTTGTATGAATGAACTGCCATAAAACTTATTTAAAAAAAATACTGTAGAATTTAAGGTCCCTGATAATAGTCTAACTGTTTTGACTATTAGAAGGTGTTTTGGAATGCAGCTGCCTAGTAAGCTCGGCCTGCCCTTGACTGTAAACCAAATGTTAACCTTTATATTCAGCTTTTACAGGGCCCCTGTGCTCACAGGCAATCTCCAAGAAAAAGCTAAATTTGAGACAATGTAAAGAAGACACACTCATAGGAGATACAGGATCAAAAATCTCAGGATTAATACATTGTCCTTCCAAGAGCTTGAATGATTTGTTTCCAAGTTCCTACCTTCCCAGAATAACTCGATTAAACATTTCACCGAATGAGGGACAGCCAGCACTAGACAACTTGAACTCAATAGTGTTCTTTGAATCTCCTTAGAGAGCGAGGTGGGAAACGTTCAGCCACAGCGGATGCTCGCAAATTTTGCTTGTGGGCGGCACATAATACTATGTGAACTTGCATATTCATAAGGACACTGACCTTTTGCAGTGTCACACGTGCTCTTGGGCACAGCTTCCCTCTCTCAGGGAATCTTTCCCTCCTATCTGTGCTAGCATGGCTGAGCCTGTTTATTTCATTTTTATATCACCCAATAGCCAAAGCTCTGTGAAATTTACAACATAAAATATGCTATAAAAATTTACATAGTTCAGACTATAGAATAAAAGTGAGAACTAGAATAAAACCTAGGAGCAGTACAAAGGTTGAAAATACAATACTGGAATTAAAACAGACTGACACTAAAGTTCCTGGGAGAAAAGCTAGAGGACTAGGCATACATCAAGGAGGCCGCTGTTAATGGAGAGGAGAGAGCAGCAGTCATGAGCCGTGTTTCCTGGATGTTGATCTTTGGGCTCAGGTCCAGCCTATGTAATTTGCCCAACATGGCAAAGGCTGGGCAGTGTGGCAAGAAGGGATAGACAAAGCCCTGATTAGGCCTACAAACACAAAGCTTTTATCAGAAAGGCAGACCTAAAGAGGCGTTCCTTGTACATGCACCTCAATCTGATTGCTCATTTTTACCAACTGCTTTCAAAAGATTTGGGGAGGGACTGGAAAGCTGCCTTGTTAGAAACATTCTAGTCATTTTCAGGAATCAAACCAACCTTTCTGAAGCCATATCACAGAAGGCTACAAGGAGACAGAACAAGTACACCAGATGAACAATGGCTTGCAAACTGATTTGAATGCTTATGCATTCAATCTGATCTTCACAGGGAGAGATCATGACCAGCCAAGTTCAACTATTCTGTCATCACCAAAAGGCAGCCAGTCTGTTCTCCAACCCAGAGCGGATGAGAAACTGCTAGGAATTCCAGAATCCACTGGGAGAATCTCACCTCTGCCATCGGCTCCCCCTTGATCTGCATAATTATACTGGACTACTTTACAGGGCTGCTGCAAGAGGAACAACATCCCTGAATCTCTGAATGTACCATATAAACACGATTATTGCTTCTGTCTTTTTCTCTTCCCTGACTGTGTTCATCACACTGCAGGCAGGTTACCTTCAGCTTCTTAAGCTCCTGAAGGATCATATAGTCGGGCATGTTGTCAAAGAGCCCATCCGTGGCTGTCAGAATGATGTCTCCCAGCTGGACATCAAAGGTAGTACTGTCTGCAGCATCTGGACTGTAAAAGCAAAGAATGAACCGCTGCGTGAGTGGGTCTGGGGCAAAAGTTTAATGCAAAATATGGGAAGAACAGCACTAATTACCTTATTCTGTTTCTATAATGATGTTCAGAACTAGACTGTGCAATCGTATACTGATTTCAATGGGTCTTACTCTCGAGTAGGCAGACAGAAGATTGCAGCCTTAAGCACTAGTGAGAAAGCTCTAGCTGCTTTTCTTCCTTTTTTTAAAAAAACACCCTTTTGAATTTGAACATAGAGGGACAAAGCATGTTTGCTTTCCTAAAATCACTGTTTATTAGACAAAACAGACCAGGCTAAACTTGATAATGAGGAACCTCACACGGGAAAGCAACTGAAGTGATCCCAGGGTCGCTCCAACAGGGAATCTTCTTTCCTCTGTACCTTGCTTATGGCAAGTTCTGCACTAACCAGTGAGGCTCCAAAGGCCTTCCTCCAAAAAGAGGAGAGGGGTTTTGCTTCTGGTTGTTTGCTAGTATAGACTTTTAAGCTGCTAGTTCCCATTGGACAAAATGTGCTTTTCCAACATTCCCGTTTCAGAGCTTGGTGTTCTGCCAAATGGAAATTTTGCTCATTTTGATTGGGCACAGTGTGTTGCTGGAAACTGTTAACTATACTGAAATACAAGCTGCAATCACATGTTTCCCTTTCTGTTCTTCAAGTACTTGCTACCTCACTGTCAGAGTATGCAAAATTAGCAGATTCCCAAACCAAATCCCAAGAGCAGGGAGGAGGGCCCCCAACATGAACAGGACAGAGTAACAGCTCTTGCATGCTTCGTAATTCAAAGCAGCAGCCAGGAAGGCCTCCTGGGGAAGCAATTTCGGTTTGCTGGTTCTTGTAAGATGACATGCAATGCTGAGTGCACCTCCGTTTGCATCTCGCAGCAATCGCAAACCAGTCACATAGTGTGTGCCCTTTAGTACCGTCTCAGTCGCTGAAATATGCACATGGCATGCTATTTGAGAAGGTAATAGTTTTACTCTGAAGCCCTGTCACCAAGTTCAGGGCTTCTAAGCTCCCTGTAACCCAGCAAATTATTATTATTATTATTATTATTATTATTATTATTATTATTATTATTATTTCAGTTGTAACACACAATGGTGGTTTTGCTTGACACATAATCCAGCAGTGGGGAAATACTAAAGTCTGTATTTGAGGCCCACACAGACGCTGGTGAACTGCAGAAAGTAAGTTGGGAGGCATAAAAGCGACTGGCAGCACCGCAGAAAGGGTGCTACACCCTGGCCAACATTTTTATACTCTGACTCACTGCGTTTGCTTTGTGGATGGCCATTCAACACACGCAACAATCATAAAGGGAGATGATGGGCTCTACACATACCACACCTCTTGCCCCACCGACTACTGTGCATTTACTGAAGCCGGGCTAGTGAAGGAAAACCATTTTTAAGTACTACAATAAAATCCCTGAGCACAAAAGGCCACTTCCCACATGACAGTTCTTATTCAGTGTCTCCCAGCAGGACATGAGCAGAATGAAAATGCCAACATTTATACTCAAGACATTAGTGAAAGATGCATCACATGAGAGCTCTGAGATGCCAAGTGGAATTCAGTCCCCCTTACACGGAAACAATGAGTTACATAGTCTGGGATTTGGAGTGGGAGCAGCATTCCTTCTGAATGTACCAGATCCGGCTGAGTTTGTTCTCAGTGATTATACCGCAAACGTCTTACCTGTCACTGAAGACGACCCCTTCGGCTTCAGGTGGTGCTATTGATAACTGGAACGGAGTGTTGAAGTAGTGTTGTTGTTCGTCAGACCGGTGTACTACTTCTCCACCTCTGACCACCAAAAAGCCTGAATCCCCCAAGTTTGCTGTGTGTAAACGATGACTCGTTCGATCTAGCACTACAATGCAAGCTGTGCTGCTCCCTGGAAACAAGATTTTTTTTTTAAAGGGGGCGAAAAAAACAACATAACCAGCTTTCTCAGGAGGGATGCTACTTGTTGCTTCCTGGGCTATATCCAGAGCTCGACCCTTGAGGTGCCTTTTATAAAGAATGACCCGTGGACAAGTACCAGGGTGGGATGAATCCAATGGAAATGCACTGAAGGGGGAATTTCTGCAGGCAACTTCTCAGACAGTGCCGCACGTTTCTTGCACTGAGTGAGTCAAAAGAGCTCTTTCTAAGGGAGGCCAATCTAAAAAGTAATGCCAGAATTATTCTGAAACGTTAAGCAGCAATTTGGAACATGCAACCTCCACTCATTTCAAGAGATCCCGGCTCTGAAGTGAAAAGGAGGTTAGCCAGCACTAACAGTATCTGGCAGGAGTGTTCCCTGCTGAGCACTCGTCCATTAAGTACAAGCACGAGGGACATGCAGATAACTGTGACACATTAACTTTCTTCCATACTGATGCTCCCAACTTGAAACTTGCAACTAAACAATCAGAATAAAGGGAAGTTTTAGTCTTTTTAAGACTTTTTAAAGAAACTAGAGACAATGTGCTCAATAATCTATCTGATCTAAGATGAACTGTAGCTAGAAACAAGTATAAAAAACAATGTACTGAACTAGCACTGTTCTTGTGAACTGAAAAGGTCAAGATGACTAGAGCAGGCACTTTAGTAAGAAGATACTTTGGCAGCCTGATTTAGTCAGGGATTTTGCACAAAAACAGGCATAATTAGATACTGAAGCCCAGTTCATGCAATGTCTGAACTGACACTGAAGGGAAAATTCTGCAGCTGATGGCCATTCTGTGAGTGAGTGATGCAAAATGTGCTGACTGTTCCTGAGCTTTGCAGAGGTTAACTAAATATAGCATACATATTTAGAGATATCTCCTGGCAGAGAAGTTAAGGTCAGGTGAGAAGCATGTGTGGCTGCAGGACGAACTTACACTCAGTGTGCAAAAGGTTGCCTGTTTCCATTGGCTCCGCTGGTTCACAGCATTACCCAGACCCTGCAAATGCGGCCACAAGTCCCCCCATCGCCAGTCTCCCACTGAACGTGCCAGCTGACCTCCAACAGGTGACATCAAAACTGAGCCACCGAGGCACAAGTGAGAGCTATCATGCTTGGGAACCCTACGGTTTGCAGACAGGTGCAAACAAACAGCACCTAGGGAGTCGATTTCCTTAGCAATTTCCAGAAATGAAGACTGCGCAGACTCAGTAAATGTGCTTTCCCCAGCAGGAAAGTAAAAGCAGTCAATCATGGCCATTTCATGTTGCCTAATGCTAGGCTGTAGAATGGAAAACCGAGTGCACTAAGGAAAAGTGGACGTTCAAAAAATGACAAAAAGTGGCTGAGAATGCAGAGGCCGACAATTTACAAGTTTAAACTGTGCTGGTGTACTTTCCTGTGTGCGCGCATGCTCACCTGGATTTGAGCCAGTCCTGCAAATTTTGAGAGGTCATCGTGATTTTAAAAACAGATGTATGATAAAAAAGACCTGAGGTATCAATGAAGAGGTGCTTCCCCTTCGCATTCTATCCCCACCCACAAACAACTGCATTTTTAAAGCATATCCTGGAAGATGCAGGTGTCAAGGAGCACCTGAGAAAAGCCCACTTTTCCAAGATGTATTTGGCACTCAGATCACATAATGAGTCCATGTCAGGTGATGAGACATGAGCTGGGAGTCCCAGCTCACACCCTGAACTGCTGCACAAGTTCTCAAGTACAATATAGGCATGACTGGCTAAGAATAAATCCCAAACGACAGATGTGAGGAAATGGAAGCTCTTTGTTCTTACCAAGCAAAGGTACTTTGTTCTGTAGTAACTCACAGTAGCCTGTGGTGAGAATCCCAACAGGATTGCTTGGTACAAACCGTCCTTCCTTCACTAAGCGTTCACAAGTGCGCATAAGAGTCCCTGAGAACTGAGAAGGGTCAACACCATAGTCCCGCCAGCCACCGACACCATCAGCTACCCCTGCCAAGAGAGAGAGAGAGACAAAATTCTATCACATGAATAAATTGCTGCTTGTTAATATGTGACACATGAAAGTACAAAGATGGTACAACTGAATTAAGTCGGCCCGTTTGCTAGTGATAGTTCAAAGGGCACATTCTACACCCTTTTAAAATTCTATACACTATGCTAAAGGCAGAGTAGTACTGGCTGCTGAAGCCTGAGTAACACTATAGAACTGGGGAGAAAAACTTATGGAGAAGTCAACAGGACCAAGGACAGCCACCACCTGCCTGAGCTTATTCAGGAATAATTTGATAATTCCTAGACTAATCACAGATTTTGGAGTTTTCATATAGAAAGAGCAATAGGGCATATGCTACCTTCATCTGAACAATGGTCATCGTGAACCGAAGGTCACCTAAACTTATGGTAAGCAACTTCAGCATCCAAGTTTCAGAAAAAGCCGAGCCAATAGTCTAAACAGAGTAACTTTAAGTGGCCTGAATCTATACTTTTCATTTTAGCCCTGTGTGGATCTTCACAAGTAAATAAGTATGAAGCCAAGCTGCATGTGTTTAACACAACGTGTCCCATCCATACAGACACATACATGAGGGGGAGGTAGAACGGCACCTTTTTTGCAAGGTTTTTTTTTTTTTACAAGTAAATAGTCATTTGACAAAACAGTACAGTTACAGGTACATGGATTCACCAAACAGTGGTCTTGCATGTAAAGTGTGGAGCCCGTTTCCCCCAAGCACTGCCAAGTCCTTTTGTGGACAAGGTTCGGAATGTGTTGCTTACTGCTGCAGCTGCAGCTACTGAGCCTGCCTGCCTGAAGAACCATGCATCAGGAGTGCTCTGAAGAATTCAACAACCGTTCAAGCCATTTAGCAGAAACAAACCATGACAAATTCCTGATATTATTACTTGATGGCTTCAAGTATTTCTGCTATATGACTGAGTACCTGCAGCCTCCCTCTATCACCACCACCATTATTATCTCCTTTCTCGAGTTCCTCACAACCAAAGTTATTTGGGCAGGTACAGAAGCACCTCTAGTATCATTTCTGAACCATTTGGCTCAAACTGTTCTTCAGCCTGCATAAACCCTAATTTGATAGTGTACAGAATAAGCAAAGACCACGTAAATTATTCAGGAAGCAGCATGAGTCACTTTTTCAGATGAAAGTTGGCTTATAACAGATCTGATTTGGAACAAGAAAACCACTAATCTTTGTCTCAGAAATGAAAATGAATTTAATGTATAAAGGGAAACTTGCTAATCTGTAAACTGACCTTTGCTTAGGATGCCTGCTGAAATGGAGACAGAGGGTTTAGAGCTGACCTTGGCGTGAACTGTGTAATCTAGCAACATGTTACAGCCAAACTCAGCATTAATCAGATTTCTCCCAGAAATAGTCCAGTCTTCCAGACACACACAGCAGCAGTGGCGGTGCCTGCTGCTACCACCACCCTTTGTGATATAGTACGCTTGAGGCCTTGAATGCCAAGAAATTCCCTTCTCCAGGAAATGTACACTAAATGTCAACATCTTGCTGAAAGGCAAATTCTAAATTAACACTTTGATTTCTCTATCATCAACCAAGTTTATTACACTAGCTAAAGGCCATAACAAATTCATCAAATATATGTACACAAACAAAATGCCCAACTTTCCAATAATATAAAACAAAAATGGATTAAAATATAGTATGAGCAGAAAGTCATCTTTAACCTTCCTGACCTTTTTTTGCTATCAAAGCAAACAAAAGAATTTCGTGTCACATAACTATAAGTATCACTCAAAAGAAAAAGAATGGATTTTGCCAAGGCAGTCATGAGACAGATATGATAATGAAATCTATTCTTGAAGCCCTTCTCTATCAATAGTTTTAAAAACACTGTTAGGAACCACTGGATTAAAATGCAATGGGAACTGGTCTGTGTAGTGAAACAGGTGAGAAAAGAAGAAAGAAGCAGATATTACTGCAGAATAATTTAGCAAAGTACATAAAGGGAAGACAATATTTATAAAGATGCCAATCACTCTAGAACACCTGGATGGGAAAAAAACGTATTTCAGTAACTAGTGTCTGTGCCCTTTGCATTTACCTCACCAACTTCTCTCTCCCCTGAAAGCGGCTCAGCATGTCAGATACTTATTCTTTTGAACACATGTCCTAATACTCCATCACGCCTTCTCTCCCTGTCTAACTGCATGGAACCTTCACTGGCTAGCCAAAATCTGTTAAGCAGCTGAAGGGAAACGGGACTTTCTCAGTTGCAACTACTTCCTCAAACAAGAGGGCATTTTGCAGAGATGGTCAACTAGCAGACCGAGATTCGGACCTGGAAGTCCAGTCTGTGGTTTACAGGTCTCACATGAAGTCCTTCCATGCAACAGAAGAACCAAAGATAAAGGAAGGCAACTTCTGCTGGTAGAACTTGACTTGTGGGTGACGGGAGAGTATAGATAACGTGACAATTGTAAGAAGCCCTTTGGGTACAACAGGAAAGAAACAGAAATGTCTTGCTTTTCTACAACTGGACTTCACAGGGTTTGGGGGTATGCATGTGGTGGGGGACGCCTTTAGATGACGTAGGATCAATTTTAAAAACCCATTGGAAGGTGATTAGTGGGCAGCAGATGTTTCAACGCAAGTACTTAAAAAAAAAACCAGATGGCAAGCTCTTTCTTAAAGAAGCGATTATAACCTGTTCTTCCACACTTAGGAAGTAATGCCTCATCTAAGGCATGAGGAAGAAAGGCTTAGAATCTCTCTAAGCAAAAGTATTCATCCCTCCAGAGCTGTTTTTACCCATATGCAAATACAGTCAACTGACTAAAACTTGGGCATCATTATATATTTTCCTCTCGCACAAAATAAGTTTAACAAGTTTACTAAAAAGGAAATGCAAATTCATGACTATAAAAAAAATCTTCAAGCTAAATATATGAAGAAGGTTGTGGAAATTAAAACTGAACATGAGTGGACAGGTCAATTTTAGTGATAGTTAATGAGCATATAACTGACAAACAATTTTAGTAACTGAGTAATTTAAAAATGTAAAACTAGTAGTACATTAATTAAGCTTTCCCGTCAGAAATGAGATAATTTTCAAGTCCCAAACTAAAAGTATAACAGCATACTCTAATTTTCTGCTTATTTGGAAATTCAAGGGTTCAGCTTGTACAATCGTATACACAACTGCCCAAAAGTAAGTCCACTTGAGTTAAACAAGGTTTACTCCCAGTTAAGCAGGCATAAGATTGCAGCCTAAGCTATATTAGTGCCTCTGCTTTCCCCAGCTATTACACAAATATCAGAGACAGCAGAAAGTGGTAAACCAATAATTTCTCAAGGACAGAACTCTACTCTCTTCAGTATTAGTAAATAGCTGTTTCCCATTTTTACTGTTTTCCAAGCAACAGAGCAGTTCCCAGAGACATTGCCTAGTTACATAGACTGCATCTGTGAGTCACATAGAGCAATACTGGTTCCTTGGTTAAGTTTGTCTACATTAGGAAAAGCAAGCAAGAAAACAGCAGCTGATGAAGTAAAAGTACAGAGATAAAGTCTCAGGTTACAAGAAGGGGAGAGGCATATAGGGACAGCAGGCACATTCCTGTGCTGAAAGCAGCCAGGAAAGCCACTGTGCGTCTCCAGTACAACCCTATATTCAACTATTGAAGTACCAGGCCCATAATTTACATTTTCATTCACACAAACTGCTGCTCAAGAAGTGATGCAACAACACATTAGCAAATGACAGCAGCTCGGCAAGACCTTATCCATCCTTTCCTGCATTTGCCAGTAATCAAAGACCAGCACACTAGTTCCCCTCTGATGATTCTAAGTGGTGACCATTTTCAAAGTACTAGAACACCTTGTACTACCAAATGTGTTTTCATGCAAGACGGCATCCAGTACTGCAAGATGCTCACTGCTGATGTTACTGGCTCTTCACTCCAAAAGTGCTCATTTCAGCACCCTTCCTACACATGGCTAGTTCATTATGTGTACTTGCTACTCTGCCTTTCCATCAGCATTCCCAAGGTCAACTTAACAGAATAATTATGCAACAGCCTGGTTCAAAAAAGGCCCCAGGTTGCTAGCTTCCTTTTATCCTAACGAACAGTCCCTTGGTTTGTCAGGGACTGTTCTTCAGCTTCCACTGCATTTTCCAAAGAGGGCAGCAATTTGCAAGGCTTGCATTAGTGAATCTAGCTTTTCCTTAGAAATTGATATTTTGATTGAATCTGAACTAAGACTGGGAGGAGATGAAGAATACTGGTGGGACAGATAAGATGAAACTCAACAGTGCAAGGTTTCAGCATTGCAATTCTGACGGCCCTGCCTTCTGTCCTCCCCTACATGCTCCATCCTCTCACTGACCAAAGACAGGGGTTTCATGCTCCATTTACTCATGCTTTGCTTACATTATACTTAGCAAGGAAAATGTTTCCCACAGGCCCATAGCCCTCTCAGGTTTCTGAGCAAAGTAGCCTAAGTGGGGATTCTGGCAATGCAATTATGGACGAATAGGCAAAAGCCAGAAGCCCTGTGCCACATTCTACAGCTATGGCCAGTGATGGGGAGTACAGTCCAACCACATATGAACAACACCAGGTTGTGGAAGGCTGTCAGTTCACCCTGACAGGCATACTTATGCGCAAACATAACAAGAATGCATGGGCCCACGGGAACGCGCACAGACCACCCAACAGTTCGATGCCGGGAGAGGGTGCTTGAGACATTCTTCCCATATGCCTCAACATTGTTGTTCCGGTATGGCTTTCAGCAGAATGTAGCAAAGCTGGCCGCTGCTGCAATGTGCAATGAAATGAAACTGGAGGGTGGTTTACCTAAACCGAAGCTATAAGGGACCGTGTCAATTTAGCAAGCTGATTCGAAATGGGAACTTCCAGCTTCACAGTTCGCATTGCTGCAGTGCCATTTCATGCATGATTTCCAAGATTAAGTCTCACTGAGGCCAACACAACCGGCCAGGGAGTGCAGAGGACGGGGCTGGCAACCTGATGCATTCCAGGTATTTCGGACTCCCCATCTCTGGCCACTGGGGCTACAGGGAACCATGTCGCCTGCCACTTGTACAGAGGACTGCGACGTCAGCCAGAGCTCTGCACAAGGCACGCTGCCACTCTTCCGTGCCAAGGTGCATTTTTCAGGTTCCATTTATTGAGGAACAGATCAAGATCACACGCAGCCTCCACTCTAGCTCGCCTTCAAACACTTACGAGGGGCACAAACTAATCCACATGAAAAACCACCTACTTACCATAACAGGTCATGGTGATAGTACAACCAGATACAGTAAAAAATAAATAAATAGTAATTCAGTCTCTGTGATGCTTCAGTGACACGACAAGCGGCATGCACAGTCCTGTACTACAATGATGCGATGGCAGCATCAAGCCCTGAACTGCCAGTCACTAGAGTCCAGCTGAAGACGGGTCAGAGAAAAGGGACTGCCCACTCGGTGTATCCAAACGCAGTGCAGAACCACGAAGGATCACACGGGTTCTCCGAGGTGGAGCCGCTTCACCGCTCCTTCCATTTCCACCCACAGTGCATGTGCCTCCACAGAGAGCGTGCTCTACAGATCCTTTCCATCCCTGCAGAAATTGTTTGGGTGGCCAACCCGGGTCACATGTTAAATAAGATATGCCCAGTCCAAATTTCATGGTGGAGGGAAGGCGTATGGCCCAAGGTTGCAAAAGAATGAACTGCACTGCCTGAACTGGCACAACCTATTTCTCTCCCCTCAATAATCCTACGACTAAAGCACTGGCCTCTCAGAGCACTCCCTTAAATGTACACTATTTGGAACATTGTTTAAATCAAATGAGTTTATAAAAATATTTACTCATCTCAAAAGGCACGGAGCTACCATGGCAGCAAAAAGTTTCCAGTTACCAGTAACAATGCTTGTATTCTGAAAGCAGCCTTACAGTCTAAATAAATCATAACACACTTTCTATTCTGAATATATTTATACTGTAAAGTTGTGCCAACTGCTTTACACTCCAAGATACAGGCACAATGGTCTGTCAGCTCAAGCTCACCTTGAAAAGGGTTTCCAGTAAGCCACATATCCCACAAAGGGTCCATACCTTGAGGCTTTCCCCACTCTTCCAGCAACACAGCTGCATTGCATTGTAGCTCTGCAGTGAGCTCTGAAGCCACAGCAGAATGGGTGTGGGAAGTGAAATGTGACATCTGAAACTATTTCAATGTCATTTTGCTTTTCACCTGACAAGGACACAAGGTGCACTACAGACAGGAAATGCTGGCTCCCAACAGACTGTTTCATTTACAGACCCAAAAGAGGAAAAGAAATCTTAACATTACCTAAATTTGAAAAGAGGAAAGTGCACTTACAGCTGTTTTATTTTTTAATGTAGCAGCCCCTTTGGAGATGCAAGTGAGCTACCATTGGTTTGGTTAGCAAAGCAATGCCCCTGCCTTTCTCAAGAACCTACACTGGGCAAGATCAGTTGTTGAGACCAACAGCAAGGAATTTATTCTGCTGTCTCCACTGCACATTTCTCTCTGAGACAGCAGCCTCAAGATATACAATTATGAGGCCCTTGCAATTACTACCTGGGGCTGCTATTTCAGAACATGAAAGCAAATGCGAGGCGGCAGAAAGACGCGGACAGAGAAGAGGGCCAATTACTCACCTAATACATCTGCAGACCGGTGCCGGGCCACAAAGCAGGCATCATCGCCATAGCACATGCCCTTCTTCAGGATGCCCTTGCGGAAGTCCTTGCCGAAGCCACAGCTGGCAGTCACCAAACTGTAATCTCGAGAGTCAGTCTGCGACAGGCCACCCAGGACTGCCCGGGCTACCAGTCTGCCATAGGAGAGGACCGAGAACATGGTGTGGGGAGCCCAGGAGCCGACGGCCTGCAACGAGGGGAACCGTGGGCGGAGGCGCCACCGGAGCCAACTCAGTCCACTCTGAACCACGAAGGCCACTCCAAGACCCAGGGTTCCGTGCAGGGGGTCCTCCAGAAGTGGAGGCCCCCCGTCCTCGGCACCGGCTGGAACTCTTCTGCAAACGAAGGCTTGGTCAGCCCTGAGCTACCAGTCTTTCCCCATATATACGTATACGCGCTTTTGAGAAGAGTTCTTTTATTTCTGACCTCCTTAAGTAATGTTAGTACGCCTCTACTCCCAAACAACGGGAGACAGTCTCAACTTTGAGTCAGCTCTACCGGTAGGACTGGAGCCTCTATATCATCCCCAAAGGGCAGAGGCTTTCAAAGCTCTGGATTTTTCTTCCCCTCGTCCGTACACGTTGGACAAAATGTCCTGTCCTCCTGCTAAATCGGGTCTCTTCCCCTGACGCACATGTCCCAAGGCCTCCGGACCCTCCGCGTACGGCAAACAGAACCTCGGCGAGGTTCAAGGCCCCCGGCTCCTCTCCTCAGAACAAGCCGCCGTCCATCGCCGGGCCAAGAGAAGGTGCGGGAGGCAGCCGCCCGCCCCAAGCAACGGTCCGCGTCCCCCGCCCGCTTCGGAAGAAGGCGCCGCTACGGGGAGGCGCGTGCGCGGCCCCGAGTCCCCTCCGCGCCCCACGCGCTGACGGAGGTCAAGGCCCCCCCAGGGGGTCCGCCCCCGCCCACGCAGGCCGGACCCTCGCCGCACGCAGGCACAGCGCGGTGCGCGCGCCTCCTTTCGGGGGCTCTCAAACGCCCCGCAAGGAAGGGGAGGGCAGGGAGCAGCCGAGGGAGCCGCGGCTGCCCCGAGGGAGGGGGCCGAGCGCCCACCTCGGGATGGGCCCGGGCCCGAGCCCCCTCACGCTGCCCTTTCCTCGGGCGCCCGCGGCCCCGGCTCCGGCCTCCCTCTCACAGCCGACGCCGCGCCCGCGCCCAGCGCCCGAGCTCCGCCGCCATCTTCCGCCTCGTCGCGTGCTCGGGGCCCGCGCGGCTGCTCCTTCGGGAAGAAGAGACACAACGGCGGCGGAGGAGGAGGACGAAAGGCGCGAGGCGAGGTCAGCCCCGCCCCCTCGCCGGTAAAGCGCCCCGCCGCGCCGCCCGCATCCGGGCCTCTGCCGGCGAAGGCGGTGACGACACGCGCGGCCCGCGACCGCCGATTGGCCGCGCGGCCCTGCTCCTCCGAATGTCAGTTACGCACGCGGGAGGCCGCCTTACCCTTAGCCGCCTGGACTACGACTCCCGGCATGCAGCACGGCCCAGGGGGGGCCTGTGCTCGGATGCAGAGGCGGTGCGGCATTTTTGGGAGTTGTAGTTTTTTCCTACACGAGACCATGCGCACTTCTCTTGGTCGGGTCACCTTTTCTAACAGCGGAAAGGAAATGAAGTTGGGCGTTGGGATTAAATGGAGGGAGGGAGGGCGCAGGGCGGTGTCCTTTGAGGTGACCATGCGGGAGGAAAGAGGTTCCCGCTCTCTGATATTTATACCTAGTATGTGTGGGTTAATGTTATTTTTAATTATGACACCACCTGTGCAACATCACTATGTAACTGGCTCCAGAAGAGGCTACTGTGATTCTGATCTCAAGGACACAAAAGGCCTCGAGTGAGTCAACCTTGCAAAACAGAAAAGAAATTCCCAACTCTTCTCAGAAAGCCTCCGGGGTTTTCTTCCGGGCTCCCGCCCGATTTACTCAGCTGCGGTTTCCCCAGAGCTGTCTTTTAAAAAAACAAATCACCAGGAATGTTACATTTTTAAGAAGGGAAAGAGAACAAGAAAGCAGCATGACTCCAAGCCCATGCATGTTTACTCAAGAGCCGCTGATATTCAGTGGGTTTTACTCGCATGTAAATGTGCAGCCTTGCAAGATGTATAACCTACTCTATCTCCGATATAAATATTTATGCCTTCAAGGGATGTCATTGGCTAAGGTGCAAACCTAAGCATGTTTAGGCAGAAAAAATGGCCTACAAGTCCTGAATATGCCCCAGCAAGTGTAGGGGTGGTGGTGGTTTCCCTAAATAGGTTTAGGATCACGCCTTACATTTTTGGGAGTTGTGTTTAACTTTATAGATGCATCTATAGGTAATCCTATTTAGGACTATTGGTGCAGTTTATAAATGCCATAAATACATACATAAATAATCCCTATTACAGGGGTGGGCTGTAAACAGATCAGGAGGAAATGAAATGGTGGGTTTGAAGTTTCCCTGAATGGCCTTCTAGGAGTCTTTGATTATAAGATGGTCTGTAAGTATGTTTATCAGTGCATTTAGCTATGCAGAGCTTCCCCCACCCCAACCCTTGAGGGTCCAACTGAAAAAAATAGCATCTGAATCTAGGACAGGTTTCAACCACACCTAAATTGTGATCTTAAGCTATTAGCTGTGGCACTGCAGAAGAAAGATGCAGTAGTTCTCATGCAAATTTCACAGCACACCAGACCACCTGAAGGCAGAATCAAAATCTGGATCCCTCCAGTTTCATTCACTAGTGGCTCCTGCCCTCCTAGTTTGCTAATCTTATAGAGGGTTGCTTCCAATTCCCTATATGGTTGTGTTTTCTCAAAGAACAAAAAACCTGAGATATATAAAAATAAAATGTGAAAAAATTAAGAACTCTGTTCTTTATTATCTGTATGGTAAAAGTAATACATTTTCAACCCAGCATCATAAGTGTTTGCTCTCACAGGCCCACATGCTCTGTTCCAGTCAAGCCTGTTATATTTGCTTTCAATGAGCTCATTTACATCTAACATTTTGTTTTGATTATATATAATTCAGGGTGTGCAGTTATGGAGGTTTGAGCCCACTTCATGTGTCTTAAAATGAAACCCCAATGACGAAGCGAGGCTTACGCACAATGCTGGACCCCCTTCAAACTTCTCCCAAGCTGCTGGTAGCTGCTGGAGGCCTTTCACAAGCTTGTATCGCTTTTCTAAATCTCTCCATGACTCATTTGAGCAAAATCCCCCAGCAAGGCTTGTTTTTGTTTTGCAATTTAAATTGATCAAGTAGAAAGGGGACTTGGACTTTGAGTAGGGAGGATCCCACTCATGCACCATTGCCCAGGAGATGCACTTTGCTCCTCTTTGGATGCCAATTTGGGGGCATCTCAGAACATTGTAGACCAATGTGCTTTGCAAGTGAACATTTACACACAAGAACATAAAGCCATGCTGAATTTAATCCCAGTGGATCCCATAGTTATAACTACCAATTTCTAAACTAAACAGTCTCAGATCCTGTAATCTTTCCTTAGTAGGGGGTTGTTCCACCCCCTTGATCATGCTGGATGCCCTTTTCTCTATCTTACCCCAACTTAACAATATGCTTTTCAAGTGCAGGGACCAGAAATGCACTCAGTATTAAATGTGTCATTTCACCATACATTTAGAGGAGGAGAGAATGATAGTTTTATTTTCACTATCTTTTCTAATTATACCTGACACAGAATTCTCCTTTTTTCCTGGAGTAGAGAGATCTTTCTTGAGCTCTTTGCCCTTTCTGCCATCCTAAACAATCCATCAGCAGCAGACTTGGCCATCTCATCGCTCACTTCTAATGCCAGATTCTTTATGGAATCTCTATTAATGCATGTGACATCCTGCACCAACACTGCAAAACAAAACCAAGGAAGCTGTACTTTACGGGGACCTTCCTTGTTTAAAAGCATGAAATTAAATTACCACACACTCTTTCTAAGAGGCAGAATGTATGTAGAAAAGGACTGATTCACACAACCATAGATGGAGCTCTCTGGGCAGGCACTGCAGCGTAGTTAAGAGCTTCCGCAACACAGTGGCTCACAACAGGCCCAACAACGCTGTATGTCTTAGATGTGTGACAAATGTGCAGAAATATGGCAATCTGATGGTGCGCAGGAGTGCATATAGGTATCACGGCAAGATGCTAACGGTCAGCTTGAAACAACTCCAATAAATAAATCAGTGTAAAAGAAATAAACAGCGAGCAGCAGCCATCGCACATATGATCATGGGTGTGGCATCAGGAACTAGTTGGCAGGCTCAACGGAGAAGTTAAAATCTGGACCCAAAGCTGCTCTTGGTCAGGCCAGGTGTGAGTCACACTGGCAATAAACAACGTGACTAATCAGCTCCCATGGCTATTGCTGCCTACCAGGCTGGGACTTCTGGAAAATATTATATTTGCACGCAAACAGAATTAACTACAGCTTGAGTTTTAGCTATTCAGATATTGTCATGGGCATGGCTAATCCCTGCAAATAATCAAAACAGACTCCACTGCACCCTCTGCTGTTCAGACAATGGAACTTTTGAGCCATATGACAAGTCAGGCACTCTGGGCCTTCCAAGGACCTTCCAGACAAGGTTCCTTTCCTGCCATCACCTGCCGTACTCACAGAATTATGTATGTTTGTGTGTTCAAATGACATCACCTTCTGCATCTCCTATTCAAAAGAACTTCCACATTCTTTCCCACATTTCTTCTTTTTTCCTACTGCAAGAGATCTGTTTAGAAAGGACAAAAAGATGCACAATAGCATCTCGTGGTAAAATCTGTCCATCTGTCTGGAACCACCCATATAATGATGAATGAGATGGCTTTGACTGAAAACTCCAAATTGTGATGTGTGGGTAGAAAGGCCATAATGTGTGACGCAGAACAAAACAGGAACGTCTTACTTCATCACAAAGGAGAAGTGGACATTTCTGAGACATTTCTGAGATGTCAACATGTATACTCTTATCTCACTTTTCCCGTATACCTACTGTCTGTAAGGTTTCAATATAGGCCAGATATACATTTTCCATTGGAGGAGGGGACCTAATTCATTTGATATACAGTCAAAAGCATCAAGGAAGGCAAAGTAAGGTACAGAGACCCAGGTTTGCTGCCTCAACTGAATGCAGGCAGGAGGTCTTGGCATGCCAACTGCTCTCTCTGCTCAAGAGTAAGGACTTGGAACCTCTCTCTACAAATGGTACAAAGCAAAGCCTCCTGACCCTTGTTCCTCTCAACCATTCCCAATCCAGGGCTTCACTGTTCTTCAGTATAAATACCCCAGGTCACCTGCAGAGAAGCAGCCCCTGCCTTCAGGCTGATAAATTAAAAAGATAAGACACACAAAGGGAGGTAAAGCAAAAAGGTGGAGGAAGGACAAATCAGGCTGACAAAGGCAGAAGGGAATGGTGAGCTATGAGCAGGCATTTGTATCAGGGTGAAGCCATTAGAGTGGCCATATGCCCTACTTTATAGAGGGCAGTCCTCCATTTGAAGGACAGTCCATTTCAAGTTTTTTTAAAAAATAACCTGAGAGAGCACCGAGTCCTGGAAATTGTCCAGTGAACATAGTCTGGGCAGCAGGTTAGGAGGCTACACAAGTCTCTTATGTCACAATCTTATGCACATTTAAACCAGAAAAGGTGCTAGTATTGTCCAGCGATCAGTGGGGCAACTATGGAGGCATGGCTGGCTGGCTGCAGAATGCCGGGAACTCTAGGGCTTCTGTCTGTCTAAACATGCATAGGAGCACACCGTTAGTTACAGATTTTATCACTAGGCTAAGATGGGTTGTACTTCTGTTTCAACCACCACAGTTATTTTTAAAACATCCACCTATAACTTTCGCCTATGTAAATTCTATATACATTGGTGCTCTTCTGCCTGTTTTGGCAATGCATAAGCGACCACCCTCTCCTGCTTGAATATAGGCGCTGCACAACAGCCCTCATATGTTTGCCATAATGCCTACACACACAGAGGCTAGAGGCTGGATGGAGTCCCTGAAGCAGCCGGCGTGAGCTTAGGTGGACTCCGGGGGATGGTGGAGGGCAGGAAGGCCTGGAGGAGTGTTGTCCGTGGGGTCGCGATGGGTCGGACGCCACTTCGCGACCAGCAACTACCCCCCCTCCCCCACGTAGCGGTTCACGATCGACCGTTGTAGGTGCATGGGCCTGAGGGCGGGCACCCAACGCCCGTTCCGCCGAGGCTGGCAGCCCAAGTCTTCGGCAGTGCCAGCCGCCCGGGACCCTCTCTCAGGCGGCCACCGCCCGAACAGTCGCCCCGCGTCGGGCCTACCTCGCGCGCACTGCGGCCGTCGCCACAGTAACAGTCCTCTCCCATGATGCCTCGGGCACGCGCCGCTGCTCCTCGCGGCGCCGTCAGGCGGCGCTGCAGGCTTCACTCTCCCGCAGTGCCCGCTCTTCCGGGTTCCCGTCGTGCCTTGCGCTGTCTCCATAGCTACGGATCCTCGGGCGTCTAACTGTTGCCTAGGCCGCGGCGGCCTTGCGGAGGATCGGGCGCCTGAATGGGGTGCGGAGCGCCGCCGCCGCCATCGCCGGGGCCGTTCGCGGTTCTTCTCTTGCTTCTCCCGATCTCTTCGTGTGCCGCCGTGCCATCGAGCGCAGCCCCGAGTTCTGCTACGGCCCCTTCGGTGACTAGCCGGGATGGGGTCACGGGTTCGGGGCCGGAGACCGAACGAAGCACGGGCACAGGGCGGGCAGCAGATAGTCCTCTGCCCTCTACTACCGGACCCAGCCAGGGTTTCCCAGGCATCAGCGAGGAAATCCCCACTGCGACATCCATCTCAAGTCCCGCTGGCCCCATAGGTTCCAGCCCGCGCCCTACTTCGGAAGCCCCCAGTTATAGCACCATCTCGACAAGGACCCCCACGCCTTCGGGGGCAGTAGTTACCGAAGCGACTCCCCGATCTGGGCCCTGGCCTGTGCCCGTGACCGACGGTGAGCCCCCGTGCCATCAGTGTGGCGGGTATAAACTGGAGAGAAAAGGGCAGGAGAAGTCATTGGCTTCCAGTGGAGCCTCCTTATATAGAAGCAGTCTTTCTTGGAGTACTGGGGACAAAGAATGGGGCAGGTTGGCACTTCGTGAACATTTGGGCCGATTGCAGGGGCAATACTACCTGCGGAAAAGATCCAGGCTCAGATCTGAAGGGCAACCAAATGCGTACATGTGCAGAAATAATCAGGGCACCTGTATCTTTATTTCAGCAAGTGCTCCTGGGCAGCAGAGATCTGAGGCTCCAGCCCGAATGGGCTACCTCCCGACACCGCCTCTGCTTGCTTTCCAGGGTAGTTCCAAGGTCTGGGAACAAGACCGGGAAACCTTGCAATGCTAAAATGACATGCAAAAAACACCTTTGGGGTTGGGAACGTCAAATGTGTCATTAACAGTTAATTCAACCTTTTAAAAAAATGTCTTGCTTTCTCTTTTTACCAACCAGATTAATACACGTGCAAAGTAAGCACAAATAATTACAAGTTGGGAATCCAGGACAAAAGACTTTAGATGACGAGCTTAAAAGGAAGAAACCCTCTACTTGCATGGATCTGTATCTAATAGTATAAACCCTTGATAGACAACCCAGCAACCCTCCAGATTGCTTGGATTATAACTTCCTCAATCCCTGCTGGCTGGGCTCAATGGGCATTGTAATCCCAAACTTTTGAAGGGCACTAGCTTGCCCACCCCTATTTTAGACAGGATGATTTTTACAAAGTTACATTCCTTACATTTCAGTACTATTGTTGTCCTAACCTCTTTGTTTCCAGTGGCTAAGTTGTGCGTCTGTGACCTCCTGGTGGATCAGTGCGATGTAAATTGCTGCTGTGACCCCATCTGCACGGCTGCAGATTTCAGCCTCTTTACTACATGTTCAATTCCTGTTGTCATGTAAGTGCTTGTGCAGATATAATAGCGTGAAACTTGCGGGTGCCTTTTAGAGTGGATTCTGATGGTCAAGGAGGAGCTGAAGTGCAGCTCACATGTCACTGTAACCCTTCACAATGCATGTAATTGCATTCATGTGTTTGTTTAACCAAAAGTAGCTAATCCTGTTGTAGTGTCTCTGTAAGTAAAAACACCTGAACATAATGGACACAAGAGCTTGTTCAAATATACAGCTCTTGTTGTGGCACAGATCTAACACAGGATGCAGTGTAATGTTCTTTATACTCACATTGGGGAAGGACTTTGGGCCAGTCAGAAAAGTTACTCCTAGCCTATCTTACAAGGCTGCTGTTTTGAGGATAAAATGGAGAAGAGCTGCCTCAGGTTCCTTGCAGAGGATTAAAGGCAGGGTATAGACATAACGTAATAGTAAGAATAACATGAGAAATGTAGACAGGTTTTGTAGATGTGCTGAGCCCTGCCTTGTATAATATAACAATGGAAGTGCCAAACTCTTGAAATGGAATGCCCATTTTGATGCCAACAATTTTTAAGTGTTTTCTTTCAATTATCTCATCAAGGGAGGAATAATTTTAGACCCATATCATTTTTCAAAGGATGTGATTATGTATACAAAATGTATTATTAATGTCCCATTACAGTCACCATTCTGTTGGGTTCGTGGTGCTGGACACTGTGCCTGTGAAGCTTCCCTCCATTTTTTTTCTCTGGGCTTTTGAGCTGCTCTCCTCTCAAGCGTTTATGCTTCTGGTGGTTTTGTGCATTGTGAATCTGCCAGCCAAAGAAAGCTCTGCTGGCAGGAGTGTTCCTGTTGACTACAAATACGCCAGCAGGTTTCTTGCTGCAGGTTTCAGAACCTGAAACACGTGCCTTGCTCCCATCGCTTTAGTGTGTTCAAAATAGCAGTATGAATTATTGGGACAAAAGGGCAAATTTATCCAACTGCTTGGCTCCCCCCCTGCTGTTGCATCAGCCCAACCTTGCGGCAGAGGCTTTAGCCTCCACTCTGTGGAACGTGACTCATTCCCTCATCTTGGATTGATGCTTGCCTTTGTTAAGGCCCACAGTGCTGATCTGCCACCCACGTTCAGGTACTTTCAGACTTACTAGAGACGTCAAAGTGAAAGCTTCCTGAGCATTAGATGAACTCTCTCCTGTGAAAAGAACTGTGGCCTCGCGCATAGAAAGGCAGTACAAAATGTTCTGTACTGCATCTTCTGGAATGCACTGCTACGGCGTGGCCCTCTTGGTGTTAGATTCTCTCGTTTTTACATTCATTTCGCTTAAAATATTTTAAAGCGTACACAAATGCCACCCTGCTGCCTCAAAAGAAACCTCTGAGGTGGCCGATTGCAAGAGATTTTAAAGCACAATAAAGCCAAGGTGTTTTCCAAAATTGTAGTTTTACAGAGTTTGCTCTTAGTCTAAGCCTACATGGTTGTACGTTAAAAACTTGATATTCTGTTTCTATCCAGTTTCGATGATCATTTTTGTCAACTGCCCAGAAAGCTTTGGTCTTTAGACAGAATAGAAGTGAGATAAAGGAATGCTGCTCCACTCCACACTCTTCCTTGTTGGTGGAAAATCAAAGTCTGGCATTCAGTTACTATTAACATTCCTTCATCTTGGATTTGGAACAGCGGTCTTGAGCTGGGGGTTCTCATAAGATGTGCAAGCTGCAGAAACAGTCCCTCCGCGTCAGCTGTTCTTCCTCCGTTAGTGTCGAGATTTTCTAGGTGTGAACAGATGCTTTGTTCTTTAAAAACCTTCTTTTCCCCACTCCCCTTTGCAGAGGTGACAGCCAGTTCTGCAAGCAGAAAGCAGCTCTGTACTCATTAGACACAGCAGTTCACCCTCCTGAGAGGATATTTCAATTAGCCGACAAGGTCAACCCCAGCATTTTCTGCGTTCAGGTCACCAACTGTAAGTAGTGCCAGATCAGAAGCAAGCTTCTTTCAGGCTGATGGTTCAGAGGCCTTGTGGCTGGCCATGTTGAGGCCTGGACTGATGAGGGAGAAAGAGAAAAGAGCAAGGCTGGGCATGGTGTGAGGATGCAGAGAGGTTCATGCAGCACACCCGTGTTATCCCCAGCCCGGGCTGCTGGCCCTTTGGGCAACAGGACACACCAGTGAATGTGGTTGCAGAATGATAGCAGGTCATTTTTAGGAACTGAATCTGCACCTGAAATTGTTGTGGTATCTTGTCTGAGACTTGCAGCATAGAGCCATGCTGCAGTTCCTTTTATCTGTTTGCATGTACAGCTGAAGGCTTGAAGTGTGTAGATAAAACACCAAGATTCAGCCAGCTGAATTTGCAACCCCACCTGCCTATGGGTAGGTTTCTGTGTTGTGCGGATGAAGCCACTGCAGGTTATTTGAGGGTCAAAGGACTGGCCCATGGTTTGTGGCAGGGTTCTGCAAGGGTTCTGAACAATTGCCTGATTGGGGGATGCATATTTAAAACAGCATCTGGTTCACACCACAACTCATCTGGGATTAAGGAACCCATGGTGAACGTGCTGTGTCGTACCAAGTAGGTCTCAGCCAGGCAGAAGATGCCTGGAATGCGTTTTTATTGCCTTCTGTGCCAGCATTCCAATGCTGGTTCTGCAGGTGTTAATTGGGATGTAAAACAGAATCTCTCCAGCTTGCATGTTGGCCTTGTGAGGAGAGGATGTCACTTTGCCTTCGGTGACGTGAGCACTTTGACCGTGCATATTCGTTTGTAAAGCCATACAGTCCTCTTGCCTGAACCTGTGCTTGGGTGTTTTCCACGTGATCCCATTGTGAAAATCTGTCCCATTGTTCAGTTAACGGTCATCCACCGAATCTGCCCGCCTGTCTTTTTTTCAGACAAAGCTGCCTTGTACTTCCAAGATCCAGAAATACCCACTTCACAGAACTTCGATAGGTTGCTTCAACAATTTGGTGGGGGTACCTTTGGTACTGAAAATGATCTTGCACTGACAGTTGAATCAGAAACCCAGCGTGCTGCTGATGCAAACAGGACCAGCAGATATGAAGTAAAGATTAAAAGATCTCACAAATTGTACCTGTAATATTAGAATGGCCTTAAAATGCGGGCGAGTATATTGCCATTACAGATTAGAACACAAGGCTAAAATATACTCACGACAAGATGCTAACATATCTATTATGTCACTTCTTACTTGTGTTTTCTGTTGACAGTTTAAAGACCTTATACAGACTTCCAGTGGCTTTCTGAGGTTTCCTGCTCCTCTCTTCCTCTCCTTGTGCACTCACAGTAACCCTGCAGGTCAGAGAGAACACTTTTTGGTGGCTCTTAGCATGTGACGGCTCGAAAAATCTTTTCCCTCTCTGGGAACTCCCACTAGGGATCATTGTATCTGCCAACAGACCATGGTATAAAACTTGAAGGGGCATGAGAACTGTGACTGACCCTGTATTGCAGCCTCTTGGATAATGCAGTCTTCTCTTGCTCCAGCCATTTTTGTCACGAACAAAAAACAGGAATTTGGAGCTCAGAAACAGACTTGACTGGGGGGAGAGAAAAGAAGAGGCAAAGGTTCAGAGACAGGAAGGTGGGGGGAACCTGAGGGGGGCCTTGTATTGTTGGTGGAGCGCTTGTTTTGCATTTGGGAGGTCCCCCGTTCAGTTCCTTACATCTCCTGCATCTAGCAGGGATAAGGCATCCTTCAGGCTGGTTCACACGTAACGATAAGCCAGAACCGCTGTGAACGCAGGCTTAACATTGGAGCGCACTAGCCTTCCTGGCTGTGCACTGCCTCCTTTACCAGAGACAGCATCCCTGCACAGACCAGTTGCTGAGGAACCTGGACAGATGGAGGTCGTGAACCCATCCTGCCTGAGGGGTCCTGTGCACAGCTGATTTGCTGCCATGTGGGTGGAGTGCTGGGCCCGTTGTTCTGGCCCAGGCTGGCTTTTCCTTTGCTCTTAAGCTCTGACATTCACGCATAGTGTGCTGGTTGATGCCGTGCAATTGCTTCAGCGTGGTTCCCATTTCTGGAAGACTTTCTGGTGACTTCGTTGTTTCTGTGGTTCCTCCAGGGTTTCTTATGAAACAGGCTGCAAAATGCAACACGTTGCTCGGGGGAGACAAGTGCACCACCCTCCCAGAGCTCAGCATGGAGTCCTACATCAATTCCAGCATCTTGGCTGTGAGTGCTCATCGGAAAGGGAGGGATTTTGTATGGAAAAGGTGGGGGAGGAGGGCAAGAAGTCGGGGCTGCAGGGGGTTTTTGCGTTCAGAATGAAAGCATTCGTCCCTGTCTTCCCTGGCAGGAATGCTGGTATTTTGGGGATGAACTGCTTATTGCTTCTGCAAAGAAAACAAAAAAGATTGTGTCTGAAATGCCGCTGCTTCTTTTGTTCCCATTAGGTACCCAGTTCGAACCAAATGGTACGTGTCTCTTTGACAGATTGGCTGTTTATCTGTGGGCGTGCTCTGCACGCAGCCTCTTGCCCCACGAATGTTGCAATTAAAGGATAACTGGATGATTGCGCCTGATTTGAACTTCCAAGTGAAACCTCTTGTTTTAGCAGATTTACAGCAACCTTGTGTCCCTACAATGTGAAATCGCTCTGCATGTGTGCAGGCACCTGTGGACACGGCTCTGTGGCTGTGTGCAAAAGCCAGAGAGAAACGTTCTTGGAAATACTGACATTGCAGATGGGGAAATACAGTTTCTTTCCTCCCCGCTGTGCATGTTGAGAGAGATTAGAATGCATGCAGTACTCACTGAATCAATCCTAAATTCATTTCCTTGTTTTAACGAAGATTGGACAACCAATCTGTTGTTTCTGTTCAACAAGCTGTTTTCAGCCATCGTCCCAGTCGTGGCGTTGTGGGGGTGGCAGGAATCGGAGCTGGGCAGCTGCTCCCTCATGTCCATTGCCTTCTCTCAGGTATTTGAATGGCTCCCACTAAAACCTGCAGGTACAAGGCACGGCTGCACTTGGGGATGCCATTGTGATGAGGGCAAAGGGGCCACCTTCCCCAGCCCCAGCCGACCCTGGACACTACTTGGGAATCACGGCTCTAAGTCCACAAACGCTAAATGGGTCGAGTTCTGCTTTCCTGGTCTGTGCGGAAGGCAGGCAGGTATCTCATCGACCTGTAAGAAGAAGTGGCAATTCTGTCTCTCAACTCTGTTGGGCCTGCTTGGTTACATTTTCAGGTGAACATCACCATCCAGTCCATCACAGTGGAGACTCCAGAGGGGCTGCGCACGCGTCTGGGCGCCGTGGGTGCCCCTCTGCTCCCCAGATTAAATGGGAAGTTGTGCAGCAACTTGGTTCTTGAGGCAAGTGTCCCGTTTCTTTTTCCTCCTCGAGTTTCTCAAAAAGGCATGAGCAGAGGCTCATATGTAATGGTAGAATCCACAAGTTGAAGAGACAGAGGCCAACAGACCTTCAGATCAAGTCGTGTGACATTTCCTGAAGTAGGTGCTCCTCTTCTCTAGATTTGCAGCTGGATCCATCAACAACAGACAAATTACCTGCAACAGTGAAGAGTCTCGATTCCAATAGAGAAATGATCTTAATGAAGCAAAAACCAAAGCGATTCCTACCTTCGTTTAGCTAGCTCTATGTTCCTTCCCCACCAGATAGCATGGAAAGGGTTTAAAACCCTGTGAAATTAACAGCAATAAACCTAGTCATTTGGTAGCTCACATAAATGATCAAACACCAGCCCGAACCTACTTTCCTCTTCTGTTTGCCTCATTCCACCCCACTGGGAATGAAACAAGCATGTGAAAACACATCTGCTCATCTGGCTCCTTTGCTTCATGGTTCCCACGTGCTCTCCCTCTTTCTTCATCCCTGTCCTGGCTGAGGTTCGGAATTATATTTTGCTTGTGCTGTGTGGTAAAGCAGCAGGAACACTAAGGTTTGGGGTGCGGGGGATGATGCTCTTTATATTCCTAGCTATTCCACAGTTGTTGACACTCCTGCTAGTTAATTTGTATTAATGTTTTTTGGTTTTCAGGCGAGTTATTTTATCACCTTCACAGAGGCAGGCGAAATAGTTGGCGCAGCGGTCTCTTTTGTCCTGGGGTCTGTTGACGTGGCAGCATCTTCTGTACAGCAGGCTTTTGAGATCCATTTCATTCAGGTAAGTTCCCAAAGTATCTGTAATGACTTCCTTGGGAAGCCCATTTAAAACCACCCCCACCAGATAATTCAAAATAGGTGACAGCTCTGGAAGAAAATGCAGATGTCTCAAAAGAGGAAGGACTTCAAATAAACTGTTTTTCTAATTCTCCTGTGTGCTTGTTTCCTTCAGCCCCACCCGATGTTTGAAAATTGTTCATGTATGTGTGCCTTCTGTGTGGGGTTGAAGGAATAATAACAATACATCATCAGTTAATCAAACAATTCAGTGCTTATTAAACGTGATTGGTGAAGCATTCATCATCGTAAAAGAGAATTTTCACATTTGCTGCTCAGAAGTCAAATTGCTAATAGAAAGCAAATACTGTTAATGTCGGCTTGTTTTTTTTAACTAGAAAGGTACTCTGCCTGTTTCTCTCAGTGGAAGCCCTGGTTACGTTGTCGGACTACCAGTAAGAGCTGGAGTAAGGTCAACTGGATATCCTTTTAAAAACCTAAGCATGGTTTACAATGACTTGGAAGATTCTCCCTGCCTGGAAAAATAATACAGAGAAATGTTGCCTCATTCTGTCTTGAGCTGATGAAGGTAGATGCAGACCCTAAATGCAGGAGCGTGTACTGCATTGCATTTCTATCTTTGCCCCGGGAAGGAGCAGGAAAGCCGCTGTAGAATTGGGTTTTCTGGATGTCCGAATTAGCTCCGGATACTTGATGCCAGGAGTTACTGCAAGCATCACAGTCCAGAGTGAGTCTCCGTCTCACTTTGTTTTTCTGTTGCCACGGTCACCATTCAGCTGGGTGGAAACCACTTCAAGTCCTAGGTTATTCTGTGGAGTTCAGGCTCGTTCATAATTCAGGTGGGATGCTGGAGAGCAAGTTAGGCTTGGCCAGTTATTTCAGCCTTGGGAGTGAGCTGATGGGGCTGGAGAATAGTGGCACCAGTGACGGCAGAGCTCCCAGGCTTGATGCCCAGCATCTCCAGTAGAAACAGCCAGGCAGCGGGAGTGGAGTAAGCCGCTTTCCTGCCTCTCAACCTGTAGAGGGAGCCGATGGAACCAGGGCAGCAGAACTGATACATTGATCTGGCTTCCTCTATCCCTCACAAAGATTCAGAATTTTCGCAGCCTGTTTCCCCACCTTAACTCTGTCTACCTCTGGAGTCATTCAGAGTATGAATGAAGGCCACCTTACCATGATGAAAAGCACACACACTCAGGATTGTTTAGCTGAGGAAGGAGTCCGAACTCCGGTATTGTTTGGGTACAACATGATGTCTGGATGCCAACTGAGGTAAGGACGGAAACACACCAATTACCAAGAAGGTTCTCCCCGTCATGCTCAGAGCATCCGCCAGCCTGCCGCCAAAGGCCAGCCTCAGTGGCCCGCTGGCATTTTTTCTGTCCTCCCCGCATATTTATTATCCAAATGCACACCTTGCCCGTGAATCATACCGTCAGCGTTGCCCCACTGGGTGCAGGAGAGGGCAGGAAGGCTTGGGCTGCTGGTGAAATTACTGTGCAAGCCATGTTGGCGGCAGCAGGTTGCACCCAGGCAGCCCTTACTCTCTTTTCCAAAGAATCGCCGAGGATATGGACTGCAGGCTCTTGGCCCCAGCACTCCTGAATGCTCTGAAGGGCCCAGACTTCCCAGACTGTGTGGCCTCATTTGGAGACTCCTTGCCCCAGAATGGACTCGACTGGGTGCAGATTTCCTACAACGTCACCAACCCGGTAAGAGGTCACCCATCCTGGCCTAGGTTAAGGTGGGTGGTTTCTTTTCCTCCAAGAACTGCCCTCAAATAGATCCCTACTCGGGATCCGATCTCCTTAAGGAGTTCCAGTTGCTGGGATGAAAAATCCACATTGCTCTCCCCTCCACTGACAGACTGCAGACGCAGGAGTGTGGAAGTGGCGAAGGATTTGTGGGGGTGCTGACTTAGGCATAACCTAGCCGTGCAGGTAATTTACCTATTTGTATCCTAGCCAGATTTAACTCTCTCTCCTTTCTCATTTTTTTTTTTTCCTTTTGGAAGACGACCTGTGAAATTCCTGTCTCGTTTGAATTAGAAGTGAAATGGACTAAATACGGTTCCTTAGTTAACCCCCAGGCTAAGATTGCGAGTGCCACAGCGACGGTAGGGACGGCTCCCTTGCCCCAGGTGGGTGCTGCTCTCCAGTGACGGAAGGCACAGAGCCACGCTTTGGGTGGATGTTCAACAAACCTGTCGCCTTCCAAGCTTGCAGTGGGCAGATACGAGCAGGAGGGCTGGCTAATGCACTTTGCCTTTTTGAAAGGGAACTCTTGACGCTCTGCAGCACACCGAGGGCTCTTTCGCCGTGCTTCAGCTCAAAAGGTGGGGTTGGGCTGACGGCCACCCACGAGCTTCGAAGGGAAGCTCTCTGGACGCTGGGCGATCCGGAGGTGGCTCGCTGCTAAATGTGCCTCCTCACTGCAGCTTTAGAGCTGCCTGTGAAAGACTGACAGCAGCCTGTGGCCCAGAAGCGGAGAGAGAGGAAGAGACCGGCAGGAAGCGCACACAGGGGCTGCTGCTTGGTGAGGCCCCTCTGTCAGCGGGTGCCCCCTTGCGGGCCAGGCACTGGGCCCTGCCGACGTCCCAGCGCTGCCACCTCTCGTTAACCACCCTGAAAAGAGGAATATAAGCAAGTGCAAGACTCGTGCGGGAAACGGCAGCTCCCTGTGGCCGGCCCTCCACGGCACACAGAGCCACGTTGCCTCACCTCTCAGCACGGGCCCCCCAACGGCGTGTGCACCCCCTCCTGGGGCTTCCTTTCACTGAAGCCAGACGGCCCAGTGATGGGACCTCTGGCCGCGGAGCAGCGGTCGGGCGCGGCAGGAGCAGGGCAGCCAGCAGAGCAGCCTGTTGGGGTGGAAGGGCCAGCTTCCCTGCGCCACCTGCTTCCGCCCCGTTGGCCCACGTTCTGCCGGAGTCCTTGCAGCTACATCTGGAGGTGGACTGGACCCAGCTGTCCTCCGGACCTGAGGAGGAAGCGAGGGCTGCTTGTCCACCAGGGCCTCAGACCAGCAGGGGTGCGCCCACCGCTAGTGTCAGCTGCTGGCTCAGTCAAATAGGATCCAATGCAACGGCACATGCGGGCTGGCGTTGGGCCCAGGGGTGCCAGCTGCCTGCGACTGGCTTGACGGGCTGTGCTCTCATGTGCGCCCAATCCACTCCCGTGACCAGAATGAGTCAAGGGCCAGGCAGGTTTCCAAAACCGCAGTTCATGACTGCCCGAAGCCCTTCTCGGTCCCATGAGTGTCTTGAATTCGATGGAAAGTGAGAGCTCTCTCTGCCTTCCAAGAGGACTAGGAGCTTAGGAAAGAACTCAGTTTTCTAGCAGCTCCATTCCACACTTCTTGAGAAACTGCCCTGGGTCTTCCTGGCAGGGAGCTACCAAATGCTGCAGGTGGGAGGTTGTGTACACACACACGCTTTCCAGTCGCTTGGGAGGTGGCTGGCGGCTGCAGCTGGTAGGCAGCAGTGAAATGCCCGTGTGCGTCACCTGCGAACTCTTCTGTCTGCAAGACGCGCCACTATTTCTTCTCTTTGATTGCTGTGCTGATGCGGGGATGGCCAGTTTCACACCTCAGTTTTCATCCCGTGCTATGAGAGAAACTCCTCTTTGTCTGCCTCTTGCAGGTCGGTTCAGGAAGCAACAGCAGCATCCAGATACTCAGCTCCGTGTCTTTCGTCGATGTCTCTGCTCCTGCTGAGCCCGGTTACAAAGCACAACCGACCTTCGAGGCCAAATTGCCACTTGACTTTTTCTTTCCATTTGTTTAAAACAAGCCTTGATTCAGAGAGGCACCCTACTTCTTTGAGCCCTTTTGAACCCGGGCTGGGTTAAGCGAAGTGACCAGCCTGGTCCCCAGCCAATTCTTCACTGCTGCCCTCGCAGGCGGGCAGGGAGGGCTCGGCAAGGCCCTCGGCAAAACCAGGCCTACGGTCCACTCTGCGCACCACAGAGCCCGCCTGCTGGCGATCCCAGCGTTTCTCCGGCCAGGCTGTCCCCCTCTAGAGCCGTGGCACGCGCATTCCTCCTCGTTCTTGTAAGATGGGAGCGGCGGCTGCTCTCAGACACGGGGACTCTAACCTGCCTCTACAGCACAGCTCCACTTCCGTCCCGCTAGCCGGGCCGCACCGTTCCTGCTGGACTGATTTTGCCAGCTTCACTGTTCGTCAAACCATCACACCAAGCTCTGGTCCTTACCTCCATTCTGTCTGCTGACAAGAGAGGTGGCTTGATCCACAGCAGGCGGCTTTGCCCCACAAGGGCTTTACCTGGATCGTGATGGAGACAGGAGGTGGAGAGGAAGGAACAGCTTTGACCGGAACCACAGCTGGGCATTTTCATTTCCGAGAGCATTATTGGGCATTCTTTCATTTCATTGAAATAACTCTGTATTTACAAAGAGTTTTCCTGCTCTGTGGAATTCCTCTCGGAATTGTCAGTGCAGCCATTTCCCACCACCATCAGCAGTCGCCTCTGTCAGTGGCAGCTTGGGCGTTTGAAAAAGATGTCTGCTGGTGCTTCTGGAAGCATTTTTAGTGCCTTGCTGCCGGAAGACGAGAAGCAGGAGAGGGCGGGAAGAGTGGCAAGGGGATCAGCAGCTTCTGCGGGGCCGCGAACACCACGTCCAGCAGAAGCTCCAAGGCACATGTGGGCCTCCCCTTTCTCCTACAGTGGTGACTTGCCGCTTTGTGAAACTCATCAAGGTCCTCCTCCTAAATGGATACATTTTATTAAATTATGTTTTGCCTTTTAAACTATACAGCTGCACCATGCCATCACAGAACGGACTGATTGGTTTTCCAGTTTGTGGACTGTTCGACAACACTCAGTCTGAAAGAGTGATGGGGGAAAGATGCTATAGACAATGGAGGGAAGATACAAAATCAAAATTTCAAAATGTCACAGTACGGAAGAGTGAGTTAGCTTCCTGGTGCTGACCCTTACTCCAGCGAAGGGCCTTGCCCCAATCTGGGCAGCCAGACATCTATTTGGGATGGCTGAGAAGCCCGTGTTGCTTCAAAAGGTTGTTGAGCCTTCCAATTTCTAGCTCCTGTTGGACAAGAAAAAGGGCCATGTTAGTTACCTGCAACCCTCAGGACTTGGTCTTCTAGCGTCTTTCTCCAGCTCTTAGAAGTAGGCAGCTGAGAAAAAGGCAAAGCTTAGCAAAATGCCAGGTTTCTTTGAAACCTCTGTTAAAACAGACTTTCTTATGTCTAAAGATTATGGAACACAAAATCAGTCTAGCAGATAAATCTACATAAACTCACAAGCTTCAAGTTAAGACATCCTGCCCCCTTTTCTTTGGGTATTCCCAAAGATTCATGGTCCATCCAGCCCCATATTGTTAACACTGACTGGCAGCAGTGGGCCTCTGGGTTTCAGGCAGAATTTTTCCCCACCCTGTGATGAAGCCATGGCCTCTTGCCAAGCTCGTACAAGTTCCACGCCTGGGTTGGTGGCCATGTCACTTGCTGGCACCACTGGTGCTCTGCAGCATCGTGGCACAAGCGGAAGGAGCCAGAAGTACCCACAGGGCTGGATTTACAGGGGCTGCCTTGTGACTGCAGCCCACGGGGCAGCAGCTGCACGTCTGAGCTCCGGTCCCCGCCTCCCTCTGGCCAGGGAGCAGCGGCTGCTAATCACGAGACGAACCGGACTCTCCGCCTCTGAAGGCAGGCTGCTGCGCTTCAGAGCACATGTGCAGCCAAGAGCTTGATCGGCCAATTAACCTGCAGCGGCTCCTCTGGAGCTCCCCAGATGGCCAGAGCCCCCTGCTTGGTTTCTGCATGCTCTCCCTTCTGCAGGGCTGAAATGCCTCTTCTGAGGCCGAGTTACTGGCACAATGAGCTACAGGATGCTGATATTTTGGCCTTGCTGCCTGTGGCATTTGTCTCCATCCATCCCTGGAATGCAGCCCTAGCTGCTTCTCTGGAACAGGAATTTGGCCTTCAGGCTGAATGAAGTTCAGCAGAACCTTCCTTCCCTGTGTGTAGAAGCCAAATTAAGGAGCTGGGGGGAGAGGACTGCAGCATAGTTAAGGTTCTTGGTGCACCTCTGACTGAAGCAAGTCCAAAATCCTGCTTCACGCTTGCATTATGCTCACTGCGCTCTCCTTCGCGCCATTCTACACCTCGCCGTGTTTGTCCCCAGCTGCATTTCATGCTGCAGGAAAAATTGGTGCTCCCAGGTGTCGACAAGGGGGACGGAAAGTTTGGACAACGCAGTTACAATCCTGTCACTGAACTCCCCCGACACCAAGAGGAGCACATTGGCTGTGACTGGCTCAAGGCCTCGTAGCTCCTCAGCGGCACCTCAAGGCAGCTGGCTCTGTGTCAGGGCCGCCCGGCCTTACCTTCTCTGCGCAGCTACTTTCCAGCTGCTCGACCTTCGCAGAGAGCTGCGTGTTGGTTTGCTTCAGTTTGGACAGCTGTTGCTCGGAGCGTGTCTTCACCGACAGGATTATTCCTGCAGAAGGATTTGGAGAACAGGCGGCTGTTAAGACCTCCAGCTCAGCCCCTGCGAGTCATTCCCTGGCGGCTTGTGGGCAAAGCGCTATCACTCGCCTAGCCAGCCTGGTGGGTTGGTCACCTTTTGACCTGTTTTACAGACGGGGGAATGGAGAGGTGAGGTACGTGACCTGCTGGAGATGGGGGCCGATTCAAAGCTTCCCCGTCCCAAGCCCAGTTTCCTTTCATGCATTTTGGAAAGGGTTCTTGTGGGTTGTAGGTCTGGCCAGCGGGCTTTGTCAGAAGGATGTGTGTGTGAATTACACTCTCAGTGGGCCTGAAGCAGGGATGCTGTGGAGGAGGCAGGCAGGGCAGAATCGGGGACAGAGGAGGACAGCAAGGAGGCTACAAGCCGTTCTGGTAGGAAGCCAAAGAAAGAGAAACTAGACTGAGGAGGGATCGCCTCGTTGAAGCAGATACTTTATGTGATTCATAGCCAGAAAATGTCACTTCGCTCCACCTGTGCTCATACGTGCATTGAGCGATCTGGTGCATAGCTACACGCTGGGATATTTCCGGTTTTCGAGGACTTACCATTTATAATCCTGGCCACTCGCCAGAGTCTGAGGAGGATGAGCAATCCAAGCGCTTCGAACTCGTGCTCCCGGAACAGGAGAACAACGTCCAGAACGAACGAGATGATGATGACAACAGCATCTAGGACCTCAAACTTGTGGTGGAAGAACTCCAGGCGGAAGACAAAGAGCTTAAAGCCAAGTTCCACCAGAAAGAGCGATAAGATGGAAAGGCTCAGGTAGTGGAAGACCTGGGAGGTGCCAACACAGCAAGGCAGCTGTTAGTACCCCACAAAATACACAGCATGGTCTTCTGCAGAGAAGCTACACAATGGGTCACATGCTCGCTCTTCCATTTCCTGCCACGCAGACGAAGGACAGAATGCACACGTGGGCAATTACATCCCACCACTTGCACCATCTAACGTAAATCTGCATTTCCCTTAATTGTGCACATGCCCCGATTCTGCAGAGGGGGAGGGGCACCAAGTCCTCTTCTGCAGCCCCCAGAACATCAGCCACCTCTGCAGCTTCTGTGATTTTGGTGCCCCTGCACGAAGCCCATACACCCATCATGGCAGTGCAGGAAACAGCTGGCCTTCCAGATGTTGCTGCACTGCAGCTCCCAAGCTCCCGTACCCACTGGCAATTTGTTTTAGGGCTGATGCAGCTGCAGTACGGCAACACCTAGCGAGTTACGCATTGTCCACCCCACACGAGGAGCTAGAAACTTGCTTTCCCTTTTTAAAAAATTAAAGGCTAAGATTCTTTAGTAACTGAATATTGTGCCCACAGCTGTGCTCCCATTCTGCGCCCCAGCAATACTATAATACTGTTGCTGAACGGAATGTAAGCAAGCGCATGCTGGCTGGGGATAATGGGCGTTGTAGCCCGACCCATGTGAAGGGCACTGGCTGGCACAGAGTCTCCTCTAGGGGCGCTGCCTCCCTTTACCTTGGGCGCAATCTCCTCTTTGTCCGGATGGATGATTTTCAAATCCAGAACCAGTTCCCCAAGGACCAGCACAGCATCCAAGATAACCAGGCAGACGACCAGGATCTTAGAAGAGGAAAACGGAGCAAAACCCAAATTATCTGAAGTCGGCCAACGTGGAAGTCAAAGTAACAAGCAGAGATCCTCTGAGGCCAGGGGGCGGTGAAGAGGGGCAACACTCCGCTTCTGCTGCTCTCTTCCCTGAGCTCAGCAAGGGAGCCTAAGAAGCCGCTGGCTCCAGTGCGTGGGACCCGGGAATGGGAAGGCCCGAAGGCAGAGCGGGGGCGGCTCCCGAGCTTTTTGCCGACCTGACCTGGCAGCAGCAGTGCGCTGCTAAACAGGAGAGTCCTCTGTAAAGCCACGCGGGGACGTTTGGAGGCAAGCCACAAACCTCTTCGGTCAGGGCCTCGCTCTCCATTTAGGAGAACCAGTACCAGCTCTGGTGGGAAGCGTCGTGCACGCGTCTGCCTTTCCAACGTGGGATTTCTCAGCAGGTTTGAACCTGAGCATCACGCCAGTAGGTGCTCAGGAGACATGGCCCAACTCCCAGCATCTCCTGTTCACAGGGGATGGGGATAGGAAACTTGGCCCAGAACTCTGGAGAGGAGCTGCCAGCCAGAGGGGGTAGCCATGGCCCGTATCAGCCTTCCCAACCATGTTGGCTGGGGTTGGTGAGAGCTGCAATCCGGAGCACCAGGTTGGGGAAGGCAGACGCAGAGGGACCCAACTGCCACTTCCTGTACATTCTGGTGGCCACCATCCTCCCATCCAGCAGACGCAGAAGGGCGCTCGAGAGGGCCGTGCACAACGCGTCAGACACCCCGAGAGCTCTCCTCCCCCTTACCTGAAATTTGTGTGACTGGAAGAGCTTTCTCATAACTTCCCGGAAGGTGGGCTTCCTGCATGCAGCATCCACTTTCACGGCCGTCTCGGCTGTCTTTCCTTCCCCTTCCTCCTCCATCTCCTCCTCCTCCCACTTCCTGTACTCATTGTTCCACTGAGCCGGATCGTCTCCCACAACCGTGAAATGCTTCAGGTACATAGACATGGCTGGCACTTAAGTGGGCACGAGCCTGTGGAAAGAAGGGCGACAAGCAGGCGCAACCATCACCAGCTTGTACCAGCACAACCTCACTGCGTTTATGAATGACATGATAAAACTGTACGAAAAAGGCGTATTCTCACAGGTGAAGGCTGAAACAGGCCTATCTTTCTGGCCTGGACATGCTCATCCAGAATGAAAAATGATGCCCACTTCCCCATCAGATCAGAGGCGGAAAACATGAGGTAATTCTCATGGTTAAAGAGGAAGAATCAGAATTGCGAGGCAGAGCTATGGCGAGGGGGGGGGGCGGGGGAATTCCTTGCCCTGCTGCACCAGGTTTGTATTTTATTATTTATCTATTTAACACTTCTAGACCGTCCCTTAATGTACTCTCGGTAAGAATAAAATAAAATAAGACACAGCAATTTTAACTTGTTTGTTGTGAACCGTCCGAAGACACTAGTATAGGGCCGGTTTATAAAACCTTTAAATAAAGCAAACAAACAAACATGGAACATGATCGGCTAGCATATTTCAAGTGGTCAGAATCTGACACAGGGATGACTTCAGCAATCCACCTGGCAGCCCTGTGAGGTAGGCTAGCAGCATTATACCCATTTTGCAGATTTGGGGTTGGGTCTGAGTGTAACCGCTTGTCTAGGACTGCCTCATTTTCTCCCTTTCCTTCCTTCCTTCCTTCCTTCCTTCCTTCCTTCCTTCCTTCCTTCCTTCCTTCCTTCCATTCTCTCTCTCTCTCTCTCTCTCTCTCTCTCACTCACTCTCACTCTCACTCTCACTCTCACTCTCACTCTCACACACACTTGCTGAGTGCCACTGATACTTTAAGGCACTAAAAATAGCACTGTTTTTATTGTTCCATTCTGTATTTGATACACTATTTGATTTTTAATTATTGTAAGCTCTTTCGAGAGTCCATGCAAGCTAAAAAGCAGGATAGGAACACCTCATAAGCCCCTATATAGACCAGATTAAATACCCTATGCAGTAGACTAAGTATCAAGAAAGGCAAAATGCAATACAGGGATGGGGAGAGAGTAAAGCAGGGGAGTCACGGCCTCAGGACTTACTGGAAAAGCTGCTCTACCTTTGTCCCAGTCCAGGGTTCTGCCTATTGCCCCACGACCAGTGACCCTGGTGTGGTTTCCTGGCCCCAGCTGAATATCAAAGACTGAAATGCATTGCCTGGAGCCTCAGTACTGGCAATCAGAGCTTTAACCGGCAAGATGCTAGTAAACTTGTTGCATGGGCTGAAGTGGCGGAAAACTCAAGCAAACAGGGTTGTGTGCATAGATTTGGCCCAACACCCCGTCTTGCCCAGCAGCCAGGCTGCTGCTGCTTTTAGGAATGAAAAGAGAGCCGCTTTGTCCCCTCACAATGCTCAAGCAGCCCTTTCCCCCAACCTGGCACCTGCCAGATGCTGGGACTTCAGTTCCTATTGGTCTTTGCCAGCATGGCAGCGGAGGGCGAGGGATTCTAGGGGTCGTAGTCCAAAGGGCTCCAGGCACGGAGGAAAGCCTGGCTGGAGCTTGTGTCCTCCAAAGGAAACCAGACTGAGTCTTTTAGCAAGGCCGACCTACTGATCTCCACAAGGTGCTCAGCACTGCAAATGTTTCAGGATAGACAACGTACTTCAAACCCCTTTCATTAGTTTAATGAAACGTCCCATTACGCTATTTGGTGCTGAACATTAAATTAGATGCCTTTAAAAAGGGGGCTGAACAAATTCAAGCAAGATAGAGGTCTTATCAGTGGCTACTGCGCATGCCAATTAAATATTTGTGTACCCACTGAAATACTACTGGGGGCAAACAACAGGAGAAGCTTCCTACTACCATGTCCGGCTTACGCAGGCCGAGTAAAAATCCCCATCTGAGCCCCACATCTTTGGGAAGCCTCTCTGCTTCAGCCCCACACCTGGAAGGTGGCAGGAATAATCTTGTCCTACCTTCTAGGGAGGTATGGACCACTTGGATACTATGCAAGAACGGCTGGCCCCGGGTTCTGCCCTGCCGCGAAGCTCGTTGCGTGATGCCGCGGCAGTTGGCATGTTTTCAGCCTGAGACCTTGCACAGTGGCTGTAAAGATTAAGGCAGGTACCTCCCCTTTCGGTTGTTCTGAGCATCTCGGAGAAAGGCCAAATATTAAACATGCAGCAGGAGCACCCAGCACCCAGAGGAACTGTCACCAGGCTATGGATGGTCCCTCTAAGAAGGTTCCACCAATCCCGAAAGCCCTCGGAAGTGTGTCTGTGCTTACCTCTCCCAGCCTCTAGCACATGCAGAATCCCGGTGGTGGTGGTGGTGGTGCTCGGCAATTCCTGGCAACAGCCAAAAAACAGTCCTGGAGACAAGAAGAGAACAATAGCACCCGCTACAAGCTTTCTGGGGAACTGCTTGCAGGAAAAGCAGAGAGTGAAACCAACTCTTCTGTTTCCCTGTAAGTGGTTTGTCTTTGAAATGCAAAACAATGCAGTTTTCAGATAACTTCCCCTCTGCCTATTTTCTGCAGCCACCCACAGCCCCTGATTAACAAATTGCAAGGGTGGGGAAAATCTTCTAGGTCTGATTACAGTCAATATTCAGCATAACAAAACATCACAAAACCAGCAGTCTTCAGTGTTATGGGGACAACCTGTTATATGTACTTTCTCCTTGCCCTGGGCCAGGATGAATGCCAGGTTATGGGCTGGGGATGGCTGGAATCTTACAGAAAAAGCATTCACTTCACAAACAGAAGGGAGGGGAGGAGCAGGGACCCGCCGGTTCTGGCCCAGTTCTGGCGTCATGGCTCAGCTGTGGCAAGGCCAACGGGCGTGCTTGTTGATACTACTAAAAAAAGAACCAGTTGGCACACGGGTCCTTCTGTCTGTGTTGCTGGACACAGACAAGGTTGCTTGTAAATCACTTCTAGGCACTCAAGAACAAGTTGAGTTTCAAACACAGGAGCTGCAGCACCACTCAGCCTGGGCAGGTACAGGAAAAAGGGAAAAGAGCAACGAGCCCCAATTCCATTTTTGAGGGGTGCTGAGCAAGAGGAAACATGTGCATTTGAACAGGAGGGACTGTGGAAGTTCCAAGGTCTCTTTCTTGGATGTTTACGCTTACATGGCAACCAAGCAGCCTCGTTCTAAGAGCTGGTACTGTTATGCTTAGAAATTCATTTACTTTTTTAACCACATGAAAAATACATAACTAATGTAACACAAACTTAGCAGGGTTTCCCATCACCACCGAAGTATTCATGTTTATAACCGGATTGTTTAGAACAAGGCTGCATCCAGGCACTGTCCACCCTGGCAAGTACCTGAATCATCCAAGCAGCATTTTGGCTGGGACGGGACTGCCTACAACACACGCACATCAAAATGCAGATCCCAGAAAACAAGAATGGAATAAAGGGGGCACCTCAAAAGGGCATGGAGAATCACCGTGCCCCAGGATCCTGCGCAACAGAGCTCCACTCATGTTGTGGGTGAGGAAGGAAAACAGCACCCTTTTCTTTCATACCCCCATGAAACCTTTCCCTGATGGGTTGTCAAGTCCTTAAGGGCTCTGGTTGCAGGCTGGCAGTCAGCCTCAACCCTCACTTTGATGGGAGCTACTGCAGTTAAGCAGTTATAATGAACTGAGTGTTAAAAATAAACCTTTTTCAGGAAGAATGGAGCATGTGCTGGTCTGGGAATCCCTGATGCAGCTTCGAACGCTTCCCCTGTGCCAGCTGACGGAGTAAATTTGTTGTTGTTCAGTCGCAAAGTCATGCCTGACTCTTTGCGACCCCACGGACAACATTCCTCCAGGTTCTCCTGCCCTCCACCATCCCTCAGAGTCCACCCAAGCCCACACCCGCCTCTCCAGTCACCCCATCCAGCCACCTCAACCTTCTCCTTTTGCCTTCATCCTTCCCAGCATCAGGGTCTTCCCCAGTGAGGCCTTCCTTCTCATTAGGTGGCCAAAGTATTTGAGCTTCAGCGGAGTAAACAGACTGACCCTAAATAACCACGACTCCATTGAGCTCTATAGAGCTCAATTCAGGTATTCAGACTTTTTCTTGGCATTTTTTATAGCTGCCCTATCTAGGAAGGCAGCATTCTTACACCCAGAATGCAGACAGTTAGACTAAGTCCGAGAATAGGAGTAACTTTTTGAGTGAGTTGCATCACACCTGTATTCCCAAATTCTGTCAGTACTGAACATTTGGCACAGGTCAGAGTTCTGGCTCATTGCTTGGAACACCTTCCTTTCTCCCAAGATGACAATGCAAAGAGTACATCTCTAGCTAAGGTCACACACCAGGAAATCAGACAACGCCTTAACCCAAACCTGTCATCCAAACAGCACTAAATTGCATCATAGTCGGATATTTCAACAGTCATCTTCAAGTCAGCAGTGTACGTCTTCCATGAGCAATGAGACATGCAAAACTTTAGCCGCCTCTCAACTTTTCCAAGCTAAAAAATCCTCAACCCTCTTAAAATGACAACTGCAGGAAACAGAGAGCAAAGCATCTGCCACATTTTGCAGGGGCGGCAGCAGGTGCTTCTGGGATTGAAAACGGGAGCCCCAAATATGAAAACTGTTGCTCCAGCTCTGAAAGCTTGAAACCAGATTTCACTAGAGACATACAACATTTTGGTGAGGTTCCAGGTTTATTCACCCATGCAAATGTGGAACATAAAGTGTTTAGCACAAAGACCAATCCCCGCTCCCCACCCAATGCCTAGGGCAGAAGTGTGGCACCCCAGGCTAAATATGGCCCAGCTGGCGCCCCTATATGGCACGCCGGGGTTCCCCAGAAGATCACACCCACTTCCTGGCTCCCCCAGCACCAAGCATCTGGCGATTCCCCACCTTCTGAGGCACCCCCCTTTCTAAAAGGTTAGAAAGGTTTTCCATTTTAAACAGTAAACTGAAAGTTAGCTTTCTTCTGAAGCTTAACTAGTGGCAACAAGAGCTTTACCTTAACAGATGCTGTATTTTGGCCCGGCCTTTTCACCTCCAACTCTTGCACATTCTTTAGGGTGGAGTGAGAGAAAGTTAAGACCCCTTCCAGCTTAATCTTATCTCCAGCCATCACTGGGACAGCTGCCCTTTCCGAGAATCTCCATAACAGCAAGTACTCAACCTGGCTAAAGCTGCCTGACCAGTTTGCCCCACTTGTGCAATCCCTTTTAGCAATCAACAGTTGGGGGGGCAGTCGCTGGGGGCTCTTCCAGACTAGCCCCAGGCCCCCAGCAATATTAACCAATCCACACCACAAGCCCACCGAAGGACTGGGGCAAAGGCGAGCACAGCACAGAGGGGGCCAATGCACGGCTGCTCTTCTGGGTCCTCTGTGCTAGTTTTATTTTATTAATTAATTTATTTAACGCTTTTATTGACCATCCCATTGCCAGTGTCTCGGGATGGTTTACAACAAGCACAGATAGAGACGGCACAGCATCCAGCAATTCACAATAAAGTCTCACTCAAAACCAAGTAAACATCAAAATAACAGGAAAATAAAAAGGCTGCTATCCTTCGAGGACTAATGATGGACAGGGGGCCACCCGGACCCAGCCTAGGCCCAGAAAGATCTGTGCCGGCTGGCAGTGGGGTTGCAGTCTGGGGAACCTGCCCAGCCTTCCTTGGTGGAAGCATGACTCCGTGGCATGCCGAGCAGGCCCTCTGGAGTGGAGTCTCCCAGCTGGATGAACCCCGCAGGGCGCAGCATCACAGAGAGCCAGTGTGGTGCAGTGGTGAAGAGCACGGGACTGGGACTCAGACAATCTGGGTTCGAGTCCCCCCTCGGCCATGGAGCCCACTGGGTGACTCTGGGCCAGTCACGGACTCTCAGCCCAACCTACCTCACAGGGTTGTTGTGGTGGGGATCAGATGGAGGAGGAGAATGATGTAAGCTGCCTCGAGCCCTTTGTAGGAAAAAGGCAGGATATAAATCGAAAAAAAAAAAAAAAACCATCCCTGTGAGAACAAGGTCTCAGGAATTTACCCTGCCCGAGGGCCGCTCGGATTGCACTGCGCTCATCATGACTTGGCTGAATAATTAACAAATTCCCCGCCAGCCCTCCCCAGTCACCGGATCAAAGCATGCAATCTTTGCTTAACAGTTGTGTAATAAACATATCTTCCTGTCTTGAATCCTAGAAACAGCCTGAGAAGGAACTTGGTCCAATTTCCTCAGGTGCCAAGTGTCCTTGAGGGGTGAACATCTCGGAGCCATTGTTTTAGAAATGCTTGGCCTCTTGGGCAACCTTTCCCGTATCAGCTCATCTGCCGAAGAACAGAAGGAACTCCTCTGGGTCGCGCTCCAGGATGGACACTCTTGGCAGGCAGACCCCGGCTAGCTGCAATGCACTCTTGTCTGCTTTTGCAGAAGACTGCAAGAAAGGACAGACTGGGGCTGATGGATCCTTTGGGCAGCTTATCCACCAGTGAGCAGTGTTCCCAGGGAAAAATCTGCTCAGTCCATATCCTGGACTACCCAAAGGAGATTCCCAGCATCATCTACAAAACTGTTTTAGGGTGCCATCCTGTCCGTGTTTAGACAGACAAAGCTCCTGCAACCGGCAGGGGAAGGGGGAAGGTGCGGAACATGTTTCTGTCCAAGCATGTCCCTGAATTGCTCCAAACCTGCTCTTAAAAGAAAATGATTTTCAGTGTATGTCAACACAGGCAAGTCCAGCAATGGTTAAATAATAGCATGACTACAGCTTCCTACAAATGCTCGATGATATACATTTTTTGCTGTTGGGGATCACCTCACACCCAACCAAAGAGCCCTGGGCTAGAGAGATGAAGGGAGGGGAGCACCATTCCTAAATAGGCCCAGGTTATATTTATCCCACCAGTAAAGTCTGCTGCTTTTGGGTTTTAATTAAGAGAAAAGAAGTGTTCACAATGCCAGAAACCTTTGGATTTCACAACATTCTTCTACAGAACCTGAGCATTCATGTTTCAGAATTCAAGATTACTGTGTGTGTGTGGGGGGGGGGGGGGGGCTCCAGTGCACAAATCTCCAGTGCCCAAGCTTGAGACCTGGGTTCAAGTCTCCACTTAATTTCAAATCCCATCGGCTTTCAGTGATGTCACCCCCACATTCTCTCTGTCTAACCACCTCCAGAGGTTGCTTGCCAGGATAATTCTCCACGTATCACCCAAGCTTCTTGGAAGATGGCTGGCATGAAAATGTGGGAAGTGTTGAACAGAGAAGGAACAAACTGACCCTCCATTTTGTCACAGGAAGAGCACCCATTACTTGTACATCTGCCATCACCAGTTTAGTCTCCCTCCGAAGCCCTCGGTGGTTGGACAAGAACAATCCTGAACTCAGTAGCACATCTAGAAATTTACTGTAAATAAACTGGTGGTGAAGCCAGTTTTAAATGTAAAATATTATAGGCAACTTTAAAAAATGTCATCTCATGCAGACTGAGGAGGGGGTTTTGGCGGGAGAGGGGAATGAGAAAGACGGTCGGGACAATTCTGAAAGCCCATTTTAGCCCCTCAAGCACCAGGAAAAGTTTGAGTTAGAGAAGTGAAGTGTGCAGAAAGTAGGAGAAAGTGAGTGCATGTGAGTGCACATTTTAATGTTTTGCAAGCTTTACACAAAGAGGCACACAATCAGCAGATTAAAGGTGCATCCTGTGATGCTCAGAGAGAAAGAAGGCCTATGATTCCCAGCATTACAACTCCCTTCTGAGGACTTCTTTCCTTCTAAACAAGCCTCGGATGGCACCTTAAACACAGAAATCTACTTCTCTGGCCGGCTCAGATCACACCCCCAAGATCTGGGTTACGTCTGAAGGAAAAGTGTGAGGATAGGACCCACCTGACTTCTGAGGAAAAGTTAAGTTATATATACGAATAATTATTATGACCACCATTCTCCTCTTGCCGTTCGGGTGCAGATGAAGAGAAAAAGAAGGGCTTGGTTCCAGCCATTTGCCTTTCAAGTAAGGTTTTTCTTCTGTTTAACCCCGCACCGGCGCGCAGCGCCCCACCCCCCGAAACCCGGCCGGGGTCCCCTCCGCAAGGTCGGGCAGGGAAGAGGCCCCGAGGCCTCGCGGATCGGCCCAGAGGAGGGGGACGACCCCCGCCCCGCGCCCTCCCGCTCGGCCCCCGGTGAGCCTCCCCGGGAGGGAGGTGCGGGACGAGCCCCCCTCCTGCCCGCCCTGCAGGTCTTGGCGGCGGGGGCGCGCGGCCCCTTCCCCTCCGCCACCCCCCTCCTCGCCTGGACGCCCCGGTCCCGCGGGCTCTCCGCCGCGTCGCCCGCCAGAAGAGACCCCCGGAGGAGGCCGGCGGCTCGGAGCGGGGGCGGCCCGCCCCCTGCCCGGCGGCCTGGCGCCCCCTCCCCAGCATCCTCCTCCTCCTCCTCCTCGGTACCGTGCCTGGCCGCGGGGAGCAAGTGGCGACGCGCCCGCCGGACGCTGCGCTCCGCTGCCGCGCTGCCGCCGCCGCCGCCCTGCCTCCTCCTCCTGCGCCCTCCTACTCCTCGCCCGCCTTCCTCTCCATTGGCGCTCGGGGAGGGCGCTCCGCGCGGGGGGAGGGAGCCCAAGCCCCCGGGAACCGGCGGCGCCCGGCTGGGCAGGGGCCGTCGCGGCCGAGAGGGGGCCCCGGCGCACCGGGCCCGCGCAGAAGCCCGCGGGGGCCGCCAGACGCGCACGGCGTTCCTGATTCCCGGAGGAAAGTTCCCGTCCCTTTCCCTGGCTGGGCGTCGTGGGCGCTGCAGGGGCGCCGCGGGGAACTGGGGCGCGCGAGGGCGGGAGCGCCCCCCGCCCACTCTCCCTTTCGCGCCCCGCTTTGCCGACACCCCTGTGGCGTTCCCGCGGGGGGGGGGCGCGGGCGCGCGCTTGGCCTCTTCCTTCTGGGTTGCTCCTCGGGCCACAGCGAAAAGCGGCCTGATCTCAGCGCAGGCGGCGCGCTCGTGGTCAAGGGCGCAGCGGCAGTGACCCAGGACGAGGCGGGCCGCGCACCTGGAGGGGGATCCAGCGCCTGGAACCGCGCCGCCCGATCCTCTGCCGGCTTGCACGGAAACGATCGTGGAGGAAGCCTTCCAGATTCGGCGGGGCTTTGCTTCCTTGCAAGGATGTGTCGGGCTGCAGCTGGCGTAAATTGGTTGGAAATCCCATTTCTCAGCTGAAGGGCCTCTCCTGCCCACGTTCTCTTTAGCTCTGCATAGAATTGCGCCTTAAGGATCGAACTCGAAATCCGTATTCAAAATAATCCGCAGACTATTCGTTGCGAAGTCTGGTGATCTGTGCTTGTTTCACAAAGTCTTGTTATTGCCCCTTATGCGTTTCAGCTGGAGGATTAAAACAGGTGGCGGTCTCTGGCTCTTAACTTGCAGACTGGAGAGCTTTGTGAAGCTGGAAATCCAGGGAAGTTTTTTGGGAAGGGTAGGACCACAGAAGGCAGGACCAGCTGCATGCCAACCTAGAAGGGGAGGAACCCATTTCTGTCTTGGCTCCTATGTTTAGTCTTGGGGGTCAGAAGTTATTCTAAATTTTTGGTTCAGATTTCTGACACAAAGTTAGGCCAGAGTGTCTCCATGCTTCCTGCTTGTCGATCTCCGCTTTTAAAGCTTGACTTGCTCAGGTAAAACAAGAAACGCCTGTGCTAATCCTTGCTGTCTTTGGTGGGCATATTTGGTGCAGGGAGCCTCCAGCCAGGACACCCCTTGAGAAAACCCAGCGCATCTTGTTTCACTGATACAGACTAAGAGGCCCCCTCCACTACTGGGAAGCAGACGCTGCGGCTTCTGTGCCTCCCTATTGACCCACTGGGGTCTGTCACAAGTTTGCTTCCATGAAAGCATTCAGATGTGTGGCAAGTGCGGTGACATCGCAGCCTCGCCCAGCCATGGCATTGCTTCAGGGCATCTCTTTCCCGCCCACTTCACTCCCTTGCTGACCCACAACAGAAAACTGAACATACTGTGGTGTTCCGAACGGCCAGAGGTGAAGCAGCCGGTCCCACCCGTGTTGTGCTTCTATACATGGCACTGTGTGTTTTTGATCTGAGGAGATGATTTCTACATTCCTGTGGTTACACTCTATAATTAGCTACTGACTCTAAGAAAGAAAACAGAACTTTCCATGAATTAAAAGACCTTTTTCTCAAGCTGAAGCAAAATTGAGGATGGGAAAGGGTGGTTTTTACTTCCAGGTGTATATAGGGCTGATCTGATTGGCTCTGCCGACCCAGAAAGTGGGGTTTAACCCTTTCCTGCCTGCTGCACTCACCAGAATGCCACCAGAAGCCCAGCCTTCCATTTACTATTTTCAACCCTGCTGGCTTGCAAGTCAGGCACTGGTAGTCACCACTCAGGCCAGGTAGAAAAGAGGATGCACACAGGCAAATATGCTGCCCTCTCATCTTGAACAGTGGTTATCCAGATTTAATTCCTGAAGGGAAAATGACCTTTCTAGGTTATGGCCACTTGATTAAAACATATAAGCTGCATTCTGCATGCATGTAATGCTGATAAAATGAACACAGAATATTTAAGAAGTTACTCATTTAATAAGCATTTTACCACATTGTATTGTACACTGTTGTCTGTTCAAAAAGATTACAGTTTTTCTTTTTTAAACCAAAACCCCAAAACAAGATTCTGTGTGAGAGTCACAGAAACAGGTGAACAGTGTTCACTTTTGTAGCTGGTTGTTCTCTAAGCTTTGCAGAGCAAGTCTTCAGTTTTAAATAAAACAAACCCTAAATGAATTTTAATTCTCAGGCAAGTCTCTGAACGGCTCTTCACAAGTTACAGCTTTTTGAACTGGCTAAAATAGCACAGTAGCAAGCTTCGACTCTGAATATAGGGGAAGTGTCAAAAGTCTTTAATCCTGCATTCCAGCTGATCACAGCATTACTCTGCTAGTTCAAGTCGTCCTTCCTGCAGAGGAGAAAACCCAACTTAAGACACCTCCAATGCATCTCTAGGGGCTGTGCTGAAGCGTTTCCCCTATGCACTTTGGCTTCACAAAAAGAGACACAAACCTTCAAAATAATGGCTTTAATTGTCATTTTAAAATATATGGGAGGGAAGTGCGCTCCAATTAAAATATACAGCATACCAGTGAAACCGACAAAGGTTGAGGAGTGGTTTCAAAATGTTGACAAGTTGTGTACATGACAAGAAAAAAAATCTTTTCAAAAAACACCCCCCCCCAAATTAAAATACTTTCACAGTGGTTTGTATAGACAATATGTAATTTGACAGTAATAAGTTTCCTAGTCTTGTAGCACACTCATGTGCCTCCTTAAGTCTTAAAAGAAAAGCAGGCATCACACACCACCCCATCTGTACAGGTTCAAGGAGTCAGTTGTACAATTACCCGGCATGACAGGATAAGTTGCTGTGAAGTATACAGCTGAAACACCAATAAGGAAAAGGGTTTCTCTCTCTCTCTCTCTCTCTCCAAACAAATGCAGAATTTTTTTAAAACTCTTCTTGAGAAGGGAGAAAGTCTCATTTGCTGTTACAACCAGCAAATGCCATCCATCAAAGTGAACAAAAAAAAAAAAAACCACAAACACGTTAATCTAGTCTTAGCAAGCTGACCGATACACGTTACCGTTTTTCTTAAAAATGGAGATTATATACTATAGTACAAGTCCCAACTAGGCAGGGCCAAGAGTGATTATTTCTTTGCTTGCTTTGTGATCATACCCCTGGGTGGCGTTACCGGTCGGCTAGCGTTGGGCTTCTTTTTCTCGGCAGGCTTCAAGATCTGGAATGACAATTCACTCATTTAGCAGGGTAATTCTGAGCATGGACAGCTAAACAAATGGGTGTACAAGGAAGCCACACCACACGGGAGGGGTTTGCAAGTGCCCGGCCCAAAAATAAACATATATAAACATAGTAAATTCTTTAAAATCCGCATTTCCACTCAATGGGCAAAATGGGGTAGAACTGTAAATTTGTTCATCTAAAGCAGGGCATCCCCAGAATTGCACAACACAAGCTGACCGAAGGATGCCAAGAGTTGTAATCCAACGCATCTGAATCTCATGCCACACAAAGCATACAACAGAGAATGTTTAGGCCATGAAATGTACTTATTTTCATGGACATAATACTTCTTGGTGAACCTCACACCAGCGGGGGGGGGGGGGGCGGTGTTGTACAGGCTTGACAATCTGACAATGAGGACGACTCTGCCAGGAAAGCTATGCCCTTAGCGAAACTCAGCCTTGCAACACTTTAGGAGACAGCAACAGCTGGGCAGGGCCCCTAGGAATTTTAATACATACGAAGGCTCATGCAGGTGGAGGAATAGGTTACCTTCAAGCCAAGCCTATTCTGGACTTGAAAGAGGAGCACCAGCAACCTGAATTTAAATGCACCTCTGTCTTTCCCCCTGCAGCTTGCAACAGTTGGTGCCTCCTCTGAGATCACCTACTTCACAGCTCTACCGACAATCCAATCCAAACTAGAGAGATTAAAATTACCCTACTTATTTTATAGCACACTGGCACCCCAGCAGTGACTAAAGAAAGTGGGATACATTTTTCAACAGCACAAAAGGTTCTGGAAGCTTAATTCAGGGACCAGCTTTGAGTGAAAGCAGTAAATGTGATGGGGAAAGCAAAGCATGCGAATCCTGAAGAATTTCATACCTGAAAGGAACACATTAGAGTCTCATCCACACTCATCATGGCGCCTGCATTGTCGAATTCCCCACAGTAATTTGGGGCAGAAAACAGAGTCACCAGCTGCCTTTTTGCGAAGAACTCGTACCCATCTTCAACCACCTTCAAGACGACAACACTGCAGTTAGTTGAGGGTGGGGTGGAAAGAGAGCGCCAGGTAAAAGGCGACAATCATTTGCACAACGTGTTGTCTAGTCCTCCACCACGCTCAGCCGGCTGCAGAGGCAGCAGAGTCCAAGTTACGAGCGTGGGGGCCCGTGCTTCCAATACAGGGCCACTGACCAACCCCACAGGCTTTCCGTAAGGATCACTGAGCCGATGCAGCTGAAGCTCTGAGCATGCCAAGCATTTTAGCTTAGTGTTGTAAGCCGCCCCTTCGGCGAACGGGGCGGCATAAAAATGTTTTAATAAATAAAATAATAAATAGGGGACTGGAGAACCATGGCTTCCCTTGCCTATGCAGCAAGCTCTCTGACTGAGCAAGAATTTGACCCCGGGTCACAGAGCCCATTAATTCTTCTACCTGCAAAATAATACAGGCATGGCATGAGCTGCTTGTGTTAAGTTCACTCCTGCTTCAGAGAGGCAAGGCTAGGACTTATACAAGCCAAGCAGGTGTTCAGTGGCCGGTGGGAGGGGAGGGGAGGGGAGGGGTTGAGAAAGAGACTAATTAACTTCTTGTGTTGTGGGCAAGGGAATTTTGCTGCAGTCCAGAAACTGGCAGCGCCTCCCACATGACTCATGCTTAACACGCAGTCGTTACCTGATGAGCTCGGCATATAAGATCCAAATCATGCTTATGAAGGAACTTTGCCACCACTTCAGCACCGAATGTGAAAGAAACTCCTCGGTCATTTTCACCCCATCCAAGAACATCTTTGTCAGGGTCGGACCACAGCAGATCACAAAGGAGACCTTGATCTGGCACATCAGTGGGCCGCATAATTCGCCGGATTTGTTCCATTGATTGGAGGTCTGGTGATAAGCCTGGCGGATGCGAAAAACAGCCAGTTGGCATTTTGTTCACACACTGGGCACATGCATATGCAGCGCCTCGCACTTTGTCCTACCGAAGGAACGTGATCTTCATTCCAACTGGCAGTTTCTCCTGTGCTTAGATGGAGGAGACAGCAGCAATTCAGCTTATTGGAAGTAATGCTGAAGATGAATAGCCTGGCCCTGTGATCTGTTGTTCTGCTGACTGAAAGGCATACAGATAATACTTCCAGGTACATGACCGAGTTCCCATTGCCCCTTCAAGAGGCGGCCTGCTGTCACTGGAGGCCAAGTACTAAGAAACAGGAAAATCATTCCTTAGCAGGGTCCCTTTTCATGACCGATGAAATAATCCATCCATACAAAATAGGTGTGGACTTGCCGCCAAAAACCGTTAAAGCTGTGAAATCTTCCTGACCGCAGGCACTGCACAGGCGCAGCACCCGTGTGTGATGCACAGAGACCACGACGAAAAACAGAGGAAAACAGGCTAGCCCCTCTCCCCTTCCTACCCATTTCCAAAGCAAGCTGTCCATCACAGGGAGCCAGCAGCTAAAGCAATCTAAACTGCTCAAAAATGGGGACATTTTGCTGGATTTAAAGCAGCTGCCACAAATTAAAGATGGGTGACCTGCCCTTTCTGGAAGACCATCATATTCTGTCTTCACATCTGTTTGGCTATAAGCTCCCACTAAACTCCTTTAGCACTGCAAGCCTGATGTTTCTGTTTGTGCAAACATACTACAATTACTTAAAATTACACTGCAGGAACGGCAAAGTTAAAAATTTAAATTACAACAAGTCAAGAGATACTAGGGCTAGTACAGAAGTATTTATCGAACATGACACTGAGAACTGTCTGCATAACCTGTAATTGCTAGCAAGCAATACGCAGCCTGCATTTATAGGATCCTATTTCAAAGGAAAATGTCCAGGCAACTACCAGACTGGACACTTTCAGTAAAGGCCTAGTTCTTGCTATTTATCTCTTGTCTATACACTTAAAAAATGACTCCTACTTCAAGGAGAAGCCTCTGGTACCACACTCACATATGAACCACAGCACTAAACTCTCAGGATGCTGGATTCAGAGTGCCCCACCCCATTTTGAATAGGAGAAGTCACACAAGCAGGACTTGCAGAAGACTGAGTCTCTCAGCTCCAACATTACACCCCCCCCCCTTTGTGGCAAGTGGGTCACACTGCAGGGGACATTCAATGAACTGTCCTTTGGTCCCCTCGTTCTATGAGAGCATGCATCGAATAGAGTGAGGGTTATTTTCCCCACATTGCTGAGACTGTTGCTCTAGCAATTCATTCGCCATTACTGAAGCATATTAACATGAAAAAGATTTATACCCAGGCCTGTTCTGGCATGTAATTCATGTCCATACCATCCTTGGTCAAAATAATTTGCAGGGGCTTTCCTACAAAAGCACAGGTGCAAGTAGAAGAATTTTAAGCCAGCCACTTGAACAAACATTCTCGATCTTGTTACACTGTGAACTTTTAAAAGCCCTGGAAACATTTCCTTCAGATCCTAGGCTAGTTATAATCTCAAAAGTGATGCGTGTTGAAACTGTGCTTTAATACCTCAAGAATTAGACACAATACCCTGCAATACACAGAATGTGCCACAACTTACAAGTTTATCCAGCATATTCAGGCAGCATTACTTGGTAAATCACATGGCCACTTACCTCCATGGCAGCAAAATATCTTCTCATCCACAATGGCTGCGATCGGTAAACAATTAAAGCAGTCTGTAAAGGTTTTCCACAGCTTGATGTTGTATCTTCTTTTACCTAAGGAGACATTAATACATGTACTCTTAAAAACAAGGCCAATTAGGTTTCAAATTATGTTTGTAAACCATACAGTCATTGATGTACACTGCCCTGGAATTCTATTTAATAAGAAGGCACAGACCTATTTTAAATCAATAAAGTTCTACTCCTTTGAAGCAGCATGGTCAAGACTTTCACCCACTATACATCCTCCACAGAGCGGGGAAAGCCGTCCGTGGCCAAAGCCGTCCCTGGAGACGTTCCAGTAATGCAAGGCTGCAGAGGCTGAGGCTGCCCTTCCACCCGCTGCCCGAGTCAGTCCAGCGTTGCTGAAGGCTGGCTCTCCATCGCCTGGGAAATCCAGCACTCAGCCACGTACTGTGTGGCTTTGCCAGGCACAAGCTGCTCGCTAAGCTGGCCAAAGTGTCGGGCGGACGAGTTTCACTCAGCACTCTGACTGGTAAGCCAAACCTGGGGGTGCAGCCAGCAAGAGCCACCTACAAACAACTTCCCCATCACTGCTTTAGCACATTTGTGGAAAACTAAGCCATGAAATCACTGTTGATCCCCAACGCATCATGGCCCTTGATGCCGCACCAACGGCCCAGGCTTGGCATTTATGACCTAGTACCCCGGGATCTGCTTAAACATTATCCTTGTTTTATTGAAGCGCACAATGTCTGAGCATCGACATCAAGAGCAAATTCTCTTGCCCCACACACGGCGGTTTTTGCCATTTGTTGACAGGCAAAAGCAGCTACCAACAAACTCAGGTTGAACCCGTTACAAATTTGACCCAATGTGCATTTCGGTTTGCAATCTGCACAGTCCCAGCATTACAAATAGGATGTTAATATAATGCTTAACTGGAGATTACTAGAGCAGATGGGAACTGGACTGCAACTGCACCAATGTTTTGAAAAGAGAACAGGAAGGACAGAAAGGGGACGTTACAGCCACCAAGGTGTTTGAACTATACTTGGAGCTGTTATTAATACACAGCTCACCCCAAAGCTAGATATCACTTGACAGTTAAAAAGTACCTGAAGTATCAAGCAATCGGAAATACTTACATTCATCATAAAAGCCATAAATTCTATTGATGCTGGCACATTCATGATTCCCTCTAAGGAGGAAAAAATTTTCTGGATATTTTATCTTGTAGGCCAGTAAGAGGCAAATTGTTTCTAAAGACTGCTTCCCTCTATCAACATAGTCACCAAGGAATAGATAGTTGCTTTCTGGTGGAAATCCCCCATATTCAAAGAGTCGAAGTAAGTCATAGTATTGTCCATGGATGTCACCTTGAACAAGCAAAAAGGGGTTTTTGCATTATTTGACAGTCTGGCTAACAAAAACAGAGACAGAGCAATATCCAATGCATGTTGATGTACCTTTCTTGTAAAATAAGATGACCTGTTATACAACAGTATTAAGAAAAATAATCAGTATCAACAAATCTACTACATTTAGCAATTCCTGTTCCATTTACTGGAACTTTTCAAAGGATTGTGACCCTAATCGTGACTAATCTTGGAAGCTAAGCAGGGTTAGGCCTATATGGGTGACTTAAATGTTCTGAACCACCCAGAGAGCTTGGGCTATGGGCAGTATAGAAATGATGATAAGTCTCCAATGCACAAACCTTCACTTTATTACAGGTGGCCTGTCAAGTTAGGAACACAACAATTACCGTTTTCAGAAAGACATTAGCTGAAGTTACCGTCTTCAGTTTTGCCAAATCATTATCAATTTATTAAAAGAGTTGGCGCCAGCCAATTTCAGTGCTTACCACATATTTTCAGTGGTGCTTCAAGTTCTAATAGAATGGGTTGACTGAGAAAGATCTCTCGAGATTTCAAGCATAATCCTCTTATTTCATTCTCTTGAAGTTGAACATTTTTACCAGGTTTTGACCCTCTCACTGTGAAAGAAAAAAAGGATCGTTGGTTACTTTTAACAACTGAAATGTGAGCCACTGAGTTCCAAATTAATTATATTAAATACACAGAGAACACTTGAGTAACTAAGTGCCCAATTTTTGAGCTTATTTTCAACACTTCCTAAGACAACATGCAAATCAAGCTGAGCGAAGCTCGCTCACTGCTAGAGGAAATCACTGGCAACCCATGTCTTAATTCTTCTAAATTCTAGTGGGCTAGAAGCTAAATGCTTCAGACTTCGCATAAGAACTACCCTGCTGAATTACATCAAGAGTTCATCTAGTCTAGCATCTTATTCACCCAGTGGCCAACCAGCTGCCCATAAACACACACAAGCAGAACATGAGTGCAGCCGCACCCTTCCATCCATGCGTCTATGGTAGAACATTCATGATGCAGAAATTATAATTCTGATCATAGTCCAGTGCCAAACAAAATGCAACGGTGGTGTCATTTTGCAGGAAGGACAATATTTAGCCCAGTTTATGGAAACTCTACCTCAAAAAAATCAAAGCAAAACATGCATATATTCTAGACTCAAGATAGCTACATGGCATAATCAGTGATTTAAATTGCTGCACCCTGTGATGGATTAGCAAGACTGAGAAATGCAGCTAACACAAAATTATCAGAGAGAGAAGCATACAGTTATGGCCCTATGCCAAGCTTAACCTGAGCACAGCTTCTATGCTGCAATTAGCTGACCATGATTACAATATGCAGGATTCTAAGAATGCCCTCTAAATTACACCAAACTAAAAAATCTGGGAGAGCTCATTGTTAGAAATCATAAGGCAGATCTCTCTCAATTCTAAGTTTTACTGGGACATGATATATCAAATCCAGGCAGAGTTAACTGGAGATCAACTCCTGCTGGCCAAATGCTCCACACACCTCATCCAGCTTGGCTTCCTTATACTTGCTGAATTATAAAAACTAACTTCCTAGCATCTTCTGCAATGCCTCTGTCACACCATGTTTTAGGTGCAATAGGTGCTATTTCAGTCTAGCTACCACCTGTGCATTAGTGTCATCATGTAAACTGAAGAAGTACTTTAAAGGACTTGTGTTAGCAGCTTCAAGAAGCTCATAGGTTGTATTTTGAAGATTTACTCTGAAGTTCAGTATCAGAGATGTGTTGCAATTACTGGTAGATTAGCTGCCAGGCAAAGGTTGTGACCTGAGCAATATATGCTTCAATTATTCTTCTCCATCACTCATGTTAGCGTTCCTTGGTGACATTACCAGTACCACTAGATGGGCGCAATTAAAATGCTTAGTACAAGTAATGAAGCATAAACCCACTGAAATATTTTCCTATCACTGTACCGCAATTGCTCCACGGTTGAACAGCTTCATGCACAATTTCCCCAAATTCACCTCCTGAGCTATAAGCAAGTAACACGAAATGCCAAGTGTCCAGCAGCAACAGTTTATAGAGAGTGATCCAAGATAATTATAGTACAAGTCAATAGCACAAAATTAAAATGGTCTAAATGTTTGCTTTTAAACAGTTAACTGAAGCATGCCCACTTCATTTACAGCTTCCATAGATAAGACACAAATTAAGCCTCTGAGACACAAAGTGCTTAATGTCTTATAATTAATCAAAAGCCCAGAAACAAAACTTTATTCAGCACTTCCATAAGCAGTATGGTTTGACCAGGCAGGGGCTGGGAATCCATCTAGGCCAACTAGTCTGCTTTTGATGCTATTCTGACTTCTACTAGTTGTAATCACTACTTTAATCATTCAGTGTGACATATATCTGAGATCCTTGGAACTGGCATGAGAATTAAAAACAGAAAAGATAATCTCTAGAAAATATGCAGAATTACCGTAACAAGTGTCTCTCAAGAACTGTTTTTACAGTTGTCAGTAGAGAAACCCGATAGACGAATAGCAAACAAGGAGAAAAATGCCTTACTAAACTACATTTAAAGAAGGTGATCTCAAATCGAGACGTTCAGGAACGAAACACTATCGTGAGATCAATCTCACGCTGATTTCTAGAGTTATAGGGGCTATGGAGCAGTTTGCATATGCAACAGGAACAAGCTGCTATTACTCTCCCTGGTCCGCACCACTTCAGAATCTTACTAGTATAAAGAGAAAGCTCTCAAGACACATAGTATAGCATGTGATGAGAACAACGGACTAAACCACTCTCTCCAGCGTCTAATCCTGCATGAGATGCATTCAGATGTGCAAACACTCCTGTTCCCTGAAACCAGAAACACCAGTTTGGAAGAGGGCTACCAACTGGTTCTGCTTAATGTGAGAAATGGCCCTGTTTTTCATGGGCCATCCGAACCCACGTGTTTCACACAGAGCAGCACTGTTGTAGCACTTTTCTTCAGACAGTAAGTTAAAGAAAACACGGCACTTATAAATCTGTTTAGAAAGCCACAAACACACCAATTCAATTTCAAAAGCCTGATTTCTTTGGCCAAAAACTGACACTGTTAGATTCTAGTACCACAGTTTTGATATTTGCCATTTCTGTAATGATGCAGTCAGTTAAGCACAAACCAGCAGGATGTCTATGCCATCCTGACCAAAACTGTAGCCTTGCACAAATGCACAACTAAACACAAGAAGATATTTCAGGGGTCCACAGCTGACATTTCTTTAAGCTAATCTATCAATTAAATGTGCATATTGGTTAAAATGTTTGAAGCAAGCAGCTTTTCAAATAATAAATCATATACAGGCAAAACAATGTACATAACACATTAGTCAAAAGCAAGCAAAATCACTACCAATAGCTCATCTAGTTTATATACTGCACATTTATAATTTGAATATTTTAAATGAAAATGTAAATCTTAAACTCTTTAACATTTTAAATTTATACAACATATAAACTAGATGTGTTATTGGTAGTCATTTTGCTGGTTTTAAATAACGCTCATATAACAACAGCAAGCTTTTTACGTTAGGCATTCCTTTCCATGATAGAGAATAAGAGAAATGCCTCTTAAGATGGTACTTGCCACCTGCAGTTTTTATAAGCACTGATATTAAAAAAACTTGCTTTATAAAAGATATTGCCTGATGAATTGCAGTTACCTTTGTAGATCTTAAGTAATCTAACCAATTAAAATCAATTAAACATTGCAGCATCAGTGACTTCATAATTTACATTAAAAAGTAGTTGTTGAAAGTTTCAAGTTTGCACAAGATTAGGAAATTATATCTTTGTGTACTTGTGAGCTGCTTATAAGCAGACACTCCAAAAACTTTTAAAGAAATCAAGAGATTTGTTCTAGGCGCAACCAGGGAGTAACATTGCCTTGTTAAGCATAACTTTGCTTCAGGCCCTGTGTAAATAAAGCCTCACTCACTGAATATCCTGATTCCAGAGGTACAAAATGTCAGCAAGGATTTGTTTCGCAAGCATGAATTACCTAGGGTTCAATTATTTATAATGAATCCTAGAATATGTACATCTCACAAGTCGCTGCATCTTAGTGAACCATTGTTTATGGTCACACCAAGATATAAGAACCAGGCATAAAGCCAAACTCCAAACCATCACATAAGATGTGGGGCAGTGGTGGTTTTGAAACGAAGCGTTTTCGTTTGTTGGTAGAAGAGAGGCTGTCAGGTAGTTTTCTCAGGGCAAAGAATTCAAAATAAAAGATGCTGCGACAGATCCTCTACTCATCGAACCTCTGTTAACAGAAAGGTTACGCCTAGCTCACTGAAACAGAGAGAAAGAAACAGGCAGTCAAGCCCTCAGAGCCCTCATCATCGCCTCAGCTGAGACCTAATGCCATTTGACTCCTCCTTCCCAGAACTGTCTCCTCTAGAGGCCATTATATAACCTTTATATAACATTGTACAAGAGGTGGTACCTGAATTTCCCTGTTCTTTTTCCAGCCTTTCCCCTCTTTTGTAACTGGCTTATTACAACATATGCCATTCTTTAAGTGTATAAATCACCTTGAAAGCACTAGCAGAAAGTTCAAAACATATGAATTAGTATAAAATCAGTAGGCCTTATCCAAGAAACCAGGAATATATACATACAAGGGAAAGTAATCCCCAAAGCATAGCACAAATAGTACCGTGAACTTAGCTGAAGCGCTTTCCTGTTCCCACTGAGCATCATCTCATGCATGGTTATCATTTTATGTAAGAAACTGCATGGGCCAGTTCTTAACACCATCAGTCACACATGTGACTACATACCCATCAACCTTGCCATGCACGTAACCACACATCATGGGAACCCCTCCTTGCACATGCTCACGGAGCTAAAATGATGTGAAATTATTGTGGGGGGAGTTAATTTTTTATACAGAAGTACAAAGCATCATTTAAAAAACTTAAGCAGCAGCTGAAAAAAACCAAGTCAGTGGAACAGACCCTGGAAACTGTGTAGGGAAAGTTTAAGACCTGGCCACTGAGAACTAAACAAGATGCATTAGCGTGGTTATATAAATTCACAAGATTACAGTTAATTGAACAGTGACTACTTCTATCCCATTAGCTGTCCAGAAAGACAAGGAAAAACTACTAATATATCTCCATACCAGGGCTCTTCATGGACATCACTTTATGGACATGCGTAGTGAGCACAGTTCCATCAACTCCCTCTCATTCTTCAGGCATACTGTGGAAATATAACATGAACTGCCTGATAATGACCAGTGCAGTGATAGCTTTCCTCTGAAAAAAGATAGCAGTTCTCTCTTGTATACACTAGTAAATAACTGCTTGTTCAAAGATTCAGCTCAGACAATTAAACAGCCCCAAGCTTTAGTAACTGAGAGCCAGTGTGGTGGTGTGACCGTTGGACTGGAGATCTGGGTTCTAGTTCTCACTTGGCCATAAAGCTCGCTGGGTGACTTTGGTCCAGTCACAGACTCAGTCCAACCTGCCTCGCAGGGTTGTTGTGAGGATAAAACTGAGTTATGTAAACTGCCTTGAGTACCTCATAAGAGGGGGAAAGGGCAGGATATAAATGCAATGT